TAAATATAAATATGTTTAAATAATGTTAGTTAACAGTTTATTAATAAATAGAATTTTAACAATTAAGCAACATTCGTAATATAAATAATAATATATAAATATTTCAATATCTTTTTATAAAATAATAAAGGATAACAATTTATAAGAAAATCTATACAAAAAATACTAATATAATGTATTGAAAAATATCAAATGTATTGATAATAAATAGACAGTTTAAACAGAATATAAAAAATTGCAAGTTAAGTTAGCCTTCTCAAAAGTTCACATTTCTTAACTTTTAAAGTTGTATAATTATGTTTAACCTCCTCTATTTTTTAAAATTATATTAGAAAGACAATTAAGATAATTATCCTCTTATCCTCCTACTTTTATAGAATTAATATAACCTAAAGTCTTTATTGAAAAACGATATTTTTCCCTACTAATACGTTTACTTGGCTGCTTCAGGTAATTATGGCTTTATTTTTAAATATGATCTTTAATTATTTTTTATTTATTATAAAGTTGTTTAAATGAAGGTTTATCTAAACATTATGTATTTAAGTATTTTTTTAAGTCGTATTATACCTAAACATACAAGTACTTTCTATCATATCAAGCTATTGAATTATTAAAATATGAATGCTTTAGGAAAAAAAATTTTTTGTTAAACCATAAATTTTGATTAATCAGAGTTTTCCATTATTTTAGTCTTAATTTTCTGTTTAATAATGGACTTATTTTTTAAAGGTCTAAATTCTCTAAGAATATGGAAAATAACCAAATCCAAGTAAAAAAGAAAATTTTTCATAAATATTCCTACTTTTTGTGAAACTTTATAATTTGTATCATATTTTCAAGTTGTTTTATTATCATAAAGAATTTGAAAGAGCTATCAATAATTCAAGTTTAATAACTTTCATTAAAGAAAAACTTAAATTTAAGATCAATAAAAGATTTTTTGAAATAGAAGGTAATGGGCAAAAATATATAAAAATAACCAATCCTTTTTTCCCGAATTATTGTAATAAATTGACTTACAGAAGTTTTTTCTGAAACAATTTGTTAAAAAAAAAATATCTTAGAAGCTGAAGTTGATTTTTTTATTAAAATATTAAATATGAATAGGAAAATAAAAATATATTTTTGTAATAATATGAGAATTTAATTAGGTTGTCATCCATCAATTTTGTTAAAGTCATATTCAATGTGTGATTGACACTATTAATGTTAATATTTGCTTCAGTTTATATTGTAAAACTAATAAGTTCACCTAAATTTTAGAATTTACTGATAATTTTTAAGAAGGGTCAATTATTTTAGAAAGCCTCTTAAGTATTTTTCTATAGATTATTATTCATCTATTATAAGAAATTATTATTTTTTTCTCATTCTAATAATTATTGTAATATAATATAAATAGAGTGTTTTTTGGTAAAATTATTAATAAAATATTTGGCTCTATTTATAAATTATAAAAGTTAAGGAATTATCCATTGTAATTTTAAGATTTAGTGATATTTGTTCTTATTTTTTTAATCATTTTATTAAATTAATAAAAATTAATATTAATCACAAATTTTGAGCTTTTGTATTAAATTATAATTCTTCATATAGATCATAAGAAATTTGTTACTCAATATTGCTCAGAAAATATTTAATTCTGTTAAATTCTGTTATTTATCTGAAATAATTGCATTTTCATATACATAAGATTTTTCGAGAATAAATTGTCATAAAGCATTGATAAATACAAAAATCTATAGAAAGAATTTAGTTATTATATAAAAATAAATGATAAAGGATAATTGATATCTGTAATAATCAATTTGTGTTGTATTTTATATTTTTATACAAACTTAATCTATATTAATGTTTCTAAAAAGATTTAAATCTTCTGGAGAGATAAATTGAATATCCTATTGTGAATACACAAGAAGAATTGATAGTGAAAAATAAAATTTCATTATATGAATTATTAAATACTATTTCTAATCAAAATATATATCCAAATCAAAGAAAATAGATATTTTTTATTAAATAATAATAAGAATGACAGAGAATATCATTCAGTAAAAAACTGAAGGGGATGAAAGACCTAGTGTGTATTTCCAATAAGAAATGGACGGAGACAGTATTATATTATTTGTTATATTAAGAAACAATCTATAAAAATGTAAGAAAAGCAAAAATTCCAAATACTGCAGATATTGCATACTGTGAGATAAGAATAACTGAGTTATAAGCCGAATTAGATGCTTAACGTGAGTAGGTTTTCAAGTTAGAACAACAATAAGATTTGTATGTAACATATGAATAGACAGTAAATATTACAATAATAATTCTTTAGATTAATTAATTACAAGAAAGAAACTAGATATTGAATGATGAAAACAAATAGCTGACACTTTTATTACGTTCGAGAACAAAAGAGTTGGATTTAGCAAAATTTAAGATTCTTGAATATGAGTCACAACTAGAGAGATTGAGAGACATAGAATAAGATTATAATAATACATATGACTAATTACAGGTGAGAGACCAAGAATTAAAAGAGGTAATAAATTATTTTCTAAGTAAAAGTTAACAGAAAAGTATGGACAATTGGAATTGAAACATTCATAATAGAAAGTACTTGAATTAGAGAATTTTGATCTTAAAAATAAGATAACCAATCTCTAAAATGATTTGAATGTTTATAAAGATAGGAACACCAAATTAGAAGCTGAGAGAAAGAGACTTGCAGATCTGTAAACTGAAGTGTCTACAACTTCTAAGATTGAAGTCTTTAAGAGTGAAGTCAACATTTCATAAGTTACTACTTAATAACCTACATAAGATTATGCTAAATTCAAGACACAGTTATAATAATAATCAGATCTATTAAACTAGATGAAAAACGATATTTAAGAAAAAGATCACAGATTAGGATTGCTTAATCATGAACTTACTAAATTATAAGAAACATTATCGAATAAAAATGAATAAATATCTTAATTATAATCATAATTGGATTTAACTGATGCTAAACTTAAAGAATTAGAAAGCAAGGCTGAATAATATAAAGCAAAACCTACAACTATCATTAAAACTGTTGAAAAAATAGTCAAAGTCACTCCTACCGATGCTGATGAAGAAAAAGTCAGATTAACTAATGAATTAGAAAGAGCAAACTTTGAAATCGAAAGATATAAGTTTGAATTAGCTTAATTATAATAAAAATTGGAAACACAGGAGAAGATAATATCTGATGTAATTATTAGTTAAAATATCTTTATAGTTATCAAGAGATGTCAGATAAATAATATAATTAAATGAAGAGATAGAATTATTAAAGATAGACAAGGCTAATTTAATTAATGCTTTAAATTAAAAGGAGTAAGATTAAGAATTTACTTTGAATTTATTAAATTAAAAAACACTTGAACTTTAGAATCTAGATAAAATAAAGTTCAATTTAACATTTGCTGAAGATCAAATTCAAACTAAATAAAGAGAGATAATCTCTTTAAAAAGAAGAGTTGGAGATGTTGAAAATTCTAATAATTAATTAAAATAATTATAGCCAGAATTAAGACAGGCAAAGAATTTAATTGAAGAATTAAAATCTGATAATGAAAATTTAGATTAATAAATTAAGTAACTTAAAGCCAATTTGATGGATGCTGAAGTTGTTATTAATTAATTAAAGAAATTAGAATAACGAATAAAAGCACTCTAAAATACTAATTCTTCATTAAGACAAGAAATAACATAAACATTAACTGAATCTGAATAATGGAGATAGAAATATAATTAAGGATGTTCTGAAATAACTAGATTATAAAGATTATTAGAAGTGAATTAATAAAGATAATAAATTCTTAATGAATAAAATAAAAATTTCAAAAATGACTTTGAAATACCTGATATTAAAGTAGATCCACTTCCAATTCCTCAAAGGTTAACTAAATAAATTATTTAAGATGAATCATAAATTACAAAATTAAAGAATAATTTAGTTGCTGTTGAATTATAATTAGAATCTGTATATAGAAACAAAATATTAGAATAATAAACCTATTAAAGTTAAATAGATGAAATTAATTCTAAATATCAACTGAAAAAGGGTGAAAGTGAGTCATGGAAATAAAAATACTTAAAATCAGAATAAGAAAATGTCAAATTAATGAATATCAATGAAAAATATACTGTATTAATGTAAAGATATGACTCTCAAGAAATTATTATATAAAGTCTCAATGAAAAGTTGAAATAATTGACTGTAGAGTTGGATAAGAGTAGAGCTGAAGTATTTAATTTGCATTTACAACTAAATCAGTTGGATGTATTAATTAAAGAAAGAGATTAATTCAAATAGAGAGCAGATGCTTATTATTTAGAAATATAAAATCAATATAAATAGATTCCACTCTTAAAAGCTTAAATATTGGATTTAACAAGATAATTGAAATTGACAGAAATTCCAGTGATTCGTGTTGCATAGAAAACTGATGCAATTGAAAAATTAAGGCAATAAAATGTAGAATTAGAATAAAAAATTGATGATACATTAGAAGATTAAATTGATGAATTACGATAAACTAATAAAGTTCTTAGGTAAGAATTAACTAAATAAATTGATATTAATACTTAATTGATTAAGGATTTATCTAATGCTGATAGAAAGAAACAAGACATACTAATAGAATTATAATTATTATAGGCCATTGAAATAGATTATTAATAATTAAAAATTGCATACTTAAATAAATAAAAAGAAAATGATAAAATCAAAATGTAAAGTGATTAAATTGAATTTAAATAAAGAGATTTAGAAAATGCTATCCATTCTTCAAATCAATTAGGATTAGAATAAAAGAATGAAATCTAGAAATTGAGAGAGAGAACAAATAATTAAAATGAATAAGTACATGAATTATTAATCAAACTTAATTCTTTATAATAGTTGAACAATGATTATAAATTTAAATTAGAGATGTTTCCTGAATTGTAAGAGAAGGTGAATTAATAAGCTAAATAGATTGATGATTTAAAGAAAGCATTATAAAATTCTAATGAAATAAGAGATGAATTAACTGCTAAATGCACTTTATAATAAGTCAAACTTTAAAGTTTAGGTCCTCTCTAATCAAAAATTGAAAGTCTTTAATTAATATTAGATGAAAGATAAAGATAATTAGATTTATGGCAAACTAAAGCATTAGAATTGGAGGATAGCAAGTCAAAACTTAATTAAGAATGGAGAAAAAAATTTGATGCTGTTGAAATCTAATTGAAAAATCAAAAAGAATTAGATTAATTATTAAAATAATAAGAACATGATATTAATGATTTAATTAGTTAGAATAATAAATTAAATGTCTAAAATAAAGAATTATCTATTTCAAATCAACTACTTAATAAAGATATTGATTAAAGAGATATAGAAATAAAAAGATTATTAGCAATTGAAACTGATTTCAGAAAATTAAATGAGAATTTATTAGTAGAATTGTAAAGAATTGCAGATCTTACTGATAAATTATAAATTGCATAAAATTAATATGATGCTGCAAAGAGAGATTAAGAAAGATTAGAAAATAAATGTGCTATGATGTCTAGTGAAATTGAACGATTATCAATTATGGTTAAAAATAAAAATATTGAAATTGAAGGAAATAAAGCTATTTTACATTAAAATCAATCACAAATTGATTAAGTTTAACCAATTTTTGTTGAAAATAAGAGATTATTTGATGAATTAAATAATGTATTAAAATCTAATGAAGAATTGAAAATATTATCAATTTAATTGTAAAAATAAATTGATGAATTGAAATCAACTATTAATAATGGTAGTAATTATGAAAATCAATTAAAAGATGATTTAGATTAATTAGAATAAGCATTTAGACATAAAGAAAATGAAATAAGTGAAATTAAATAATTATTAAGACAAAGTGAAAATTAAGTAAAAGATATTAAGAGAGATGATTAATAATGGATAGATTAATAAGCAGAAAAAGAGAAATTAACAAATTAATTGAATTATATTAATGAATTATTGAATTCTAAAAATGCTGAGAATGAATAATTAACTAAATAAAATCATGTTTTGTAATCCAAATTATTGGATAATTAAAAATTAGATTTTGAACATTTAGAATTAGCATTAAATACTAGAGACAAAGTAATTGAAGAATGGAAGGGCAAATTCTAAAGATTATAATAAGATTTATAGAAAGTTTTAGAAGATAAAGTAGAATTGGAAAACAGATTCAGTACAGTAGATTTGGAGATCGAAAGATGGAAAAGAAAGGCCAATTCTAATTCAGCTGAAATTGAAATGTTAAGAGTAACTATTGACTAATTGAATGATGAAATTGAAAGATTAAATAAAAACACATAAGATCTATTAAATGTAATATTTATCTAATTTATAATAGGAAAATGACTCATGGAGACATAAGTATGGTAATTTGCAATAATTGATACCTTAAATGGTACATCATTAACCTAATCCAGAAACATAAGCATATTAAGTAACTCCAGGAAATAGTTTCAGAATTCCCCCAGGAACTGAAAGAAATTAGGGTAGTTTTAGAAATTAGCCACCTCCTCTTGATTCTAGAAGGTCTTTCAGAAGAGCTACCACTATTGGTCTAACAAAACCATGATTAGTAATAATAAAAACATATATAATATAATAAAAATAACAATTCTCCATTATTTTGGATTATAAATTCTATATTAGATTATAAAAACAATATTAATAAATAAAATAAATAGTAAATAGAGAGAAATAAAATTAAATTTGAGATGAATGAAGATAGATATATCATTTTTCTATGGTTGAGCACTTGAATCAAATCCTATTATAAATAGTTATCAATTATCTATGGTAATTCTAATTTAAAATATAGGATACTTGTCAAATTTTTTTTTTGTTTATATTGGAATTAATCCTTCAAGTAGGCATTGAAACACCAATACCAAGAGAGGATCGAAAATTTGATAATAATGATTTTGGATGACCATAGGTTAATAATGAACCATATCAAAATATTAAATATGATAAACTATTTTCCTTTATTCCTAATAGATTGTGAATATTGTATTTAAAATGAAATTTAGCAAAAGTGTCACATTTTGTATTATACAATTTGCTTATCTCAATGATTTAATTAAAGCCTCTAAATTACAGGTTTTGAAATGTACAGAATAGATGAACAAGTAGACCATAATTAAATGATAATTAGATTGATGTATTAGCAATAATTTTTTTATTTTCTTAATTCTATATCTATGCTCATTTAATTGAATCCATAATTAGTTCTTAGATTTTAATCAAATTCAAAAGCTAATTGATCATGTATTCAAAAGAAATTTTTATTTCCAAACTTCATTTTTAATCAATAGCCTTAGGTGTCTATTTCATTAGATACAGTTAGAAAATAGGGTAATTTATCTTGTTTATCAAAATGAAGTATGATTCCATTGGGAAACTTCTTTGGGAAGGAAGTATAATTAATCTAATTTTGGAATATACTTTAGTTCTTTCAAGAGCAGCAATAAATAAAGAGGATATTGCCATAAAATGTTCTAAAGTTAAGGATTTATCTTAGAGGAGTTTTTTTTGTTCCAAATAGTAATGAAAAAATAATTTTCATAAGTTATTTATTTGGTTTTGGTTGAAAAGTAAGGTGTTCCAAAATAATTGATTTTCATTTGTAATGTTGGCCTTTTATATTTTTTTTGGAAATGATTTAGACAATATTATAGGTTCTTTGTCACCATTATTATTGTATTCTTATATTCATAAATATATTTTTAATATTTTATAATGACTACTATTCTTCCATTAGGTAATATTATTTTTAAGATGACTAGGATTATTGGATAAGGCAATTTCATCAAGAGTATGGATTCTAATGAAAGATGATAGAGAATTCGAAGGGACTTTACGTGGGTTTGATGATTTCTTTAGTATGAAATTGATGATTGATTAGATATGGTTTTGGAGAATGTGATTGAATTGGATAATGGGAAAAAGAATAAATTAGAATCGATTCTTTTAAATGGTACTTAAATATGTTTGATTGTTCCTGGAGGTGAAATAAGTTGAATAATATTTTTAATATGTTAATATTCATATTATTGTTATAATCTTACAAGTCTTTAGATATAGATTGTTACAATAATTCATTAATTAATGTTGATGAGTAGACTTATAATTACAGTTAAGCTTGTATACCACCTACTTCATTAGAACTTAATTGCTCATAAACTACTAGGTATGTTGAGATTAATGTCGATTAATCGATAATTTGGAATTTAACTAATTTTATTACAAATTGTGATGGTGTCAAAATATATACAAACCAAATTTATATTGGTAATATAACAAGTAATCAGAAGAAAGCAGGATTTATTGAGAACAAATATATAATAATTGAAGCATCTTCAGATTTCTAATTTAATAAAAATACATACATGAATATGAAGAATTACTTACTTGCATTTTATCTTAATAGCAGTCAAAGTTATACTATTATGTCATTAAATGCTACTTCAAATAAAATGCTTTTTGTATTTAATAATTCTGTAATTTTTAAAAACTCATAGTTTATGATGTCAACTTCAACTTGTACTAATAATGTGAATATATTACCAGGAATGATTAGCATTTTCAATGTCAATTTTGAATCTGTAGAAGATTACATATTACACAATTAATTTATCTATTTATAAGAGTAAACTCGTTTTACTGCTTTTTTTTAAGTGTCCAATTATACTTTCTTTGTATTTAGCAACTCTTCTTTAACATTAATTAATACTAATGTTATTGGTAGTCAAATAGGAATAATTAATAATGGTACTGTCATTTTATAAAGCAGTAATTTAAATACTTCATATTCCGGTTGTTATATAAATTAAGGGTATTTATTTATTTATATTTAGGAATGCAAGAGGTCCTGAATTTGTTAATTATAATTAAAAATGTTATGCTAATGGTGGTTCTAATTCTGGATATGGAGGTATTGGATTAAATATTGAGGATTCATATCTAAATGATTGTATATTCTTAACGAATTCAACTAGATTCATGTTTGATTTATATCCATATGGTTATTTATTAACTAATCTCTATTAAGGATCAGGTGGTAGTTCAGTCAATTTAATTGAATTAGTCAAACAATTTGGAAACTTATCCAAAAATCTATAATATGGATTTGGTGGAGGTTCTATATTTATATATGCAAATTTATCAGTATAATTGAATAGATCAATGTTGTTAGCTGATGGATCACCAGGATATGTTGATAATGAGACTAATTATAGTATTGGTGGTGGTGCAGGAGGCTCAATTAAAATATATTCCACTTAAATCACAAGCGATTAATTTAGTAATATTTCTATGCAGGGAGGAGATAGTGATCCTTAAGGTTTAGTGGGTGAAGGAGGTGGAGGAATTCTTTAATTTAAGTGTTTAACAACTCCTTTGAATATTAATCAAGCTAATAATCTATCCAGTTATTGTTCAAGTAGTACATATCTAGGATATATCAAAAATGGAGCTGGTTAAAGAAATTATCAATCTGATTTAGGATTATTTGGATAACATGGAAGTCTAGTAGAACCATTGTGTCCCCCTGGTTATAGAATATTAAATTTCTCATGTGTACCTTGTAATAATAATGCTAAGGAACAATAATACTCTCTTTGGTGGAGTTCACAATGTGTACCTTGTCCATATACTTATGTAAAATTTTAATAATTATCAATAGGGACAATTTTATTAAAATAATACATTTTGTAATGAAAAACTGAGTTGTTAAACTTCGGAGTGCTGTATTGAAGATTTCAGAATACTTAGAAATACAGGAATACAATTAGTAGTTTTTATGTTGCTGATTGTTATTGGTTATGGATTAAGAAGACAATATAAGAAGAAAGATTCTACAACTGAAAAAAACTTTAATTTTGAGAATGCTACAAAAGAAATAATAGCTGATAAAATAATTACTGAAAGTTTATAAGAAACAGATTAGTTTGTTTTAGGAGATCTAATGTATCATGCACATAGAATACCAGTAATAGGTAATAATACTTTTCTTAATCCATGGTTTTTACATTCTGAACCTCCTGTAGAAATTGACAAGGCAGTAAATAAAGAAGAGTATGAGAAGTTTGCAAAGAATTTCAATGAGATTGCAGCTTGGAGTAAAACTAAATATATAATTTTAAATTTCTTAGCTATTTTATATTATCCATTATATTGGGGTTGGTAAACTAAAATAAAAAAGGATAAGTATAAATAATTATCTGCTTTATTAAATAAAAATGAAATACCAAAATTTTGGAAATAATCATCAGATCAAACTTATGGTAGATTTAAAATGACAAAAAGTGCAGATTACACTCTTTTATATATTGATATATTTAATTATAAGAATTGTGATCTAAAATACATTTATCTTACGTGTCCTTTTATTATATATTTATCAGGTGAAGGTAATTATTTAAGACCTTTTTATTTATGTGAATCAGATTAATTTTTAGTCTCACTTTTTTTTGCAGTAAATTAAACTAAAAATTCTATTTAAAATAGATAAAATATATTAACTAATTTAGTTTGTAAAGATGAAAGAGAAGAAAACTCAAAAGAAATTAGAAGATTTTTAAAGAAATTCAATAAAGTAGCTATGACTTTAGATTTAGGAGCACTTGATTAGAATTTCATATCAAATTTTAAAAGATTATTTGATTTATTAGAGAAATGGAATAATTAATTCTTTAGTAATCATAATGTAAAATTGTAATTATTGGTTGCTCAATTTCCATTTGATTCTTAACATCAATCATCAACAATTACATTGATTGAAATGAAATAGGAATCATAATTTAAAGAATTTATGAGAGAACTTCATAAAAATGTTATTTTTCAAAAATTATAAGATGTAAAATTTGGTGTATTTATTTTTAATACAGAATAAGATCCTGCTGAAGTTGATTAATAATTAAAAAATTAAAAACTTAGTTTTAATGATATTGAAGATTTTTCTATTAGAAATATCGAATATGATTATGATGATGACAATTCTATTGATGTTGATTTGTTAAGAGAATAATTTCTATCTAAAAGTACTGAAAAAGATCATTTATAAATGGGTCACACAAAACATTAATTTAAATAAATTACTAAAAAATAAAGTCAAAGACCAAATTCTTTTTCTAAAACTTATCATCTCATTATCAGAATATTTGATTACATTAGATTTCAATCATTTTCTCATAAAAGAACCTTTTTAGATAAGTATACATTGATCATTATGATCTGTATATTAATCTTATTAGATAATGTAATTATATATTTATATAATAATAGTTCTTGTTACAAAGCATTTTAAGTTTGATTACAGAGAAATATAATCAATTGAAAAGTTCTAATAAATCATCTAATATTATGAGTTTGTAATTAATTTTATTTCCTTATCCATTTACTATAATACTATCTAATCTATTTGAATCAATATGGGTATTTAATTATATTATCTTAGATACCTAGTCAATCTTATGGTATTTTAAAATTATATTTGATCTTTAATGCAATGGCAACATTTTAATATTTTGTGAGTTTGCTAATATTTATAGGCTATCATCATAAATCATAAATTTGCATTTAGGATACCTTGACCTTTTTATCATTTTTAATAAAGATCACATTAAATCAATTAAGTGAGAGATTAATACCAATGAGTACCAAATTGAATTAATTGAGCAATGAAAAATAAATATGATTATTAATAATATAAAATATACTAATATAAGAAATGCAAATCACTTAAGATATGTTTAAATGGTTGAAATCATTAAATGTAATCTAGAATGGAATTCCAAAATAAAATGGGAGAATGGAATTAGATCCTGAAACTACATCGGCCTTTTACAACGGTTTCAAGATGTCAGAACTTTTAGATAAATTAACAGGTCCTTATAATTAACAAATCAAAATGCAAACTAATCCTACAGCTAGATTATATAATTGGAATATAGTCACAGAACGATTACATTAAATTAAAGTGGAATTGGATACAGAAATTAAAAAATTAATAATTGATGGTGATTTAGAGATGATAGTTGAAGTCTTAAAGGATATATAATCCAAATTCGTTAAAGAAATCACTTCTAAAATAGAAAACCCAAAGAAAACATTCGATATTGAAACACTCAATTCTGCTAAATCAATTAGTTCTTGTGAAACTGTACTAGAATATGTAATCGTAGCTTTGAGTCAGAATCTCATATTAAAACCCAAATAATCATAATAATTACTTAATAATAATTTCAAATTACTCACACATGTTTTTATTAAAGGAGTTAAAGGATAGTATATTTAATTAGTTACACTCCTCTAAGAAATATATAATAATATGCCTAGATTAATTGAACTATTAAGGGATGAAGAACATCAAATTGGATTCTTTGTTTCATTTCTTAAACTCTCAATATTCTCTAAAGATTAAGAAGTTGTACATTGGGGATTAAGATTACTCGGTAAATTAGCATATGATCTAGCATAATATGACCTATTATTTCATATGTTCTAATGGTTATTAAGTATTTATTAGAATTAATCTTTTTTAGGTTCTGGATTAGCTAGTTTAATTATTACCCTCTAAAGATAACCTTAATTGGCTGAACCACTTGCAACTGCTTTATCTTAAATTGCATATTATGATTATAGTTAAGTATTTGGATAATAGAAATATTTTGAGAATCCAAAATCTTACATAGAATTTTATGGAGCTTTGATTCCTTATTTAAATTGTGATGTATTTTAGAATACTATTGATTTAGCTTATAAATTACAATTTAGAATAATAAATATAGATAGCAATAAGATTAAGTGATAATCAAAGTACAAGAGATGAAAAGAATGTAGCCATCCAATTTCTATGTAATGCATGGATCCATTATAATGTATTTTTGGAATAAAATATGTAATATTAATAATCCATTTTGGCTATGCTTTAAAGAACTGCTAAAGATAATTCAACAATATTGAAAACATATTCTATAACATAAGCATTTAAATTGTTGGATGGTCTAGCTTAAAAGAAAGTGGTTACAGCAGTATCAGTATATAAGAAATTGATTTCAATCCTAATTGAAAGTCAAAACAATGAATATATTGTGAGATAATTCACTTATATTATTCAAAAATATCCAAGTATTCCAATAGAACTATTGATTGAGGGTTTAATTAAGAATCAACATCCAAATATGTCTGATTGTGATATTTATTATGTGTTGAGTGCACATCAGAATTTAAAAGTATAATCAGCAATAACAATGTTAGAATTATTAATTAGGATTTATAATAGTAGTGTTTTATTTTAAAGTGCATTATTTCCAACTATTTAATAAATAATACAAAAATTTATAGAACTTTCAGAATTTTAAGAATATATGAATAGAATGGCTTAAACATGTTTAAATTTATATGTTAATTCTGTAAGATCTAAAAAGACAACTAATAATCTAACTAATTATTAAGATGATTCAGTTGTAAATTCTCAAAGAAGAGCTCAAACTATTTAATTATTTAAATACATTATTTAATTGAGATGTTTCTAAATGAACAATATGCTTAAACCATTGTTAGTTGGAGCACATTTAGAACTTAGAAGTATTGAAAATAGAGACAATAAAGGAATCATTTAATTATTATAAATGTTAGGTGATCCAAATACTATTGTTGATGAATATGTTACTAAAGATTAATAAATGACATCTCAATTATTTCTCGAAAAGAAAATGTAACAAATGGAAGGTAGTTAATCATAAGCCTTAGAAGATTAATATCTATAGAAAAACAAGAAACTATTTGAAAAAGAGGAAGATTTAGTTAAATCTTTATTATTAGAAGAAAAGAATGAAACAAAAAATCTATAATAAACTAAAAAAAAGAAAAGAAATTATGACTTTGATGAATTTTAATGTGTTTATGAAGAAGGAGAATTGGCATACAAACCTTAAGATGTTGTCTTAATTGATTTTCCATTTGAAGAAGATGTAGATAGAGAATCCATGAATATTGCCATTAAACATTTTTCTAAAACTTTCAGATATTTATTTAACAAATATGCATCTACTCCTTAAGAAGCAGCTAAAAATAGATTAAGAAGTTTGGATTAAAGTTAATTAGAATTAAGATCATCTGATATTGTTAAAATATTATAAGACTATGAGATTTTCAATTTTAGTACATATGAAGAGATCATTAATCTTATTGCAACTGTTAATCATAAATTTAATTTATTTAGTTTGAGTTCTCAAATTAGATAATTACCATAAGATAATTAAACAGAAAAATAATCATCTATTTCAGCTACTACTGCTAGAACAGTCAATTATAAATTAGATTTTGAAAATTTTAAAAAATTTCTAATATAATTTGCTGTCCTTATATTTGGTAGACCTCCTAAAGATTTTAGAAAAATGCCATCAGGACATGTTTTAGTTGAATTTTTTAAATATTTTTCATTTGTTGCTAGAAGAAGGAATGACAATCATCTTATTTTTGATGATCCTGATGGTGTTACTACTGTAGCTGATAAAAGTACAATTTAAAAATGGAATGCTTAATTATTATAAAATCCAAATATAGAGGTACCTACTGAAACTAGATTAAAGAAGGTATAAATTGAAAGAGTATCTTTACATTATTAAATGAGAGATGTTATGAAAAATTTAAATAAATCTTATTTAACTTGTTTTGAAATTGTTAATGAACTTATCTAATCTAAATTTAAGTAAATTATATGAAAATTTATTAATAGGACCAATATTGTTGAACCAACATTCAAGGTCAATCTAATTTATGAAGTCAAACCTATTGCAGCCAAAGGAGTTCATTCAGATATTAAAGTAGACCATTTAGTTGAGAAATAAGAACAATTAAAGAATTCTCTCACTTTATTACCTATTGAAAAATAAGAGATTATGAATAGATCATTAGATTTGTCATAATTGTCTGAAGAGAAAATAATTAATAAGAGTATAGTTGAAAAAATAGTATCAAAATAAGAAGAAGCATTGAAGAAAGAATTGAAGGATATTAAATGGCAAAAAAGAAAGGATTATCTTGATAAATAATAAGATAAAATATAATAATTTAAAGAAAAGAAGGAAGAAATAAGATTTAATGAATCTTAAGTTATTGGAGAATAATTGAGAGAGTAGAAACCTAAACATATTAATTATATGAATAATTTAAAAAAAGAATTAAGGAAGAATTAATCTGAAGTGATTATTAAAAATTCAATACCTTAATAAGAAGAGAGAAAGGATTCTTCAAGAAAATAAGAAAATAAATAAAAATAATAAGATAATAAATAAAAATAATAACCTTAACAACCAGAAAAGAAAATTTCAAAAGAAGATAAAGCTGAACTTAGATTTAAAGCTAGAACTGCAGAAATGGCTGCTCATTATAAAACATCTTTAGAAAAGAAAGAATAATTAAATGAAAAATTTTAGAATTTTTATAAAGATCCAAAAGTTTAAGCTGAATTCAAACATTTTAGATCATCTGGGAGTGTGGTATTAAATATATTAATATATTAAGGCATTTAATCATTATCTTAAGTATTCTGATGCTTGGAATTATAGTGGTAAAAAGATTGTGTTGTAAGGATGGTTAGATTTTGCAAATGCTTTCAATTTATTATAGGTTTTTAATGAAGAATAATTAATAAAAGTATTTACAAATACTTTAAAATAAAAGAATTATGTAGCACATAGAGAAGCAGTTTAAAAGAATTTAAAATATTAAGATGAAATAGGTCTAACTTATTTTGAGTTTGAATATATGTTATTAAAAATAGCTATTATGGGTTAAGAATACTTTAATGCAATTTAAAGTGGTAAGAAATTAGATGATAATTTAAAATAATTAATTATTTACAAGGAAAAACAAAGTAAAAAACCAAAAATAAAACATAAATATATTGAAATGTTAGAAGACAATATGAATAAAACTACAAGTTTTACATTAGCTGCTTGTTTAGCATATTTGGATATTCCATAGAATAAGGATCTATTTGCTGGTAAATTGAGATCGATTGAAGGAAATGATATTATAGAAGAGACAAAACCAAAATATTAATCAGTTGGTAAATATATTCAAAATTAATTTTTATTAGATTTATAATCATTAAAAAAGAAATAAGGATTACCTGAGAGTCCATAAGTAAAGAAAAGTAGCAAATGGTCAGAGCCAGGTACACATGGAAAGCCTAAACCAGAAAAGAAAACCATGACAGATTCTCAACTTAAGTTACCTTATCTACCAAAAGATGCTAAGACTAAGGAATTATTGGAGATTACAAAGAAATGGGAAGATGAGAAAATGAAAAAGTGATTCAGTTTTATAAATATATATTAATAATGAAAAATTTAAAAGATTGTTTATAATCAGAATAAGCTTATAGGGAAACAAAAGAATATAAGGAGAATATAGAAAATGAGTAAATATATTATTAATCATTTTAGCACTACTTTAAGATATGTGTTGGAGACAGTTGAATAAATACTGTATAATAAATAATCTGAACCTATAGAGATGGTTTTAGGAATGAGAGTAAATGTATTGGTATGATTTAGCTGATCAGTTAATAAAAGAACTAATGGATCTACATTATGAGTGTGTATTGGATGGAGTAACAAAGAATTTAATATATTTGATTGAAGAGATCATAAAAAGGGATTCGAAAAAGAGAGAGAGAGGAAAGTATTATTTCAGTGAGAATCCAGGTAGTTTAATATAGAAAATTAGATTAAAAATTGATGGTTTTGGGGAATACTTTAGTGAGATTATCATTGGAAAGCATATATGTTTGGAATTTATGGCATCCACATAATTCAGTGATCAGTCAAATGTATGGAGAGATCTATGGTTTAGATATTTAAGATTGAAAGAGAGTGGAATAGAGTTTCCTAAGTTACATTACTTTAATGCTTAAAAAGTCAGGGAATATTATATGGAAGTAAAAGAAAGTTCAAAGAATGGAACCTTATATAAATAAGAGTGTTCAATATTAAATGAATAATGTTTTGATTAATTAAAGAAGGCAATAGAGAAAAGTTAATTTAATAATGGGATATTACATGAAATTAATGAAGAATTAAAATGTAAAAATTGAATTATTTTTAGAGATTAAAAATGTTAATGAAAATTAGAAACTATTTATAGAGAATTTTGATAAAGCTTATTAAGATTATTTAATTAATAATTAATTGGAGTAATTTAATAATTAAATTCATTCAATGTAAATTTGTAATTAAATGTAGTTGTTTAGAATATGATGAATATTAAAGTTATTAAAATTAAAATAACTAATTATGCAGTTATTCAACAGATAAATAAAGTAATTAAATATCTAGAACTATTAGTGTAATTTAATTCTTATTTATTATAGTCTTAAAATTCTCAAAATAAAAGTAATTAATCAATAGAACTATTGCTCTAAGAAAATCAAATAATCTAAACTCAAATCTAGAATTTTGAAATACACAAAGTCTCTACTAAAAATCAAGATTAATATTATTGAGTATATTCTATATTATTCTTTTTATATTTTTCTATATTTTTTGAGAAATGCGAACTGAATCTATTTCCTATGAAAAAGAAATGGACATTATTAAAAAAAGAGAATCCAGAAAAGAAAGATCAAAATTTGAAGATATTATGTATTTATCATATTTATATATTAATAGAGAAGAAAATGAAAATTAGAAAATGACATGTTACGAAAGTACTCGAAATTGTTTAGGTTCATGTTTTGGAACACTAAGAGCATGGATTCCATGTTGTTTTTGTTGTTGTCCCTATCCATATTATCTTATTACTTAAGGTTAAAAAGGTTTACTACAAAAATTTGGTAAGTACTAAAAAACCTTAGGACCTGGTCTACATGAAATAAATCCGTATTGCTTTTATTCATTATTTTTAGATTCACTGAAAGAGTAATCCCTGTTAGCACTAAAACATTGTATCATATTAAAATTATAATTCAGTATCATTGATTTAGAAAGATAGCTTGTCTTAACCAAAGATAATATAACTGTCAATATTGATACCATTGTTTATTATAGAGTTATTGATGTTATGAAGTCTGCTTATAGAGTTAAAATGATTGTTGAAGCTGTCAAAGAAATAACTTATGCTGTAAATAATAATATATCTCTATTCTATTAGACTTTACGTACAATCTGTGGAGAACACACATTATAAGAGATTATTGAAAATAGATAGAAAATTGCTGATGAAATTGAATCATTTGTTTTTGATGTTGTTTCTGAATGGGGTATATTTATTTACTATTATTATTAAGGTATTTATTTGGAGCATATTTTTATTAAGGATATGCTAATGAGTGAAGAATTATAAAACTCATTATCTAATGCTCCAAAAGCATAAAGACTTGCTTAATCTAAAGTCATTTCAGCTTAAGTATTTTATTAGATCATATTTTATAGAGTGATGTAGCTGCTGCTAAATTAATGAGAGAAGCTGCAGATATGTTAGATTCAAGAGCTGCTATGTAGATTAGATATTTTGAAACTGTTTAATAGATTGCTAAAAATCACAATCACAAAATTCTTTTTCTATCTATGGATTAATAAAATCAAAAAAAATGATTATTTAATATATTTATAGATAATATATATGTTAAAATAGATTATTTTACTCTTATTTATTTCATCCATTTTTACAATTGATTGTGATTATTGTAAAGCTGAATTATTAGATAGTCTTAGAGTAAATTCAATATATATATATATTAGGTTAAAACGGATAGTATTATTGTGAAATGTTTAGATTCTGATTTTTCTAAAAATTCAGTTGGAACCATTTTTGGAAATTGTCTATTTATTTAAGGAGTAGATTCTGCAAAAATCAAATAACTAGTATCTTGTGTAACTTCAAATTGTTGGGATCAATGGATTAATCAAAAAAATGAATAATTTTTATTCTGAAATTTTCATTAATTTCTTCATTCATTCAGATCTCTATGATCTAAATTTATATTTAATAATATCTTAATCAATGAATATTCAAGATAATTTAGAACTCTTAAACCATCAATTACACATTTCTAATAATAAACTTTTGCTTTAAGTTGAAGTACTCTCTCATCAAAATAATTTATTAAATAAGAAACTTATAGAGTAATAAAATATTAACAATCAAATTTAATTCTTGCAAAATGAAAATAATCAACTTAAATAAGATATCTTAATACTCTAAGAAACCTTATTTAATTTTAAAAATGAAAAAAATAATAATATTGAATAATCATACTCATCTATGCTTTTAGTTTTATCAAAAGAAAATGAAAAAGAGCTTACTTGCTTGAAACAAGAATATAAAGATCATATTTTTAGATTATAATAAGAAAAAAATTAATTTTTTGAGTAAGCAGTGTCTATGGGTATTTAAAATTAAACAGCAAAAAACTTGGAATTATAAACTACTAAAATCATATAAATTGCATAAAAATTAGAGTAAATCATTATATGATTTTATAATAGAAAAATAATAGGGGATTCATTGGAAAATTAAGATAGTAAAATAGAAAAAGCTAATTCTGCTAGAGAAATTTACGATAACTTAATTTATTAATTAAATACAGACTTAAATAAAAATTAGAAAGAATCTGAAAAAAATAACAAATTTAATCAGTAAACCTTTTATTCTAAATTTATTAGTACTTAAACTACAACTAAGACTTCTAGTTCAATGAAATATAAAGATAAACCAATTAATTTTACAAAATTATTATCTTTAACTAGAACAAATGAATCTCCTAGAAATCAAGCATACTTAAATGGACTTTCATTATAAACTGTAAATAAAAACAATTGATTTATTTATTTATAATAACAAGAAACATTTTTTTTAAATTAATATTAATTATTAATTAATATCTAGATCATTTATAAAATATAAAAATTATCATAGAAGTACCATTTAAACTATTTATACTGATATATTTTCTTTATTAAATAATAAATATATTAGATATATTCATGTCATATTTTATATTATAAATTTAATAATTATTTATTATTTATTAATTAAATTAATTAATAAAATTTCTCATTTCCTTCCTCAATTAAACTAAAACAAATTGCCCATTAGTATAATAGGAATATATTCTTATGTTTGAATAATTAATTCATAATCAGCTATTAGAAATAGCTAATTTTTAAGATAAAAAATTTTTCATAAATTAAATGAATTAAAGCAGATTGTGAATTAATATATCAAGAATCTTTAAAAAATTTATATTTATAATTATAATATTCTTAAATAAAGTATTTATATAACAATTAAGTTAGATGTATATATTATATAAGAAAAAAAATTGAAATTAGATTATAAGAAAACCTTAGAATTAACAGTCTCGTTATACATAATGTTCTATTTTAAGATGCTATTCATAGAAAATGATTAATAATAAGATTCAATATAAAAAATAAACAAAGCAGAGTAACAAAAAAATCTATTAAATTTTAGAAATTAAGTGAAATATTTCATATTTTTGATCAATTTAGAGTTTATTGGATAACTTATAATTTTTAAAATGAAATCATTATATACATATATTATATATTTTTGATTTTATCAAAAAGTTTACTTAAGAATTATAAGTTGAGTTGAAAACAATAAGTTTTATAACTTTCTTGTTTATCGATTAAAAAAAAGTAAATTTAATAGAACATCCTCTGTCTTAAGATAAACTAAAGAAGAGAATCATTAAATATAATAGTGTAATAATTCTATAATATATTTATGATATGGTTTAATAAGTAGATGAGGAAAATTTGAAAATGGAATTTTATATTATTGCTTATTTATTAAGGATAAGATTTCAATGATCTTTTAAATATAAATTCACAAAAACTATTATATTTACATCTATTTGTAATTAATTTTATGATTGAAATTGGATCACCATTCTGTAACACAGCTCGAAATTTTTTAATGTCTAATGTTGAAATTGTCCATCCTGAATAACCACAAGACATTTCTTCCCTTAGAGAATCTGAAAATGAATTTGAAAAGTAATTTAAATTAGGATCAGCACTTCACATTTCAAGAGGTCATTTAAAAAGAAATGTTTATATATTTGTATTCTTTTATAGGAGCAACGTAGAACTAAACAATCCTTTTTTTCATTGATTAAAATACAATAATTGGTTAACAGATTTACAAAAAATTTAAGGAAAAATGCTAACTTAAGCACTATATTTCCAAAATCACCTTACATAGATTATTTATTAAGATCTGCTTATAAAGGGAATTATGCAGCATAATAAAATTCAATAGTTATAATATTAAAACTAAAAATCAAATTTATTTGGGAGGTATTGTTATATCTAATTAATTTTTTATTAATTTTATTACTACCTTTCCATTTTGAAACAAGTAAGAATGAGATTATGAAGTTGAATTTTTGTGTATTTAGTTTAGAAATGGGGATTAAATTTATTTAATCTTTTTATTATGAAGGTCGATTGATAAGAGGAAGATATGAAATAATTAAACATTATTTATAAACTAGTTTCATTTTAGACTTTATAAGAGTAGCAATTACATTATCAACAATCTTAGAGATTCCTGATAGAGTGGAAGTAGAAATAATAAAGAATTTAATCTTATATTCTATATCCTTATTTAAATTGCATTTGAAATTTATAAGTACAAATTATTGTATTGTCAAATTAACAGAATTAATATGTTTAGTATTGTTTATTTGTCACTTTTTTACTTAATAAATGTTTTATGAGGAGGAAATTGATTATATATCTAGATTTGGTATGAGTTTGGATATTTTTTTGAGTAATTCAGTAAAAAGATTTAGAGAAGAAGATCTATATTAATTGTTAAATATTTTCTTTGAAATAATATCATTCATAGTTAAGATTTACATATTATAATAAATAATTAGTTATTGTTTACTAAATTAAGAGAATATGAAAAAGAAAAAAGAATTATTTGATTTACATGGACATTTAAAATAGTTAAATGTATCAAATTTAATTTCTAATCGAGTAATATCTTATTATAAAACAATAATGAAATAAGATGAGAAAATTAAGATGCAAGATTTTCATATCTTTTTTACTTAAAAATTAAAACCAAATTTAGCTTAAGAATTGAAATTATAAATATAAGGAAATTTCCTTAAGAATTTTAAGGTATTCAATAAATTTACTGTATAAACAATGAAAAATTTAATTTGTAATATGGAGGAAGTAGATTTTAGTCCAAATGAAAAGATTTATTGTAAAGAAGAACAAGATGATTAATCTATATATTTTATTACATAAGGAAAAGTAATGATAATGTTTGGAAATAGTGAATTATAAATTTATCATGAAAATTCTTCATTTGGTGAGATAAGTTTTTTTACAGGATTACCAAGAGGATTTACAGCAATTAGTTTAGGATATTCAAGATTATATAAAATAAAAAGAGTTGCATATTTAAATACTGTTAGTAGTATAAATTAAGATTTGGTAAATAATTTTATAAATTTAGAGGAAACAGCTCAGATGATCAAAGACTAAATTATATTTTAATAAAAATATAATATAATTGGAAGAAAATGTATATGTTGTTAAGATTAAAATCATTTAATTTAAGATTGTCCTTTTCTTCATTATAAACCAGATAGAGATATAATTTTGAGTAGATTTATATATCCAGTAAAAATGCGTAGAAGCAAATGTAAAATGAATTAATTAAATAATAGATGATAGAAAAAGACTTCGTTATTAGAATGTATTAATAAATTAATTCTTTAATCATATGAGAGCTTAAGAATTTTAAGAAAATAATGATTTAAATAATTTAGAAGAACAATCTGAAAATTATTTAGTTGATCCTTAATCATCATCTTTTTCAGGTGAATTTAAAATGAAAAATTCATTATTATCTCCAGATCCTATTATTGCAATTTCAATGAATCATAAGAAAAATACTATAGATTCAGAAGAACATTTTAGAAAAAATAAATAACCATTTATTCATCCAATTCCAGAATATAGTGATGAGATATAATCATTTGCTTCTTCTGATATATAAGCACCTTAATTAATAGAAAATAAATCAGAAGAACCTTAAATAAGAATAATCTAAAAATAAGTAAAACCAAAAGGTGATTTATTAAAATCTTAAGGAAGTCAATTAAGCAGATCTATTTCTTAATAATTATTTTAATAAAGATCAAGATCATAATCCTAGAATGTTTTGGATATTTCTTAAATACCTAATAATTAAATAAATAAAAAGTAGATGCTTAGATCATTTTCTTAATTGAGTTATGATGATAAGACTTTTCATAAATAAAAATCTAAAAGAACAAGTACTTCTCAATAGAATGGTTAATCTTTAATCTAATTATTTTAGAATGATTTGGTATATATATAATATAATAATTAGAATCCAATATTAATAGATTTTATATAATTAGATTTAGATAGAGGTTATAATTTTCTAACTTATTTACCTTAAAATAATATGAAAGTAATATTAAGATAATATAAGTATGTGATTACTTAAAAAAGAAGCAAATATACCTTAAATTATGAAATTAGTAAGAAACTAAGAAAATTAACTAGATTATGAGATAGTATTATTGAATTAAATTAACTTAAATGATGATATATTAAATATTTATGTATAATAATCATTTTGAACTAGTTGGTGATGATCTATTTGTAAACTTTTTGATGGATTAGCCTTAGTATTCATTAAATTATAAATCAAGAAACAATTTTCCTCATGTTAATAGTAATTCCAACATTCATTATCCATTATGGGATAATGATGTTCAACCTTAATAAGAATTTCTATTGCCCAACTAATTACAATCACATAAACTTAATAAAAAATACTAGAAATAATAGAAAATCGATGAAACTATGTTCAATCAAAAAAACAATCTCAAGAATACTTATATAAATAAGATCACAAATTTAATACAAGAAACAAAATCAACTGTAACTCCTAAATATGAAAGAAAAGCTTCAATCTACACTGAAGATTCAGCTTAAGCAAAACTTATTCGTAATAGAGAATGTGCTCGAAATTCAAGAAAGAGAAAGAAGATCTATATTGAATTATTAGAAACTAGAGTTAAATCTTTAAATGAAGAACTCGAAAAATCTTAAAGAATAATTAAAGGACAAACAACTTGTTAATAATAATTAGGTTCAAATCAATTAGTATATTATATCAATTTACTTAGTTATAAAATTTTGTTTTAGGTAGATAATAATTGTTTGAAAAACTTGAATATGCTATTAAAAATCATACAGATAATAATGAAATCAATCTCCTTTTAGATTCTATGAGATTTAGAGTTGGAGGAGGAGGCAAAGAAAGAGTTAATGCTTCCAACTATTTCTTTTAATAAATTATGGAAATCTGCTTTCCTATACATGTAAGATATATGTTGTGGGCAGCTACTTCTGAAAATCAAGAACCAACTTGGTTTACTAATTTATCTAAAGAAATCAATCTCACTGAAGTATAAAATAAATCATTAAAAAAATAATATAAAAGAATTCAATAAGATAAAGATAAATTGGAATAGTATTTTTAATTATTTAACTTTTAGATTAATCAAATAATTCTAAATTGTTAAAGATAATTTGTATTTAAAAACTCATTAACTCGAGAATTTCATAGACGAATTAAGGGGTATTCTAACTCCAACTTAAATCGGTACATTTCTCATTGGTCTTGAAAAAGTATCGCACTTTATTATAATTTATAATAGAACAAATTTTAAAAAGAAATGAGTATATCTAATCTCTGGAAAATATTTGATGAAGAGTTCGAAACTGAAGTCAAAGAAGAAGATTCACAACAGCAAGATACTTAATAAAAAAAAGTACATTTATGATCTAATCCTAACTTAAATCATTTTATACATATATTATTTATTATGTCAACTGTTTTACCTATATTAATACCAAAGAGCAATAACATATTATTACTAAAAGGTGATATTGGAAAACCAAAACCAAGTACTCGAAATCTTCCAGATGATAATTTTAGATATGGGATATAAAGTAAAAGAGAACCTATCTAAATTTAATTTTCTAATTTAGAATGTGGAGATCAAATTAAATCATCTATGAGAAGAAATCATAAAGTCTAAAGATCAGACATTACTTTAATGACTCATGGAATGAAAAATAAGTATAAACATGCCATATAATATATCTAGACCATAAACTCCATTTGATAAACTTTTAAAATAATAATATGCTTCTGAAGCAAAAGAACTATTAGATAAAATATATTAGTAAAGAATAAATTCAGAACCTAAAAAACAATATATTAATAAAAATAGATCATTTTCATTAAGATAATAGCATAATACAAAAAATTAACAGAAAATCATGTTTAAACTTTAGAAGTATCATGATATCAAATCTAAAATATATTAATGAATTCATAATTTATGCTTTAATTATGAAACACATACATCAGATCAACCAATAAATAATTAATTATTGATTTTTTGTTATATTTCTGAATTTCTATCATTTTATTATAATCTCTCAATTATTATTTCTCTTTTAAAATTCATTCTAATCAAAATTATTTATAAATTGATTATTATTTCTTAGTTTGATATGGTATTAAATTATTGATATTTTATTAATCTTTCTATCTTTCCATTTAATAAGTTTCATTTCGAATTTTAAGCAACTTACCTTATGAGTTTGAATGAAGATTAATAATCTATAGGAAATAAAATTATAATATATATTTTTGAATTTATATTATAATATTATTAATATTAATTGGATAAATTATTTTCTCTAATAGTATTCATCTCTCTATAATAAAATCCAATTAAGACTAATTTAATCTTAATAGTGTAAAATATATTATGAAGATCTGCATTTTGATATAAATAGTAATGTTATATTTATTTTTAGATTCTCATCAATACTACAATAAATTGATCAATTTAAATACATATAAGAAAATAACATATACACATATAAGTAATAGACTATTTAGTTCTATAATTCATTGTTAAATTAAAAAAGTTAAATTAATGAGGTAAAATGTTGGGGGATTAATTATAATTGTTATATTATAAACCAACTCATTTTATTTATTTTTTTCCAGTTTTTATTAATATCTCTAGAATAATGAATTTTTGTTAGATTTTATAATTCCTTAATATTATTACAATTTTTTGGATAAATAATGAATTTTGATTGCACTTATTGAATATATTTGAATTTTAATGTTCTCACTTGACTTAATCAATAAAATTCAACCATAATATATAAGTTTAATCATTATCATAAATAATTTTAAACTTCCCTCATTATTGCTTACCACAAATGAAATAAAAAAAAATGACATTATATCATTAATTTTTATGTAGCCACAAAACTGGAATAATGCAGTCATCCAAAACCTATAAGATATGATCATTACTCAAGCTGATAGAAACATATTCTTGAGATAAAGTCAAAAACTTAAAGTGTTGCTTACAATCCCACCTAAGGAAAGGACAGATGAACATATTAAGTAGATTAGTGTTTTAGTACAGGTTTGTAAAAAAACCTCATTTAATATACAATTAGAGTGTGAAATTTATTTCCCGATATCGTGAGAAGCCATATTACAATGAATTGTGTCGTAATTTATATGTAAAAACATTCCAATAACGAAAAACAATATTCAAATAAGGAGATACAGGAACATGTTTTTATGTTATTTTAAGTGGACTAGTTAAAATATATGCTGATGAGCCTACTTGCTTTTCAGGATACTTCAAAAAGAGAGAGGTTGCTGTACTTGGGAAAGGTAATTGTTTTGGTGAAATTGCATTATTTTTTGGATCATAAAGAACTGCAACAGTAATTGCAGAATCAGATTGTGATTTACTAATGTTAGATAAAGATGTGTTTTAAAAATATATTTAAGGAGATTCAGAAGATTTGGATTTGTAATCAACTAATTTAAAGGATGTTAGACGTTTCCTTAATACAGTTTAACAATTTTCCTTATTTACTCCAGAAGAAATTGCTCAAATCAGTACTAAATGTCATAAATAAATACATTAATAATAAACTATTCTTTTGAAATAAGGTGTTGTACCTAAATAATTATTTATTATTAAAAAAGGAAGAGTCCGAGTAATAAAAAAGATTGAAGTTGGTTATTAATATTATGAATTAGACGAATTAGAATCAGGTACTGTATTTGGTGATCATGCTTGTCTTACTGATTGTAAATCCGAATACACATATATAACTTCGATAGCAAGTGAAATAATACATCTTAATGGTTTTGACTTAAAATAATATGTTTCATAAGACAAATTAGATAAATATGTCGAATCTATTCATTTTTATCCAGAATCAGAAACTCTTTTTAAAATGTAAATAGAAGATCTTCAATGGAAATAGTACAAAAAGTAAATAGTATAAAATGTAGTCAATGATAAATTGAATAGCAGGGGATTTGATAGAAGGATGAGATTACCTGAATTAAGATATAAATTATTAGATGCTCCAGATCAGTAGATTTATTAGAGAGCATTGTAATATTATTATATTAATGAACTAGTGTATTATAATAGAGTTGCAGAACTCCATAACATAAATAATTGTTCAGAAGAGAAATCGAATCCTTGCGTAATTAGATATCTCCAAAGAGGATGAAACGATTTGAATAAAATTACTTATGAATTATTATAATAAACCAAATATAGGGTGATTACTTTGTTGATTAAATACCTAACAAAGATTCAAAAGAAGAACCCAATCAATTTACATTTATTTAACTTTCATATACAGAAACAATTTAATTTCTAGAATACCAAAAGAATGTAAATATTCTATCTACTATCAATAAATTTAAGAATAGACCTTTTCTATTTTGGTTTATATAAACATCATTAAAATATGGAGATGAAAATGTTAATTGATAATGCCACTAAAATAAAGGATGTGATAATTAATAAATCTGTTTAAGAATAAGAGAATTCTATTAGAAACTATTATTATTTAATTTATAAAGAATTGTAACAAATCTCTATAGAGAATGAGCTATTCTGTAGATGAAGATGATATTTGTTAATTTTCAATCACCAAAGTATTTAGGAATAAAATAATGGTAAATTTTAGTATTAAGTGTGTAAATATTGAATTAAAGAATTAGATAATATTAATGAATGTTCTGTTGATTATAAATTATTTATTTTTTAATGAAATAGCTCTAATTTGATTGTAATCTAAACATGTTAAATTGTTGGATAATATTATATATAGTAATATATATATATATATATTAATTGAATAGGATGAATTGGATAAATTCATAAAGATAGATTGAATTATTTATACTTCCAATTATCAATATTCATAATTATATTCATTATTTATATTATTCTAGAATAATAATTTTAACAACAAATATTATATACTATTTTGAAGCCAAAGCACAAACTAATTATTTATTTTACATTAATAAAAATCACTTAAAATAAATGTCAAAGGAAGTTAGCGAATTGGTTATTACAAGGTTAAAAGCAGAACGTAGAGCTTGGAGAACTGATCATCCACACGGATTTGTTGCCAAACCTATCACTAAAGAAGACGGAACAGTTGATTTACTTAAATGGGTATGTGAAATACCAGGACCACAAGGAGTATAATCCTCAATACAATTAGTGTCCTTGGGAGGAGGGTACTTATACTTTGCATATGGACTTTTCACATGATTACCCTATGAAACCACCTAAATGTTAATTCAAACCTGTCTTGCCACATCCAAATGTCTACCCTTCTGGAACTGTTTGTCTATCAATTCTCAACGAAGAAGAAGACTGGAAATCTAGTATTACTGTGAAACAAATCTTACTTGGCATTTAAAAACTATTAAAAGATGAACCCAATATTGAAAGTCCTGCTTAATATGAACCTTGCAATTAATATAAGTAAATCTATTTCATTTAATATTTAGAAATAATCGTCAAGAATACTTGAAGAAAGCAAGAGAGTTTGCTGCTTCACTTAAGAAGCAACCTTAATGATCAGTCAATATCTATATAAATTATTAAGTTTTAATTACACCATTCTTACTTAATTATTAATTCCCCCCTATAATTAATTATAAATATTTTATTGGCGTATCATTTTTTCAGTTTACATAATTATATTTCTAATTCCTCTCTGACAATTAATTAATTACTTTATGGGCTGTATCATTAACCTAAACAAAATTGATCTTTCTCATGAGCTTGACCAAGACCCTTAAGAAGACGAACAACCACTAAACAAAATTAATAACACAATACAAATTCATATAATGGAATTCACCTAAAAATCTAATAATGATGATTCAGCCCTATTTCTTTAAAAATAGGCATCTACCTATCCTATAGTAAGTAATTATTCTAATAAATCTAATTCGAACTCAATAAAATCATGTTTAAAACCATAATCTGGTCGATCATTATTTGTAAAAGAAGATCGCCATAAAACAGTTCAATTCAATTAAATTATCAAAGTAGTAACTAGAAATAAAGTTTTTTATTTAAGAAGAATAAGGAGATCAAAAAATAAGAAAACAAAAATAGATCTTGATGAAATCTTTTGAATTATCTATTTGGTATTTAATTTTTAATTAAATTCATAAAATAATTTGATTTATAAGTATTTGTAATAATTTTGTTTCATATTATATGGATCTTATCTATACCTTATGCAAAATAAATAAGAGCAAATAATAATGCACCAATTTAAAATGTTGTATATTTATAAATTTATGAATCATTAAATTTTAATACATGTTAACAATACTTCATTTTCATTGTCAAATCTCTTAGGTCTAACATATATTTACACTATATGATGAATCTATTGAAATTAAAGGTCCATAATTTCTCATGGAGTTAGATATAAATTATAAAATGAAAATAAGATGGGAAATATCTGAGAAAAGAATATTGTCTTTATAAATTAAGGATTTACTCATTTAGGCTAATTAAGATGATCTTATATAGTTGAAATAACACCTTGATGGAAGAGTAATATATTTAGGAATATAAAATATTTATGAAACTATGGAATTAATTTCAGCTAAAGAAAACAGTAAAGTAGTTCTTTATACTATTAAGGTATGTTAACTTGAAGATAGATTCACAAAAGTTTGTGTTTGTTGTAAAGCATTACGTAAAGATGCTTATGAAATAGAACAATTACATTAATCAATAATGATTTTATATAAGTTATAACAATATTCATATTTTCCAAGAATTTATGAAATATATGAATCAAAAACTCACTTATATATTGTTTAAGAATTAATGTATTAACATATAAGTGTAGATTTAATGCATGAAGAAATTTAAATAATTATTTATGTATTAATTATTGATTTAAACAAAGGAATTATTAAAGATTGTTAAAATATTGATAGAGAATAAAATTTATTACTCAAAGATTAAGTTATCAAAATTAATGTTGGACAAGAAAGGTAACTTAAGATTGATTGGATTTTGTCCTGCTCAACAAACTAATGAAATAGATATTGAAAATTATTTAGATAAAATTGGAAATATTATGATGAATTTGTATGAGTAACTTAACAAATAATTAGGTATGGTGTCAATGATAGTTTTAATTCACTTCCTAAAATTGCTGATAATGGAAATGAATTTATTGTAGGATTAATGAATCCTAATCGTGATTATAGATTTAGTTATGAAGATGCCATGTAGCATGAATATATTAAAAATATCTTTAGTGAACCAAATTTAATATAACATGTATGATTAATTCTTTTATAAAGAAATCACCAAACCCAAAGTTAATTACAGATGTTACAGAATCTTTAACCTTTTATTCTAAGAAGGGGTCTTGTTTTTAAAAATAATATTGATTTAATAATTAAACTTTCTTTATACAAAATAAAATTATTCTTTTATATATATTTCATAGCTCTACATAATTTAGTAGTAAATTAAATAAAGTTATATATCATGAATTACAATCTTAAGTTTGAATGTGTTTTTGATGAAAAACCTGCTTAAATCATATGTGATTAGCATAATCTGGAAGTGAAGACTATAAATGAATATTTTAAGTTTTATATTTCACTGAATCTTCATTTCTAATGGATATATGTCGAAAACTAAATTAATGAAGCTAGATTTTAGAATTTTTCTCTTAAGGGTAAAATAGAAAACTTAGAAAAATTTAAAAACTTTTTAGATTGTCGAGTTATGTACTTAGGTGCATCATAGATATATGAATAATATTGCTTAATCAAAGAAGATGAATTAAAAAAAGTATTTATTGTTTTTAAATATTATAGGCAATGATTGTCAAATCAAAGATAAATGGTGAAAAGTATTTTTGTAAGGTATACAAAAAGGAAATCAGATAAAATGAGTATTAATTTTTTAATGAACTTAAAATCTTGAGAATGTTACAAATGAACAAGAATGTAGTACAAATCATTGAAGTATTTGAATCAAAACATAATTATTACATGATCATGGAATAAATGGTACATAATCTTGAATAAGATTATACACATGAAGAAAATCAAATTATTATAACAGTATGAAAAAATTAATTCTTAGGAAATATTAAATATTTTAGATGATTTAAATCGAAAATCCATTATCCATGGTTAAATAAGGCCAAAAAATGTTATGTTTGATAAAGATAATGTAATGAAGTTGATTGGGTTTAGTAAAGCTAAAATATTAGAAGAAGTAGATGGATAAGATATATATGATTTACATAGAATACTTCTTTATTTGAATGGTCTCAGTCGAAATGAAGTAGATTGTGCAAATGGGATTTATCCACACATTCCATCTCATGGAACTAACTTTTTAAAAAGTCTTTTAAATCCTACAAAATATAGAATTAATATAAAATAGGCACTTACTCATCCTTTTTTGAAATGTATTGAAACTGATCATTAGATTGTAAGGGTAGAAATGAATCTGAAGTTTAAACATAATTTTAACAATTTTTAATGAGTTATTTTTTATATATAATTAATTAAGGATGTATAAGAGAATAACTGCAAATTTAAGAAGTAAAGAAGAAGATGAAGACTTTTTTGAATGGAATCAAATGTATGTACAATAAGAGATGGAAAATGATATTGAATGTTATAGTTGTTCACTTTGTGATAGACAATTTGGTAAAAATTAATATGAATTGAATGCTCACATAAATTCACATGATCATAAGAAATTAGAAAAAGAATTTAGAAAAAGATACAATAATTTGATTATAGAATATCAACTTAACACTTATTCATAAAGAATAGGAAGAAAATTGAAAAAATTATAGTATTTTAAGTGCATTTACGAATACAAATGATTAATTAAAATATGAAATAATTATCAAAATCAATAAGATATGCCTATTGGAATACAATCAAGGACATCAATCCTCTTTTTGTTGAAGCTTAATATGCTGTAAGAGGACAAGTACCTTCAATGGCAGCCACTATCCAAGAGGAAATAAATGCTGGAAAGAAGTATCCCTTCGATTCAATTACTGAATTGAATATTGGTAATCCATAAACATTTGGTCAAAAACCAATCACTTTTAATAGAAGTGTTCTTTCTTCTATGTTGGATCCAAACATATTGAAATATTAATCAGGAGATGTCCAAAGAAGAGTCAATTTTTATAATGACAAAATTGGATTCCAAGTAGGTGCTTATAGTTAATCTCCAGGCTATCCAATAATAAGAGAAGCAGTTGCAAAGTAAATCTTATCTTTTATATTATTCTTAAAGTTTCATCTAGAGAAGAGATGCTACCAAAAATAGACCTTCTATTAATGATATCATTCTTACTGATGGAGCATCATCAGGCATTACCTTAATGTTCAACTTATTGCTTAAAGATAAAAATGACGGTGTAATGATACCAATTCCTTAATATCCTCTCTATTCTGCTGTCATAGCCTAATGTGGAGCCTAATAAATACCATATTATTTGGTTGAGGAGAAGAATTGGTCTGCTGAATAAAAATAATTAGAAGGTATTATTATTTATAAAAATTATAATTCAGAATAATATTCCAAAGCAAAAAGAAATGGAATCAACCCAAGAATATTGGTATGTATCAATCCAGGTAATCCAACAGGATAAGTATTTGATAAATAGAGTATTGTTGAAATGATAAAGTATTATTGATCATTTATATAAGGTTTGCTGCAGAAAAGAAAATTACTATATTTGCAGATGAAGTTTATTAAGAAAATATATATGATCCAAAGAAAAAGTTTATTTCATTTAGAAAAGTGGCCAATGAACTTAATTTAGATGTTGAAATATATTCATTCCACTCTATTTCTAAAGGTATTACAGGAGAATGTGGTTTAAGAGGAGGATATATGGAAATCACATCTAAAGTTGATTCAGAAGTTCATTTCCAAATTCATAAATCTAAAAGTATACATACTATATATATATCCTATAGCTATTATGTTATGTTCAAATACTGTCGGATAATTGATGACAGGATTGATGCTTACACCACCAACTGTTGAAGAAGGTTGTTCTGAATCAACAGTTTAATAATATAATGAAGAATGCAAGGCACTTTTCAATAGTTTATAAAGAAGAGCTGATATTGTGACTAAATATCTTAATTAAACTAAAGGTGTATCTTGTTAACCAATTGAAGGTGCCATGTATGCTTTCCCTAGAATCTTTTTATCAGGTAAATTGTTATTTTTCATATTTTAGATAAATATGTAGAACATGCTAAGAAATTAGGTTATTAGCCAGATGTCTTATACTGTTTAGACCTTCTCAAAGAAACAGGATTAGTTGTTGTACCTGGTTCTGGATTTTTGCAATATCCAGGAACTTATCATTTCAGAATGACTATCTTGATTTTACCTGAAGAGAAACTCTTAGCCAAGATGAAAATATTCTAATAATGGCACGAAAGTTACATTGCAAAATTCTAATGAATAATTTTTATAAATTTAATGAACAAAAAAATAAACAATAATTCAAATTATTAATTTAATCTATTTGATTATATTCTTATTTATCAATGTTTTTAAAGGAATGAATCTTAAGCAAAATTTTAGATTGTTATAATTTTTAATTACAAAATATGCTAAAACACAAGTAAGTATTAGTATTAATAATTGTATCATTATTCCTATTCCAATAAGCATATAAAGTATATAATTTGTTTCTTAATTCAACTTATCTTTTGCAAGTGATATAAAGAAATCTGAAAATAATTTTAATTAATAATTAGTAGCATCTAATCCCCAAAATATATAAATAAAGTATTCTTTAGAATATATTTAATCCAAAAAGTAATTATTCTAATTTGAATTATTTATTAATCCTAAATTGTTAACTACAGAAATAGTTTATTAGTATAGTTAAATTAATCCTACTGAAAAATATTATTCCAAATCTTTTTATAATAGTCTATTTTAAAATATATCATTCCTCATTGAACAATCAAAAACCAAACAAATATCTTTTATTAAAAGACTTTCCTTTTATTAATCATTCAAATTCTCCACTATATTTGTAAAGGGTTCTTATTATGCTTATAAAATTGAATAATTTAATTCAGTTGTATTAATTTCTATTAATGAAAAGATTAAATTATCACTTATAATGTTTTAATTCATTATTTAATTATCCTTTTCACTATTGTAAAATGTCTAATAAAACATTTTATGATTGTAGACATCCCAATTATTTATTAACTCTATGAAATTAAGTCTTATTTAAACAGCAGATAATGCTTAATTTACTATTGGATTTATTTCATTTGAATAATTGATATATTGTAATTAAAAGATTAATAAAAATATGAGTAAGAATCCAAAAACCAAAATTTATAGAATATAATAATATCCTATATTAAATTTATCTTCTAATTTTAGATTGACAATTTTCAATTAAGATTATATAGGAAATGAGGTTTCCTGTGATTTCTCATAAAATAGATAAAAAAACTTAGTATTAAACCAAAATTCATCAATTTTAATATTTTAACATATATATTGCAACATTTCAGTATCAGAATCTAAATCTCTATTATCTAATCTTAAATATACTTATAAAATCTATTATAACTTCTTTACAATATTCATTAATAAACATAGTAATAATATGAATAAAATAAGTTGAATCATATAAATAGTTATAAATATAACTTAAACTTAGTTGTCAAATTAATTATTGTAATCTTTACTATTTTATAAACATGATTCTATAAATTAGGCAGTAAGATCACAAACATCATTAAAATTCAAGAATAAGATTGATCTTGTATTTATTTATGGAAAAGTATCCTAATTTCCATTGAGATAATTAGATGGATCTCCAGCAAATGTTTTAATTGCCAAATAAAACAATTAATTCATTATTTCATAATATTTTGCTTAAGTTTAAACTTCTTATATTTGTATCTTGGTTATAAAATAATCAACATACTTAAAATTGATTAACTTTTACTCTTAATAACTATCTAAATATTTAATATAATTTTCATATAAATCTATCAATTCCTAACAATTCTTTTAATAAAGATCTAATGATAAAGTTATCTTATCAGTAATTTTTATAAATGTTGAATCTTACATTAATTCAATTGTCTATTCATCCTTAACAAACTTATGAAAATCTCTATAAAATACTGTATGTCTACTTCCTTTCAAAATAAGTCCATAATAATCTAAGAATTCGGTACCATAAAATAATCTATCAAAACATATATCCTATTAACTTCTCTTTTATATTAACAATAAATAAATAATAATTATAGAAGTAATAGAAAGTATCACATTTAATATTGATACTATTAAAAAATTAATTATACATGAAGGTAATTATGATGATGATATTTATTATAAAAGTTGATCACCTTATTTTATTGCACTTGTTGTGCTAGTTTTAGAATGTAGAGATCTTAAAATATCATGTTTTTCTTGGGATTTAGATTTACTCATTCTAATATAACATAAATATATATACTATTGTAATTATTCTTTTTTTACATTCTTATTATCTTAATCAATTAAATTTGGTTGATCTAATTTATGTTCTTAATTAATCTAGGCCAAATCTATAATTAATTTATAATAAATATAGTATTCCTCTTATTATTCATACTCATAATTAATTATACACATAGATATCTCATAATCAATTTATTTAGTATCTTCAAATGAAGTTGAGTGTTCTATTTGTTAAATTAAATTATTTATTAATTTTGATTGTTAATTTTAATTAAGTGATTTAGAGATATTATGAAATGTAATCTTCTTTGTATTATATGAATAGCAATTGTTAATCTAAATAATTTAATTTTAAATATAAATTGATTTATTATCATTTTTTTCAGAATGAAATTTAATCAAGTTTTCTCTAAGTGTTGGAATCATTTAAAAAATATTAATTTTATTAATATTAAGTTGATATTAATCAAGAAATCTATAAAATGTTTTATTTGCAGACATAATATTAAATGATAAATCTAAATGTATTATTGCATGATTTCCTATTTCATTTTTACATATAAAAGCTATTAATTAAAAATTATTTAGTTTTTGATTTGGAAAATATGGCTATAAAATTAATTTAATTTAAATTAAATTTTTATTTTATGAACTTATAGTAGTATCTATTTACTTTCCAATAAATTTAGATTTACCTCTATTCAAATATGAATTCATTAATCTTATGTGACTAGATCTAAAAGAAGGATGAAGAAGTTAAGATATATGAGTCAATTATATTTTATCATCTAATTCTAAAAACATTTTTTATTTCTCTGTGAGTTTTTATGTTATCTAACCATCATCTTTAAAAGTAGCAGTTAAATATATTCCATTATTAGATGTAAATGAAACATTTGTAAAAAAATCATCTTCTTAGAATATTTCACTTTAAATTAATTCATCAATTTTACAATAGATCTCATATTATTCTCTTAAATTTTAAGTAAGATAAGACAAAAGTAAACTAATTCTTAATGAAAAAATGTTATTTATTTTATTATTTTAATAAATCTTCATATCTTTACTTAATTTAAGTACATTTGTAGTCATTTCTCTTAAATATAACAATCTATAGTATAACTATTAAAAATTAATTATTCTACCTTCTTTGAGACCAATATTTAGTTAAATTTTCTACTCAATTATTTTCTACAATTCTGTTTAAATAATAATACCTTAATATTTTAATAATTTTAGCTCTTCTATAAAATTGTTTCTAATATGTAATTGAAATAGTTCCTTATTTATTTATTTTTATATTTTAGTTTCTAACATCAATAGTATAATTAAAAAATAATCATTTTAAAATGATAGTTTATGAGTTAGAATCAGTTGATAAGCTTGAATTAGATTATGAGTAACTTCATGTAAATATGATATATAATACATAATTAACTATTCATTTCTTTAATTTGCAATTAAATTTCTTAAACAAAATGAAATAATCTATTATAAATCAATATCTGTTTATATAATCTTAATTTTCTTACATGAACATTTTAATTCTTTGCATCTGTCTAGATGGATTTATTAGTAAATTTTGAATTATAAAAGTTCTTAAGGATTATGCATATGTTATAAATAAGAGAAATGATAAAGTTAACAAAAAGTCAATGATTTTGGCTAATATTTCATCATGGTTTCAATTCTATTTTGGATTAATATTGCTAAATTAAATGTAAACTAAATAAAATATTTAAGGAATTACACTAAAAATAAAAAGAAATGCATAAAGTAATTATTATTGTTAAGGTTAATGGAATTAATAGATCCCTATTGATATTAGAGTAATTGAAAAGGAGTGAATGTAACATTCATAAATCATAAAACCATTATAATATTACAATAATTCTATCATCATTTCAACAAAAGTACAAAGCCAATAAAATAGTAATATATATTAAAAATATATATTCATTTGGAAATACTATTATTAAATTAAAATCTATTGAATTAATAATGGTTTTATTATCTAAAATTTAGTAAATACTCTATTTGCATTATTTGGTAGAAAGTTTATTGGTTAAAAATAGTAGTTCTAATTTAAATTAAATAAATAAATGATAATTGTATTTATCACTAATACGATTATTTTTTCAATTTAATTGTTTATAAAATTGAGGGTTATTATTTAGAATGGAATCAAGCATAATTTATCATAGTTTTTAAGTATAAGTCTTAATATTATATGACTATTTTAATTAATGTTATTATTCAAAATAAATGTAATTATAATTGACAATATTATTAAATGAATGGCTAATACAATATATGATGAGGATTGTAATAATAAATTATTTATAATTTGATCTATTATTGGTATTTCAATTAAAGAAATAGTTTGTATTAAAAGTGATACATTTATTAGGTATATAGGATAAACTATAAATTTTAGAATTTATTCTTCTTAAGATTAATGTTAACTATCAATGTTAGCCAAGTTGGCTATGAAGGATTAGTATTTGAAAATAATGAGTTTAATGATTTGAGTTAAGATCATAAGTTAAAAATAAATAATTCTTAATTTTTATAATAATTATGAATATAAAATGAAATTACTTAAAATATCATCAAACAAATGTCTTTTAATATTTAATTTTTGGATCTCCATATATTTTGGCATTCCCAAATGCTCATTTAATAACATCACTTTTTATAGTATACAATCAATAAATGTTAAGACTTACAAAAGTAAAATCAAAAATGGTAAAATATAAATTGATTCAACTCCTATTTAATATTTATATTATATATTACTTAGCATTGGTTTCTTAGTAGAAATATTATTATTAAAATATATCATTAATATCATATAAATTCATATCTACCATATACAAAATAATTAAATAAATTTATCATCTTTTTTCTTATATCTATAAAAGGGACTGAAAGTAATGCTTCTATTTTTCAATAAGAATTCAAATAAGAGACGTATTATTAATTTTAAATTGGAATTTCAATATTAATTACTTACCTTGTTTAATCTAATTCTAAACCAGCAGTTAAATATTCAGATTCATCTATTGTTTGCCATCCAAATATTACATACATAATTTTTTAAAGAAAACTTCAACAATGTATAAGTTCTTCCTAAACAATATGATGCTAGTTTATCTCTTTAGAATAAAATTCAAAGTAAATTTAAATATCAAATAATAACATTTAAACGACCAAGTTTGGTTATAATAATAGTTATAGTAATCCCTTTCTGTGTAATTGATCAGTTTATTGAATTGAATAATATTATCTGCTTTATAAAATTCATTGTAAGTTAATAATAGACAAGGATCATTAAATAGTATTCTTCTGTTTTCAAGAGATTCTAATAATTTTTTTTAATCCAATAAATCAATAACCCTATTGATATAGAAAAATAATTAAGGAATTTTAATAGGGTTAATAAATACATATATATACAATTCTATATCAAAGAAAATGTTTATATATCAATTTTTGATTTTATTCAAAATGGTACCTACTTACAAATATCTCTTTAAACAATTCATAAATTCTTAATCTGGCTCAAATTCTTTAGGAGTATAAATATATTCAGAATTTTGTGATTCATCCTATTCTTCATGTTCCATATCATCTAGATTATCAATTAAAAATGGAATATCTGAAGTAAATTTAACAACTTAAAATTGTCCATCTCGATTTAATTGAACTCCAAATTAAGACTTTTAGATTTGAAATGCTGATGGATTAATAATTTCATGACTGGAATCAAACTTCTTATACATCAACTAAATCATGCCTTGTTCATAATGTTGAATTGCTTATGTTTAATGAGATTCGATTTCTTCTGTAATCTGAATAGCTTGTAAATAATTTGTTTAATTCATATATCATTATAATTCACTTTTGTTTCACGTATTTAAAACATAATAGCTGGTTAAGTTTTATCTTAAGCAATTGAATCAAGATCTTTGTATTGTCTTTATTAGACTCTAGGAGCAAAGTTAATTGGTAATTAGACTCTAGAATTAGTATTCAATATATACTTATTTTCTTATAATTATGCTTAATCTATAGCTCCTTTTAAAAAGATCTGTCTCTATATAGTAGCTTTACTGATTCTCTCAATTTTATGATTAGTAGCCATCTATTGATCAATTACTTATTATCTTAAAGATTGTTAATGTTCCCAATATTATTTCTCATGTTTAAGAGATATATGTTTAATTAAGAAGGTTCCACCTTAGAATTGCTTTTCACAGAATATACAAGGATAAGCATCTTTTTAACGAGTATTTCTTAATTTCAATCCCATTTGTATAATTTCATTATCAATTAATTCACTTAATGGTAATTCATCACTACTCTCTTCTCTACGACGATTACATAGAGCTTGAATTATGTCTTACCACTCTAGATTGCATTTCTTTTTTTAGTCTAATCTGAAGAAATGCTAAATTTAATTATAAATCCACTTACATAGCCTACTTTAGAGACAAGTAATCTATAGTCAGAGAATTCAGCTCCACTCCAATAACAATAATTGTGTATTCTTCTCAAATATAAAGTTTGTATATCTAATTATCTATTGAATGTTGGATCATCTCTATCTTTGAGTGGTCCTTCAATGAGAGGATTACCACTTATTCCTTTTTCTTTATCTAAGACTTTTATAAGCTCTCTTTATTATTGTAAATCTTTCAATAATTTATTATATTCGACTGATTTAAAAACTCTAACAAATTTCCTAATTGAAAATCATAAATGGCATTCTACCTCTTCTCTTATTATTTTTAAAATTAAAGCACATGTCCCTTAATTGTGATACTCTCATCATTTACACAACGATTACAATATTCTTCTCCATCAAAGCTAACCCAACCAATTCTAGTATAATTCTATAATTTATTAGGTTCTGATAATGTTAGACTCACATAACCACCCATTTAAGAAAGGGATTTAACAATATCTGCTCTAGAAAGAGGTAAAGGTACATTCTTAATAAAAACACTATTTTAATTTGGATCTGATCCAAAAAATGGAGCTTTGATTATATCAACAGATTCTATATATAGTATTTATATAAATATACCTTTGAGTTAAAATTCCCAAAAAGGAACATCTGGATCATCATTATAGAAATGATCATTCAATTCAAAGAGATCCATAACTTGCATTTCTGTCAATGTTAAATTTATATTGTTAAATCCTCCCATATTATATTACTTCAAAAATTCATTGAAGCGATTTTATGCTAATTAATTACGTTCTTCTTAGAATTCTCTTCTATTTACAGGATTATATTTATCTTAAATCCAAGGTTCATCTTTATGTTAATCAAAGAATAATTCCTTTTATTTGTTTTCCCACTTCCTCTCATATGTCTAATAAAGAAGTCTCAATTTCTCTGTTGGAATATCATTGTTTACCTATAATTTCATTCATATGAAATATTACATATAATTCTTAAAATTAATCAAAATTGAGCAACTATTAATCAAGTGGAGGAAATTCAACAGTGTGTTTGACTCTCTTAATTTACTTCTTTTTATATTTAAAATTTCTTTTTTTTGAATTGCTTCGACTTCTGTCCTTACTCAAATTCGAGACCGATGAAGATGCTGATGAAAAACTATGATAATCTAAATTATACATACCTCCTAGATGATGCTCTTTCTTCCATTAATAAAATAATACTTCAATATTAATTATTATTATAATATTACAATTTTCTTTAGAACAAATAACTGTCTTAATTATTTTAGCTAAAATAAAATATTTTAAATAGTATTTAAATAAGAATAAAGCTTAATTTATTTTAAATCAGATCTATGTTAACAATTTTAATAAAATCAAATATCATTCATTACATTTTTAATGGAAATTAGCAAATTTTGATGCATATATATTAAATGATTTAATAATATAATTAAATATTATAATAACAAACCTAAATGAGCTCTGGAGTTGGATCCCAATTATAAGATAATTTTAAAGATTCAATTTATGATCAAATACATTTATAAGAATAAAGTTTAGAAGATTAATTTGATGAAAAAGAAAGTGAATATAAGAGATAAAGCTTATAAAAAGAAATATTAGAGAAACAAGAGTTTTTAAATTAATCCTTAAGTTATTAACAAAAAGAATAAAGTCCATCATTAGATTAAGAAAATGGAAAATGTGTAGCATTTGAAATCATAGACAAATTAACGATATCAATAACGGAATCCAAATTTCTTTGGGAACTAATATCTCCTTTTTATAGTGAAAATACTGATGTAAAAATAATCTCATAAATTCTTTCTTAAATTTCAAATGATATATACTTAAACAAGATATTTAATTAATAATTTAATGAAGATACTAAAATCTTAAGATAATTATTAAAGCTCTTGCATAAATATGCACATAATTAACCTGAACTTGTAAAAAGTAACTAATTCGTAAAAATCATGGAATAAGATGAGCATTTAAGAATATTAATATAAATTTACGATATATATTAAGAATACCTTGATAATAAAGAAGAATTTTCTAATTCATTTAACAATTAACTTGATATTGAACTTGAAAAAGACTTCTCTTTAAATCTATAAAATAAGCTCTAGAAAGGCTCAAATTGAGTTGCTAGTTGCTTATGTTATGACTTAATTTTATATTTGATATTGAATTTAGTTAATTAATCAATCAATTATATTTGTTAACATTTATAAAAATACTTAATTACTATTCGTTTAGTTTAATAAATGTACTTGCTTCAATCTCATTAATATGAAATTCCTCATAATTTATTAATTAAGAAAAAATTAGAATTTTGGATATTTAATTATGTAAAAATTAAATGAGCATCTGCAACATAAATAAGATATGCTTAATAATAAATCTTAAATAAAAGAGCCTAAATTAAACATAGAAATGATGAAACAGATACTAAAAATGTATTATATTAACTATTAAATTTTTGTAATTTATAATATTGAAATTTAAACATGAAGTTTTTTGGAGAAAAGTTTATATCAAAAAAATAGTAATTGTAGATTATAATATGTAGATAAATAATAAAAAAAAGGATAAATCTCAAGTAGTACTGTAATAAGATAATTAAGCAAAATGTAAACATTTGTGAAAATACTGCAATTTTTGGATAAAAAATATATATTAAGAAATTTTCTTTGAGTTTATAATGATGATTCATATAATTATCATTTATAATTCCATTAAACATAAAATTAATTTTAACTTTAAAAAACATAAAAGAGAAAGTGATACTTTAAAAAAATGAATATCTTTGTATTATTATAATAAATTCAAATCTACTTCAAAATATATCAACAAAGGTAATTAAGGTATCCATATATAACCAAGTAACTAAAAATTAAATAATTGAATAATAACTTTCTTATATAATACAAAAGAAATCAAAGATATATGTAAAGATACTATAATACATTTATGTTTAAATTTCAAGGTAAGGATTATTCAATAACAATAGTAAATATCTAGACTATCATTTAAAGATGGTTACTTTACACCAATAATTAGATTAAGTAAGATAGTCATTGGATTAATAATTTACTTCATGTTTTTCTGATATACAGATTTAACATAGAACATGATCTATGATACCTAAGTTCTTTTCTAAAATATAATTATATTATATATAAATTAATTTGTTGGGAATCAATTTAGTATTGTCATCAAAATAGAACAAAAATAAACCATTAATTGATTTTAATATAAATGTTTGTTTTATTCTTCGTCTATTAATGCTAAGCTCAATTTAATATATAAACTACAATTGGAGGGAATAATATTTCAATATATGAAAATTAAGTGTAGAATCATTAATTTAGTGTGTAAGAATAATATTAATGTCATCCATCAGAGTTATTTGAAGAGGATTATAAATAGGATAGCAGAATATTTTATATTTAAAATTTGCATTCAAATGCATTAAACTTAAGTATCATACCTATATCACTTAAACCTCGAGATATGTAATTGATAAATGTGACAAATTAAGTTGAATAATAAGAAATTACAATAGATGGAAGTTCAATATATGAATACAAAATAAATTATGAATGTTATTAGGATTGGGCTTATGTTGAATTACATGTACGATATGGAAAGACAATATTAAATTTTAGATATATTAAGATTTGTGAAGAAAGTCTCTATTATCATGATTACCCTAATATTATATTGGGAGTAATAGCTTGTATATTAACGTATATAAGTGCAATTTATGGATAAAAAAGATTTAAATTGAAGTAAGAATAAGCATAATAATAAATTGATGAATTAGAATCAAGTGATTCATTTTATAAAGCAAGGTAAATTTACTCTCCTTAATATTCACAACCAGAATAAATAATAAAAATAGGTGATTTTTAAACAACATCTGGTTCTGTAAATATAATAGCAGTAAAAGAAAAAGAGATTAATTTCAAGTTAAGATTAATATTATATGTATTAATTGTAATTGGATACTTAACAATCTTAAATTTATTAGAATAAATAACATTATTAGAGATACCAATTTATGGGATATATTTTATTTGTGTTTAAATAACCATGACAGATCTATTGATTTTCATTGTATCATCATCTATATCTCCATATATTAAATTACCTCTATATGGAAGAGTAAAATTAGTTAATTTATTTACTTATTTGCTGCAATTTATATATACTTTCTTTTTAATAATGACAGACAATTGGATATTAAAGAGTTTCAGTTCCATTTGCTTGCTATTTTAATTAATAAGAGTAAAACAATAATTAATTTAACTTAGTTTATGAAGTTTTATAATCTTCAACAATTATTATCAGTCTATTGCTTTATATTTGGAATGTCATTTTTCATTTAATACTAATTTTAAATTGAATTTCCAAAATTGTATTTTCCAAATACATTTTTTTTAGAGAATCCTAAATTAACATGTAGTAATATTAATATATTATAATTGATGTTACCATGTTCATTATTAACTTTTACAAGATATTTTAGTAAATAAACTAGATCACATTCAATAATGTTTAAATTAGGATATCTAAGTTATGTTATAGGTTTATGTTTAAGTTTGAAATTAAATGAGAATAATCTTATTTAAATATTGATAGATAACTTATTACCATCAATAATGATTTTTATAACTATTAATGTATATAGTATTACAAAAAGAGAGATTAAATAAATATATTCAGGAATAGAACCTGGATTACATAATAGAGCAATTCAATAATAATATAGTTATGAATTAACAATTGATAAATATAATAAAAATTAGTGAATATCATCATAGAATTCTTCTTCTTTCAATCTAATTGGCACTATGACTGTATTCTCTTACTTCTTTAACATAATTATTATTAGATTTAATCTTTCTATAAGTGATATAGTTATCATAATTGTATCTAACTGGTAATGGACTTTATTGACGTCCAGTAAAATAATTTTTATTAATTTTCTATTGAAAACATGTTTTTCTAAATTATTTTTACTAGAAATCTTCATAATCTAAAAGTACAGTTCTATTAGATAAATCTCCATTTATTCCTATCATTTAATAAAGTATCATTATATCATATAAATCATGACTTGTATCTTCAATTTAATCTAAACAAATGCTTGATGATTTTATTGAATTTTTGATTATAACTTCTTATTATTTAATTGGATTTTAAATCATTCTCTTATTAGCTGATAATTAATCTGAAAGAAGAGATTTAAATTATTTAATATCTGGTTTGAAATTATGTTGACAATTATTGATATATTATATTGGTTTAATAACTCTTTATGATGTAAATTTCAAATTATAAAGTTATTTGAATTATAACATATTTAGTAGTATTACTACAATCAATTTATCTTAAAGTATCATATCTTTAAAGAATAATTAATATAGATCATCTTCTCCATTTATTTGAATATGAAAATCTGCATGAAAATTTCTTACAGAAACTGATAAATGTTATTGAACCAATATTAAATTAGCTATTAAATCTTATAATTCTAATTTTCTTGCATATTTAAGTATAAGCACAGATGGTGAACACTTTTACTTAGGAGTCTTATTTTGTCTGTTCACACTAAAGATATTGACCTTACCACTTAAATATTACAATGCCTAGACGTATCCTAGAGATGCCGCTTGGTGCATTAAGGAATCCTTTTGCCTTCCCATTTTCTTGTTGTAATCAAAGTACTCCTCACTGCATGATTAGAAACTCTGTTTAAAATACTTGATCTTACTCGAATTGATGGCACCTGCAAAATCTCATGGATAGGGGCTACTTTCTGACTATTTTTTTGATTAGGATTTTGGTATCTCATCAAAATTTGAATTAATTTAGATTAATTCTCATATTCATTCTAATTTCTACAATGTTTTCTCAATACAAAATGTAATGGTGTATCTCCATTAACACCTTTCATAGGTGTTCCTACATTCTAACTAATCACAAGCATTTTCTCTTCCCAAACTCCAAATATTTATTTCTCTATCATATATTCTACCATCTCTACTTCCAATTTACTACATGCCCATAAAAATACAAATCTTATTAATTTAGAACATGGATCAATATGATCCAATAAAATCTTAAAGATTCTATAAATATCATAAAATAATATACTTAATATTTAATTTTCCTGCCAATATAATAGGTTAAGGATGGTACATTCTCATCAAATATTCTGGATGATATATACAAATAGAAGGTATCACACTTCTTTCATCATATTAAATTGCTTTTATTAACACTGTATTTGTAAATGATGAAAATACATTTACAAAATGTGTAAAATTAAATTCCCTATGATTTCTCAACAATTAACCTATTGTATTTCTTAACAAATTTTATTGCTTACTATCCATATCAATCAATAAAAACCAACTCATATTTAATTATTGAATAGAAGATAAATGTTGATAAATTTCAAATTGGTTCTGTTGAATATCCAAACACACTAAACTCAAATTTGAAAAGTCAGTTGTTTTTAATTCATTATTTGCAATTTCTAAAGTGTGTAATCTTGGCATCTAAACCTTTGGAAAAGCACTTATATAATTATGATTCAATATTAATATCTCCAATTATTATAACTCAACTATTTTATTAGGAATCATCTTTATATTATTGTTACTTAAGTTCAAATAACGTACTTAAAGAATTATAGGAAACTAATCTAATCCTTTTGAATTTAAGTGTACTTCTTTTGTATTACTTTGATCCATTAATTAATAATATAAAATAATTTTTAATTCATAATTATGAGATCACTAGAATATATTTCCAATTTTAAACTTAATCTCTCTAATTATATTTTCATACATGAATTTTATTTTATTAAGAGATTAAGAAATTATTTGATATGATTTTAGAAATAAGTTATAAATATATTTTAGATATTCATTAATAAATAATTAGAATGACTTATTAAGTTAAAATATTAATAAATACTATTAGAATTAACAAAAAAATATGGAATTTAAGATATTTTAAATAGTTCATCAATCATAATATTGATAAAATATATATATAATGTACAATTTCATCTAGCAACAGAAAATTCTAATTTAACATTCATGGCTGCCAATTCATTTACAAGATATCGGAGTACAAATGGTATGGCTACCTTAGAACATTTTGATTGTTTGCATCTTACACAATAAGGATGAGAACTCTAAACAGATTGAATATTTTCTAAGGATAATAATTAGACAAATTAATAAGTGGCTAACATATTACCACATTTATCACAAATGTAGGCTATGAATAATATAATATAATACTTTCAGAGTAATCTGAACATTTCAAAAGACGATCATTAATACAATAAGCAACACCATGAGCAATTAGAGCATCTCTTTCCATTTCACCAAGTCTTATACCTCCTCCCTTCTTTCTACCTTTTATTGGTTATTATGTGAGAACATCAACAGGTCCCATACTTCTAGCTTAAGACTTATCTGAAACCATATGTCTTAATCTTTAATAATAGACAACTCCAAAGTAGATATCAACTTTTAAAGGAGTTCCATAAATTCCAGAATATAAGGTTTCATTTCCATGATAATTAAAGCCATGTTTAATTAATTGTTTTCCAAAGTAATCAACAACATTATCATTCTCATATGGTTAAAATGGATGAGTTTCAAACATCTCTCCTTATAAAACATTTGCCTTAGCAGCCATACTTTCTATTAACATACCAATAGTCATTCTAGATGGGAAAGCATGAGGATTAATAATAATATCTGGTACCATTCCTGATTCTGAGAATGGCATATCAATTTATGGCCATAATAAAGACATTACACCTTTCTAGCCATGACGAGATGAAAATTTGTCACCTATTATTGGATTACGATTAATTCTATATTTGATCATCACAGATACATCATTTTCAGATTTATTTACTACAGCTACTTGCTCAATTCTTGAAGTCTCACTGTCTTTTGAATGATGAACTTTCACCTATTGTAATTAACTATCGTATAATGCTAATACAGCAGTTCCTTTTGTAATAACTTAAGATTATTCAGGTAATCCATAAGGTAATAAATTTACTGGAATATTTGATTTTATTTGATTATATAATTATACAGGTATTTGACTGAGTAATTTGTATTTAACTTCTTTATCATCATTTAAAGAATATTCAGTTGATTTATAAATTATACCATGTCCAAATCCTCTCTCATAACTAGATTTACATAAAATCATAGCATCTTCCATATCATATCCAGTATAGCTGATAACTGCTACGATAGCATTGGTTCCACTTGCATAATCTGCAAATTAATAATCATCATAACCGAAACATCTTACAACAGGTTTTTAAGGAAAGAGGATACGATACATTTTATTATCAAATCTATAAGGGTAATTGTGACATGGAGATCCCATAGTTTGTTTAGCCATTTGACATTAATACATATTTCTAGGACTTTAATTATAATTTAAGAATGGAACATTGGAAGCTAAAATACTTAATATATATGCAGGATCAATTTCTTAATATTGAGTGTCAGTACGAATATCAGCTTATGTACAAGCTATACTCATATTAATCTATTCTAAAGGACTAATCCATTCAATTGTATTCAATTTCAAATTAATAACTGGTCTCATTAATCTTGCTACAGTAGTATTGATATAAATGCCAGGAAAGAGAGGAGACTTGTTCTCTTGTCTAGGTAGACAAGCAACCTCAGTTGTTTCTTTAATTTTACCATTAGATTTATAAACCCTAAGAGTATGTTCAAAAGTTGGTAATAATTATGAATTTAAATAACCAATTAATTTACCATTTAAAACTACTGGGAGATCATTTTTAGAATAAATTAAACGTTAAGATTAAACTCCTAAAGGAAATAATAATTCTTCAATATCTTATTCATCTGGATGTGTTAATGGTACACAACTCATTGTAATATGATTGAGTAGACCACAAGGTCCTCCATCTGGTGTATGGACAGGACAGACAAATCCCCAAACATCAGGAAGTAATTTACGTACAGTAGTTGTTTTCATTTATGCAAAATAAGATCCTCTATGAACAGATCTAAAATGAGATAAAAATCTCATATTATTTAATTTATCAGCAATAATAGTAAATCCACTTGCTTCCATTAAATCTAATCCAGTTTGAGATCTCAAATTACCAGTAGCTAAGAAATTTTCCAATTTTTCACCAACAGTAGTTTATAAATCAAAACATCTTTTAAAATAAGCTAAATCTTTTAATTTAGATTATTCCTTTGTTGCATCTTTCAATATTTTTTCTCTTACTCCAACTAACAAATCTTCTAACTTTTCTCTTAAATATGCAGTATAGAGATGTCCAGAAAGGAGAACCTCTTAATTGACTAAGGAATCCAAATTATCTGGATTAATTTCCTCTATAAAAAGAGCATATAACTTTTCAATGCACAATAAGAGAATAGAAGCTTTATCTTAATCATTTTCTAGATGTACACATATATGTTCTCTTAAGAATATACGTCCAACTTAGAGATCAGTAGTCTCTGGATTAAAAATATTAAGTTCTACTCTAAGTAATCTACCAATATATTCAAGGGCATCTTTTTGAGTATTAATTCCTCTTGATTTAGCATCTGCAATCATGACTTCTACTCTATCAGATATATCTGACTTTTCTGCTTATGAACGCACTATCTATTAATAAATTTGATAATCATTCATATCTGTTAATGCTCTTAATAATATTATTACAGGCATTTGCAATTCCTTCTTCTTTAAAATGATACGCAAGTAAACATTACCATCCATTAAATAATGTAAAGTAATTGTTCTTGCATATTAATCTGATCTCACACATTTCATTTATACTGCATAAGGAGAGAAATTGAATCCTTTATTCTTGTAACCAGGTCTCTTGAATGCAATTGGGTAATTCCTTTTCTATATGATCAACATTCTTATAATTTTCTCATTTCCATTTATTATAAAGTAACCTCCGAATTCATTACAATCTTCCTGTTATTACACCAATTCTTTCATTTAGCCAAATCAAAAATACCTTCTGCACTCAGCCCATTTAAATGACACTTCTGGCTCTTCACCAATATTGGTATTTCTCCTAAAGACAAACGGACTGTCTCCTTTGGATTATCATCTATCTCTCTACAAATTGTGGCTAACATTGGAGCAGTATAACTCTTCTTCATCTATCTACATTGAGTTGGTAAAACTCTATTATCTCCCAACATTCCTTATTATGTTGGCATCCCTATTTAGAGTTCCTCAATCCAAATTTTCATATTCTTAAATGGCAATCGAATGTCTCTATTACCAGGAACACAAACTTCTATAGGACTTAGATGTCGGCATATTTCAACCAAACCATGAGTGTACAAGTAATTAAAACTTTCAATATGATGCTTTGCAGCTACTCTTAATTGATCCCCTTATTAAATTTCCATAAATTAAAATTTTATATTAAAAATAATTTCACATTCATTATTTTAGAAAATGACCCAAAAGGAAATGAATAAGCATAAATTAAACATTATATTATTAATTGCCCATTTATAAATATAATCTAAATTCAATCTCCTCTAAATATATCCATTACTATATAACATCATTCTCTAGATGATTTTGTTTTGATATCCTCTTTTTCATAATAATAATCATTTCAATTATAATAATTCTAGAATAATAATAGAGATTATAATAACTAAGCTATAACTATAAATAATCATTTAAATAATACAATAAAATAATTATATCAATATTTTTGAATGAATCATACATTATATTTAAATAAAATTGATTTTATTGGGGTTTAAGTTAATTTATAATTTGATCTATTTTATAGTCAATAAATAAGTATATTAAGAATAAAACTAATATTTTTTAATAACCATCAATGAATATATGAATCTATTTAATGATTACTTAACAAATTAATTATTTAATTATAGTATATTCATAATCATCAATGTAAAGGTAGAAGTTTATCTTCAATATAAGCTGCTCCAACTCTATTTGTAAATTCACCTACTTTATCCAATCCTTATGCCCAATCATAACCAGTGGCATATGCAAATATCTATCCATCTTATGATACTTATCCTGCAACAACTGGTCCATCTAATTTAACACCCAATATCTTGTTCTTTTTATTGGTATCCCAAAATGCTAAAGTTCCATCAGATCCACAAGTACTAACCCAATTTTATGATCGACAATTAAATTAAAAAGCATTGCACATATACATTCTAGATACTTTCTCTGTTCGATATTATGATACTTTAACTTCTTCATCTACTTTATAACATCTAAATTAAAGTTTGCTTGCTAAATCTCCTCTACTATTAATAGATTTAACTAATGCTCTTCCATCAACTGTTGCATATGCTAATTATGAAGCATTTTCATTAATTGCCACACATGATATTTATCCAATTAGATAATTATCTTCCATATTAAAGAAACTTCGTGATGCTACACTATTTTAAACTCCTCTTAATGCACTCCAATGTAACCATCTAAATTTATTATCAACATCTGCATATGCAAAAAATTGTTCATTTCCACTCTATTCTCCAACTGTTGGTACATGCTATAAATCTAATTAAAATGCAGGCTATGGTTTTCCTCCACCACTAGATTATAGATTCCAAAATCTTATCTTTTTATCTAAACCTAATGATATTATTAATTTCATGTCCTCATTCCAAAATACTTATCTTGCAGGACAATCATCATGAATTCCTATTATTGCACTATTTTATGTTTTTATATCATATGCTCTTATTGTATTATCTGCTAATGCTGCAAATACCATTGACATGTCTTATTTCCAACTCACAGATAATACTCTAACTAATTATTTAAACAATATACGGCTCTTAACAATCAATAGCTGTCTTAAAATCTACTTAAATATTTGCCCTATATCCAGATTACAATTAAACCTAATAGAACCGGATATATCCATCCCAAGATGAAGTAACAAAAACATCTTTGTTCCATCTAATTTCTGAAACTGTATCCATTAAGCTATCATTTACAACTCTTTGTGACTAAATTTCCATCAATATTTACTTAAACAATATTTTAGAATTGAGGTTGTGTGTTGTACATCACTTTTTTTTAAATTTAATTTTATAAATAATAGTATAAAAATAATATACAAATTATCTAATAAACACAATATTATTATTATTATTAATATTAATATTAAGGATATTCAAAATTACATTAAATAATTAATATTAACAAATATTTTATTACACTTATTCAATCTATAAATTTTAATTATTAATAAATGTTTTTTTTTAATATTGTTGCAAATGGTATTTATATTAAATAATGTCTTATTATTTAATTCTATTTTTTTGAATATTTACCAAAAAGTAATAATGCAATCAATGTTAAAAAAAAATAAAATACTCCCAAAATTAAAGCAAATAAAAACATAGAATTTCCAGATTATTAAACATTATTAGTCATACGTTCTGTCAAATATATTATACTATTTGATATCCTTTAATTTATGATATCAAAACCCCAAATATTATTTAAAAAATAATCAGATGAAGTCATTATCTCTTTTATCTTATCTATAATAATATCAGAATCATTCAAATTATATAATTAACTATTTTAATAAAATACCTATCCCTATTGTAAAAGCAATTGATGTTCACTTCTATTATAATAAGACATTAATTAAGATTGATAATCTATATCTCTATTTTCTATTTAACATATTAACTCATCAACTTAACACAAATATCCTTAAAAAAATAGTTCTAAATCTGTATCTTTCATCAATAGTATATTTTATATATCTGTTTAATTGGAAGCCAATAATATGGTACTAAATTCATTAGTATTTAAATGATCTAAATCCTTACTTAATTTATCTTATTGAGTTTAATTCTATTTATAAATTTATTACAGTATTTCAGCATCTTTTTAATATTTATAAGTTTGTAACATCATTTAATATTGACAATTACTATAGGAATTCAAATAATCATAATAAAATTATTATAAAATTTGACTAAAATAGGAGTATTAATCAAGATTTTAGGATGAATTAACTATTTGAACATGAAATGATATTATATATACAAATGTGAATACTGTAATTCCAATTATGATTAGTAAACTTAATAAATTTGATAATTAGTGAGATATTGATATTTTAAATTTAGCATTGTCAAAATTATCTAATTTCTCTGTTTTTAAAGATTTACCTCTATCTGATTATTTTTATTAATAACCTTGATCATCATCATCTTTTAATGATTTTTAATTAATGGAATGAAGTACAACAGATATATTTTTAGATAACCAAATATTTTCTAAATTTCTTAATGTATTTTAAATTACCCCAAATTTCTCTGATTCTAATAAAGCTTCTTTATAATCTGTTCTTGTAAATAGTTTTAGTATTAATTTTCTTTAACGAAAAAGTTTATTGATTACCAATAATTAAAGTACAAAGATTATAAATAGTAATATATAGAGACTGATAATAACTTAATTTGATGTATTAGTAGATGAATTTAATTAATTATCAAATTCCATAAAACAATTGATTATTTCTTCATTTAAATACCTAATATGTGTAGGATAGTTTATTATAATAGTACTTAAATCTTTTATATTCCTATTAATATTATTATTTTAAATGCTTGTTAATATGATTTATCTTAATATTAAAAAGTTTTAAAGACTTTATATATTTCTACTAGCAATCAATTCATTTACATAAATTAGTTATAATTATTCTTAAGTTTCCATTTAAACATTTCTTTCCTATATAATTAAAGTAATCTAATCAGTTAGATATGAGATTAATTATTATTATAATAATAAATTTTCATCTGATGAAATAAAAGTGTTTTATGAATCAAATTGTAATGTGATTTTACTTAAAGGGATAGTTTTACATAATTATTCATTATTAAATGCATTAACAACACTAGCCAAAGATGATGTTTCTCTTAAAACATGAGTCTATGTTGAAATGCAATAATTTGCAATTGAAAATTTACTCAAAATTATTAAACTGATGATAATGAATGTAGCTAAAAAGAAAATGGCAAAGATGAGATTTATTAATATAAATAATAAGGTAATGTTTTTGTTTTTATTGTTCAATAATTAATTATGAAATTAATTTGATTATTAAAGTAAAGATTAATTACTTGATTTGGATCTTTATGATCCTAATTCTAGTATGGCATTTTCTATACTTTAACTAGAGATAGAACTACCATTTGGAGTATTTAATATATTTTAAGGTTAATTATTTAATTTTGAATCCTTATAATCTTTTAAATCAACTTTATTTTCTTGTTCCTCTAAAAATTACACCTTCAAAAAAAAGAATTCCTTATTTGTTAATAGATTTCCTTTTTAATAATAAATAATTTTGGAAAATAATTAATAACTAATTTAATATTGTTTTAAATCTCCAAAAGGATTAGCCTTTTATATATCTTCTTAAATATCTTCTAATTATGACAATCTATTCTTTAAATTACAATTTTAATTAATTTAGTATATTCTCCTTAAATCTTTAGGTACATAAAATGTTTCTTATTATTTTTACATAATAATATCATTATCAACTAATTCACTAATTTATCTTTCAATCATAAAATGATATTAAGATATTAATGAATCTATTATTGAAGGTATAATATAACATAATTCCAATTTATTTAAATCTAAACTTTGTTAATTAAATACTTTATTATATACAACTTCATTAACTCCTAAAATATTTAAATTGATATCAAAATATATATAGCCTATATTACTTTTTTCTGTATTACCTGCTCTTTAATTACTTTCAATTTTTTTAAAAAAAGCCATTAAATAAAATTCAAAATCAGATGAAAATTTAGGAAAGAAATATCCTAAAGTGAATTGAAGAGGTTATATTAATCCATCTCCATAAATAGAAAATATCAAACTAGTTTATTCCATTTTGTAACTATATCCCTTTCTAATAAAGTTTTCTATGATTCCATCATGTATATCAGCAATGAATGGAGGCATCAATTAATTGAGATGAGATATCTAGAAATTTACATTAAAGTATTATTCAAGTAAGGCTTAATTTGGTTTCCATAATTCTCCTCTTCTTTTTAAAGTGATATTAGATACAAGTCCTATACTTTATTAATTTTAAAAATGAAAATTTAAAAATGATTCTAATTCTTATTATTCAAGAAATAGGATTTATTAAATTTAATGTTAAATTTCATAAATTTCTAGTATATTATTTGTTGAACAAATCTTAAATAATAATTCTAGATTTAATATGCTAACACAATCAAATATCATTTATTTTTTTTTAATATTTTTACTTCTAAGCATTTTAACAAGTGTGTTAACTGTGTGAATTGAATTTTAAATCTTATTCAATTATTCTAATAATTATTAAAATGATTAAATCTTATTATTATAATAATCTTCCCAAAATTATTATTTTATTAATGCCAAACTTCTGATTTCTTATTGTAAAAGAGTACCTATATTTTCAATAACTGAATGACCCTTCAATAATTAAAGAATTTATTCAGAATGATGAATATTTTAATTTTAAAATTGAGCTCTATTTCTTTTTTATAAAATAAATTAAATGTTGAGAAAATAAAAAGATGAAGATTATACTTAACGACCCTTTATATTTAAATTTTGTGATTATTAATTATTCATTATCTATTACAATATTGTATAAGCATTTATAGGATTATTTTTATATTTTGCCAAAAATGTTACATATTTCAAAGCTAAATGTTCATAAAATTCATAATCACGATTAAGTAAAGCAAGTTATAAACATTTCTCAAAAACATAAGTTGTCCATAAATTCAATTATTTATAATCAACTGAATTATTTTGAAAGAAGTTCTAAACATTCAACATACATGAGCATTCATTATCTATACATAATTATATGTGATGATTAAGGATTTAAATAAATAATATTTTTGATTCGATACTTGTATCACTTTCTTCAGCTGTTCTATAGATCTCTTCCAAATATTTGTCAGCCCTATTATTGTAAATAGCTAATTGGAAAGAATTACAAATCTTAATTTAATCTCTCTTTTGAAATTGGTTAGACAATATTATAAATAACTTTAAATAATATAATTATTATATCTTACAGGTGCAATTATAAGAAATGTATAAAATAGAAAATAATCTTCCAATCCAGGACTAAAGATCCAAATTGATGTCAAAATTAAGAAATATTAATGAGTGAAAGTAGCAGAACTATAAAAGTTAGCTTCAAAAGAATATCCAAATGGTTAATTCACCAATATATCATAAATTAAGGATATTCCTAATAATTATTGAAAGGCATGTTTTGCATAATCTATTCCTGGAAAGTTGATATAATAAAGTATTATTACTAATTAATGCAACATAATTCTGAATACATTAGTGTAACTAAACGATCTTGAAAAGGTTTTTTCATAAAATTAATAATTTCTAAAAAAATATGATATTGAAAATCCTGATAGTGAGACAAAAAGTGTTCCTAATACTCCAAATACATAAAATAATTTATTTTTTTCAGATGAACAATCAGGAGAGAATTAATTCTCCTTTATAAATGCTGTCTTACCACAAACCATAACACCTACACTTATTTCTTAAAAGGGTGTAACAAATATCCATTAATAATTAATGAAAAATAGATTCAATACTTTTTTAATGTAATTTGGTTTTGCAATATCTGAATCAAGAGACATCTTAATTAATGTCAAATAGACAATAACATGCAAACAAAATATGAAATAAAAGAAGAATGATGTTAATACATCGTTTCCAATTTAAAGTAATAGAAAAGTTAAGGGGGACAATTAAGTATAATTGGCTAAATATATATTTTCAGACAAATTCAAATGTTTAGTTTCGAATTGACTAAAAACATATCCCTCCAATTATAAAAAATATATGACTATTTTACAACAATTAAAAAAAGGACTCTTTGCCAAATCAAATCCATCTTCAGATATATAAAGAAGAGCTTAAATTGTTCTTTTTTTTACTTTCATCATAGTCTTTTTAATTTTACTCATTTCCATTCTTATTAATTTAATTTATAATTTAAGTAGTAATTTATTAGATAAAATGTTTTATTCTAAATGCTGATAATATTTATACAATAATAATAATAATATGAAAAGTATTATTCAAAGTAAGCATTTCAAATTATTCACAAATTCTAATTATTAAAGTTTTAATCTAACATCTAATCGAAAGAATAATTTCTTTAATATCGCTTCTTGTTTTCTCAAATTCTATTTACATTATTTTTATTAAGTATTCACAATAATACTTGATTTCTTATTCAAACTGTTGTTACGCAAAATGTTTACTTATGATGAACATTAAACTTTTTTTAATCCTTTTAATTAATCTAATTTTTTCATCTATTAAGTAAGTGATTAATCATATATAGTCTTAGCACTCTTTAAATCTAATTATGATTCTTGATCTTATAAAGTATTCAATTATCTAAAATTTTGAGAATCAAATTAGAATTAAGAATGTTAACTTGATGAATTGAATGATTATTAAGTATTTAATTTTGAAGATATATTTTATTTTGATATCCTTTAAGGCATTTTAAATGATTCTTATTGTGAACTTTCACTAATAAGAGATGCCCTTCTATTTTTTAATGGTGTAATTTTACTTTCAGGTCTAGTCAATGAAGATCCTACTTAAATAGGAGGAGATATCATCCTTATACTTGATTTTTATTTAACATGAACAATACTATTAGATTTTGATATTTCAGTATTTTCTTTTTATTTATTTATCATATTAACCAAAGTTTCTAAATCTTATTTTGCTTATTCAATATTTCTTTTAGTTGAACTTCTTTCAGTAAGTAATGGGTCTCTAATTGTTTTCTTGTTTGGTGATCTATTACTTAATTAAAGTACTTAATCCTTTTTATTTGATAATCTATTAGTAGTTTTAGGATCTTATTCATTATCATAAGATTGAATAGTATCTAATGTATTTTTCTTATATTTATTAGATTTATCAAATGGTTATAATTGTAAAGGAAGATCCTTCTTAATTGAATCATTATCTAAAATATCTACAAAACTATCTTATTATTAAATGAATCCACTATTATTTTAAAATTCTATGCCAGATTATGCTGACATACTATCTTATCTTCTATTTGATCTTGAAGTACAATTATTTTATTTAGATTTCTTTTTATTATTTAAAGTATCATTATTATTAGTGAATTGATTATCATTTTAAAATGTTGGTAATGAATCTTACAATTCTTATTTATTTTATATTAGTAATAATTAATCAATAGGTTTTTCTGGTTTATTAACATGAATTTTATTAAGTAAATTATCCAATTTTATTGGAGTAGGATTTTAAGGTAGATCTTCAATCTACACTTAATGTAATTGAATAAGACTTTATTATCTATTACGATCTTTTTTATCTTTCTCAATCTATATTGGTATTGGTTTTTCAAAATTTAAACTCTCTCTTATAGTTGCTAATTTTTATGCCAAAGTTAATGTTGATCCCTCATTTATACACTCTGTTTATGGTTATTTATCTATTGTAGTAGATCTTCTAGAATCCAAGATTTTCTTTTTGCAATCCCAATCATCAAATAAAGATTATTTCATTATAAGTATACTATTGCTTTTATTTTAAACTTAATTAGTTTTGTCAGTTAAATTGAGACTAGTATCAAGAATCTTATTTTCTTTAATGTATGCAAAAGAAGAGCAAGAATATTCTGATTGAAGTATAGAAATGTTTTGAAATTGTTTCTGTTTGCATTTGAATTCTACATCATTACAATAATGCATCTTTTAAAAGATCTACTAATTAGTAAAGAATTGATGAGATTGAATGTCTTCAATAGAATATTGTAAAATTGTATGATTATTTTGAATAGCAAAGATGTACTTATCAGTAGAGAAGATGTCTTTTATATCCTTTATTTTAACTCTGATCATCTTTTGATTGAATAGATAGAATTCTCCACTTTCCGTTATGGCCACTCCACCAAAAGAGAATAACAAGGATTTCTTAAAGTATGTATTCAATTTTAATCCATTCAATTATGGTATTGCGATAGTTTTATCAGCAACAACATTAAATATCTTACCACCAATTGTAATTAGAGTAATGCGATCCTGGTAAGAAGAAATGTGTTTACAATGACTATATATTTGTTTATTAGTTTTCCAAATGAAACCTCTATGAGATTGATCAATTGCTGCTATAGGAGAGATCCACTTATAATTATTTCCACTTTTAAGCAGACGAGGTGGTTATTCAATTTAATAGATGTCTCCATTCTCTAATATAATTAGAAAATTGTTGTTACATAATAAAGAGTATATGAGTTTGCCATCTGTACAGATCATTGAAACTTCAGCCTATACTATGACACTATCTGAGCAATTGTTTTCAATGAAGCTAACCTTACGAAGAAGAGAATTCTCTAACTTATACTAAAGCAGTACCTATATAGTATATGTATTTGCCTAATCGTAAGGCTTAGTTAAATTGAAATTGGATATAGTTTAAATTCTAACTTAGTAGGATGTATAAATACCTCGATGTCTTCGAAAATAACAGACATATATAAATTCGTTAATATATATTAATTATCATTAGTATTGATGATTTATATTCACAGATGGACGAATACTCAAAGGATATTAGGCTACTGTTTCCCCTCCCACTGACATAATATCATCTACTCCCATTTCTGGAATCTAATCGTCTTCAGGAAACTTTAATAATTTGGAAGCTTTAAAGATAGCCTTTACTTGATCACCCAAGAATTATTTCAATTTCCTATTGATTTTATAATAATAACGATTGGATTTTCTATTCTTGGCAGCTATTGCCTTATATGAATTAAACACATTTTCAATACTGAGATGTTCTTTTGTAATATAAGTTGATTTTAATTTCTTCTTAATATCTTCTGCTATATCTACTAAAGTCATTTGCTTAAGAGATTATTGTTTAGAATAATGTAAGAAATCAGTTTCCTTGTCTTTCTCATTAACTGCAATTACTGGTTTAGGGGAATAATTAAATAAAATTAATTGATCTCTGTCTAAAAGGATTTTCTTCAATTTCTCTAATTGATGAATTCGATTTAAGATTGAAAATACATCTAATTCTTATCTAACTGAAGTCAAAGCCTTTTATAATACATACAAACGAGGATCTTCTTTAGGATCTGATTTTTTACAAAAGAGTTTCTAAAAAAAGTATTTGAGATTAAGTTAAATAGATTATTTCATCAATATAGTTTATTAGAAAGTTGATAATAGAAAATGTTTCCTACTCTTAAATTGATACTTATCCATGATTTACTTCTACTCCTCTACTACTCTCAATACTCTTTCTTTGAATTGAGGATCTTCATCCATAGAATCTTCTTCTGGCTATTTTATAATATTTGTTTTGTCTACAACTTTCCTCTTTTTTTTGAGTGGTTGAGTTGTTTCTTAATGAAGTTAAACACTATAATGTAATGGGTCAACTAATCCTGAACCTTTGGTACCTTGATCATTTTCTCCACTAAAATCATAATCATAAAGACGATTGGATATATCCAAATAAACTATATACTACTTATTAATTACATTATGCTCTATTATAATAAGTAATTATTACGCCTACAATAGATATCACTGATTAAGACAAACCTCCAATTTTAGATAATAGATCAGTCACTGTCTAATATTCTCGATTATAATTAGTAGAGAAATTGCTTCGCATAAACACTATACGAGACCATATTAAATTGTTCTTGCCTTCATAGATCTGTTTGAATGAATTTGTCGAAAAGATATTCCACTCTTATTCATCTAGTAATCCTCTAATATTATTGGCATCTCTACTCTATTTTAATTTGTCCCTGATAATCTTTAGTAATGTGCTTATGAAATTGATAATCTATTCTCTACAGATCTCCTGGTTAGAAGTACAAACTCATAGAATTGTCTAAGTAATCTTCAGCTACAAATTCATTATTAAATGGATTGATAAACTAAAACCTTATACTATTTATAAATACTGTATTTTTTGTAATCATCTATAACTTATAACTATCCTTCTATGTTCTTGTCTGACATTCACTACCCCAAGAACTCCTTTAATTGCATTCACCAATCTCAATCATCAGACTTGAAAATTAAGCAGCTTTCCCTTCAAAATATGATTACATACAAAATTATGTTCCTTCTAATTCAATTGAGAATTCAGATTTTGGACATAACCAAGTATCAACTTAGTTTGCTTATAAGAAATCAAGCACTTAACTCGAATTTAAAACACTGATGAATTGCTAGAAAGTACACTATTGCAACTCCATTGAAACTTCTTTTTTATTTTAGTGTTATCTAACTTGAATATCGAATTAAGGAAACTAATAGAAACTTTCTTATTCAACTCTAATAGCAAAAATGAAATTCTTATTGTTAAGTACTAACACGTCAGGATCATAATTGAATCTTGTCTATTATCAATAATATGAGAATATTACTTCCTAAGTAATTTATATTCCTCTCTATATAGTATATCCAATGATCTCATTAACACTGTAACCAATCAATAAAAGGACTATGAACATCGAAACAAATCCTCCCAAGAAAGTCTGGTACTTAGATCTAAGATCTAGATTTAGATTTATTGGCTATCCAAAGATGTCCATCTTTCTTATCACTAATTTTAAGTTTGAATTAATACTTCTTGTTATCATGTGTATTATTTTAATTATTCAATAAATATGTAGAAACTCTAACTATATTGAATTACTTAATTTTTATCATTATATATTACATTAATTTAAATATTATGAGCACATACAATCGATATTATTGTACATCTTGTTACAGCGTTTGGGATGAAAATTAATGCATACCAAAAATTCTGGATTGTGGACACTCATTTTGTCTAAAATGTCTCAAACGTCTATTCTAGAATGATTAAATAATCTGTCCAGAAGACATGTAAACAATATTGTCAGTATTCCAAGGAAATGTATAAAGATTAATTCACTGAATCAATTAAGAACTAATGAAGAATTGTTACATCCTTAACCACAACGTTCAGAAAGAATTCTGCCATCAACTCATTCTTCATAATAAGACATCTCTGTTACCAAATCAGAGACTGTAACTCAATCTACTACTCGCTTATTTATCAATGTTCCTGACAATTCAGTTTCCATTCGTAAACCACATTAGATTTACAAAAAAGAATAAATTCCATGGACTAGAGAACAATTATAACATTGTCATCAATAATTATAAGAATCTCATTAATAATTTGAATTGAACTAGTAAACCAATTATAATGAAGCATTTAGAATGATAATTCAATAGAAACGTTGTTTGATTGAGTAAATATAATAGAAGTTTTCAGATTTTCAAATTAAACTCAGAAATATAGAAAGCCAACTCTTATATGAATTAAATATAGTAGCATTGAAAATAGAAGATGAAATTAGATAAATGCATATAACCATAGATAAAAAAGCAATCTCTTAAATTTAATCTACCAAAGAAAGGTACCACCATATTTTATATGTAGTTAGAATTGAGTAATTGTTACTCTTATCTAATGATAAACTTAACTCTTAAGTAGATTTGGTTAATTCTTTAACACAATAGACTGAATAACTAATCAATAATTTAGCCAAACAAGAGACTATCATCGTTTAAGATCTTATCAATAAATAAATGTAAATTAAATTCGATCTTACTGTCTATGATTATTTACCATCATTTTGTACTATCAAAAAATATGACAATAATAATAAAAACTAATCATAAAATAGGACTAATACAAGAGTTAAAACATTAAATGATTCTAATTCTAATCATCATACCAATAAATCTAATTAATCATTATCATTTACTAATAGTAGTCCAAAACCTAAAGGACATGATAACTCCTTTTCAAAACCATTTCAATACTCTAAAAATGCTCATCACTTAGAAGAACCACCATAATAGAGATTGAATCCAAGGGAATTAACATTTGGAGGTTCAGTACAACTTAGAAAATCTCATGATTCTAGAAGTTTTTCATCCAATAACAAATTATATGAAGCCACAGGTATCGATCGAATTGAGGATCTCTTATTTAAAGGATTACCTATTGAAAAATTGGATTTAACCAATTAAAGTACATAATTTATTATTTACTTAGATCTAAATGATTAAGATATACAAGAACTTATTAAATTAATTCAATAATCCACTTCTTAAATAGAAATTCTTAAATTAGGTAAGAATAGAATCAGTGATATTGGTTTTGATAAGTTACTCAGTCTTCTACTTAAAAGGAGTGATATACACACTCTTAATTTATCAAATAATGATTGTACTGAAAAATCAATAGATATGATTGAAAGAAGAATACAAAAATTACATGGAAAGACTATCTATCTATCTAATTGTAAACTCAACAATTTAAACCAATTAAAAAAGAAATAGACTCTATTTCAAAATAAAGGCGTTATTTTATTTTTGTGATTTTATATTATTATTTAGGAATTTATCATCCAATTCTATTTTTATTATTTTTATATATAAATACATTTCTATGATAAAATTATATTGATTCAATTAAAAAAGGATCATATAGATAATCTATACAGATTGTTAGAAAATACTCTAAAGATTTTATTTATAAAACAAATTTTTAAAGAAATATTATAGTTCTCACAAAGTTCAATATATACTTAGTAAAGTGCCTAATTTATAATAATAATTTGTTAAAATTAAGTCTCCAAATATATTCAAAATCATTTAATTAAATAACCCTATTGATGATATTTGCTTAAGAATAATAATTATTATCTGAATAAAATTATCACTCAAAACATAATTAAATTTATTTATTTAAAGTGAAATCCAAAATGAATTTTAAATAATAGAAGAAACTACTCTTAATTAAAATTTAATACATTATTTATCTACTTATTATTATTAATCATTAGATTAAGTTATACAATATTATATCAATCAAGGTCATTTTAAATTATCAATATTATTCCATCAACAAAATAACATAAAATAAAGATTAGAACAATATCTAAATATAGGATTAAATGATTATTTTATATATTGTTTTGATATAATTTATGATATTCAAAAATTAAGTTTACGATTTAATGAGTATTAAGATGTATCTTATTATTTTGTGAATGTATTTGAACTACAATTTAGACATCCATCACATTTGCAATTATCAGAGCATTCTATTCCCATTTAATAACATTCACAATATTTTTTTTGGCATCCACTTTTTCTACAATTACATCCCTAAATTCTATTTTAATATAGATTTACCTTTGTATGTGTCATTTTAGATTCGACTTCTTATACTTTTTAATTGAATACTTATGGATTTCTTTCAATCATCTTTTGAATAAAGGAATTTCTTTCAAGTAAATTAGAAGTATTATTAAAGCATCCACAACAATTGCATTTTGAAGAACATAATTTTCCAATAGCAAAACAATCACAATATAATTTCAAACATTTACTTTTCTTACAATTACAAGGTTTATGTTCTTGATTCCTATTATAAAATAATAAAATAAATTAGGTTTTAATATATGATATTTAAATTTAAATTATAATATTGTGTATGATGTTATAAATGTATAGAATAATAATACATACCCTTATTGTTAATTGATATTGATAGATTTACATTAGTTTATTTATAATTAAGTGACATTTTGAATTGTTAATTATGATTGAAAATTCTAAGATGATTTCTATTCTGAATTATTTAGTGAGATTTATTTAGTTTATGGAGTTCTATGAATAAGCAAATAAGTTCTTACTAGATATTACTCTTAATAACAATTTAAGGTATTGTCAATTCATTACTCAAGAATATTTTCTTAATTGGTTGAGTTAAAAAATTCAGATTCTCATTAGTTTCTTAATCATTAAAGATAGTATCACATCCAGGATTTATCATTTGCAAACGTGTAAACATATTTAAAATTAAATCAAAAATTGAAACATAATTTACATAAAAATGTTAGTTAGTATAATTAGTTCAATCCATTTATTTTTATAATCTGAGAATCTTTTCATAAAGTTAATTATGTTTCATATCAGCCAATTTAGCATGTTCTCTTTGTATATTTGAAATAGTATTAATTCTACCAAATTTCTATTCAAAATTATCCAATTATACATTAATCTAATGTTTTTAAGGCATGAATTACATAAATAAATTATCATGATTAATCTATATTAAATAATATATATATATATTACATCTTTGCATTTAATATTTTTTAAAGCAGCTTTGAAATCATATCCTTTATCATATATCTATTTCTTCTTTCCTTCATGTAATATTTTCTAAGACAAAGCTTCTTATACTTTTATACAAAAACAATACAATTATTTTACAAATTCATATTCAACCTATATTTTATAATATGATTTAGCTTCACTTAATAATGATTCATATGTTATATTATAATGTTTTTCAAATAATTATTGAATTAAATAGAAATCCTATTAATGAAAATTCTAATTTGAAAGTATCTTCTCAATTTGATGATTCAACTCCTAACACTCTTTTGGTTATTTAATAACAAACTTAACACATGAATTCGTAACCATATCAATTAATTCAGATTAATTAAATAGTATATAAAATAATTAAAATGGAAATGTAAGAGATCTAAATTTTTGACATTCAATATCTTCAAATAATAGTTTCTCCAAACTTTAAGGTATAAATGGTTTAAGAGTCTTTAATAAATATTTTGGAGTTTTAAACATTTATTCTAATCCCTAAGTTAGAGATACTTTTTTACATTGATATTCAATGGTAAATTGGTTAAATTATAAGTTAAATTCATAAAACCTACAAATTATTAAACATTGTTCAATAGATTTTCTAATTTATTTTCTTTTCTATATATTTATATCATATAATCAAATGCCAATACTAATTTGAAACTATATTGCTTATATTCTGCTTATCTAGTATATTTAGCAACTATACTTTTTGTCTTTTAATTCCTTTTAGCTTTCTCTTCTAAAAGATGATTAAGTTGTATATTTCAAACCTTTTTCTAAAGACACCTCAGAATTTAAAGTCTCTATATGTACTAAAAGTTATGATCTAGCCAATTTGGATCTTGCTGTCCTATCATCTTTTTTAATATCTTTAGAAAAGAGAGCTTGAAGGAATTATTAATCTTGATCAAAACTATTCATATGAGAATGTGTCTTAAGATTTTTTACTGTAATATTTTCACAAGATGCGTGTATTTTTTTAAAAGGTACTTTAATAACTTTGATTTGAGAACTATATAAACCTCCTGAAGAGTCTTGTTATTGGGATTCTTTTTATAAAAGAAAGGTTCTTCTTTTCTGAAGCTTCTCTACTCCATTTTAATCTGAATTGTATTCTGTAATATTTTTTAAACCACTCATTTAAGTTCTTAGATTGGGTTAGGTTGAATTCTTTGTTATCTATTTAATAATCGTTCTCTTTTCACTCTAAGATCCTACACTATTATTGGTTTAAACAACAAATTAGTATTCCTTGCTTTTTTCAATAATGTCTTCTCCATAATAAAATTTTTATGCATTCATATTTATTATTAAAATATATATGTTAAAATATCATTTCATCTTATTCAGAACATTCAAGAATTCCTTATTATCTTCTAATAAACATATTAAATCTTGTATTTTATAATTAAACTATTTCATTATTTATTTAGTAATTTTGCTTGCCTCATTATCAACCATTTATTATTCTTTTATTATATGTTATTTCATAAGAAACTTAATAACATTAATCTTTTAGTCATCCTTTAAAGAATAAAATGCTTCAAAATTATTCATTATATCATCTAAAGTTGAATATTATTAAATGACTTCTTAATGCAAATCTAAAATTATGATATTCTCAGCTTCTTCTATTTCTAATATAAATTTTGTAAGATTTTAATATAGTTCAAATATATCATCAAATTTCTAATGTTTATTAATTATTAAACCTAATATACATAATAATCAATATACATGACATTCTCTTTTGATCTACCAAATTTAAATGAGATTAATTAGCCACAATTTAATAAATTAATTACTATACTATATACTTTTAGTCAAGAATACTTAACTATAAAAAATCTTACTTTTCTTCTATTACTTAATCAAAACTTTTAAAATATTCTTTGCTTTTCAATTCATTCTTTTTAATCACCAATGTTTAAAGTTCCTTTTTACGAAATATCTCTTCATACAATTCACTCAATATCTTTTCATAATCATTATGTTTATAGTGAAGTTTTTGTATTTTTATTTGAGAATCTGAAATATTAAATTTCTATAATTAACATCCCTATGTCTTGTTTTCATATTCCTACAATATCAATTAAGCATCAAAAGAGGTCAATGCTAATACAAAACATACAGTTTGATTTTGCTATTTAAGTATTTTATCTTTAAGTTTTTAATCTAAATCATTACTAATTAATAATGATTTTATCAAACCAAATTAAAGAATAAACTCTTTCATTTATTCAATAGTAACTGAGTGTTTTAAATTTTATATTACTAATATTCTATCATCATAATAATCTTAATTATTGAAATGATATCTGCAACTAAATTAAGAGAAATTACCATTAAAATATCCTTAAGATTATCTTTATTTAAATTATTCATTTGATACATTATCTTATTTTTAAAACTATTAAAATGTTTAAGATAAACATTAATCAATACAAAAATTTTGATATAATTTTGGTATTTAATCAGAATCATATTAAAAACAAGGATGACTTTGAATTTAATCTGCTAATTTCATAAATTTTATAGTATCACTTAATGTTGGTAGCATCAATATTATATAAGGTTAATCATTTTTCATTTTCACAAAACAATTTTTCAATTACAATTTTCTTTAATTAAAATAATCTACTATTAATAATTCCCAAGTCAATTCAATGAATCTCTAAATTCCAACAATATTTAATTCTGTCTAATTCAACTTTCTACAAAAACCTTAAATTATCATTTATATTGAAGTTCTTGATTGAGATTTATCTTTAAAAGGTTGGATGATTAGAATTTTACCATTAACCTTTAATGGTTATCTTAAATATATTTCCATCAAATCTATAGTTGTCTAAGGATTCTTGTATTCCACAAAACCCGAACTATATTATAGAATACTATATTACAATTAAGGCTTATGATTCAAATAATTTTATTTCTTTATTTTACAATTAAACACTGGTCCAAATTATTCAAAAAAGATAGACAATTACTCTTATGTGATATCTGATGGAATATTATTTACAAATAAATAAGTTGTTTTAAACTCATCTTAACTTTAATCATCATGAAGTGAAACCTTTAGAATATTATTATTTATTTTAAATTCTTTCTATTCAATTTTAATTTAATTAGTTGATATGGAGTCTGCAAATTCAATTATAGCACTTTATAATTCATAATATTCCTTATTAATTGTTATTTCTATAATTTTGCCATATATTGAAAATATTTCATACAAAATTTCCTCATTAACATCCTTTAATAAATAAATTACTTACTTATGGAAACCCACTTATTGTAATCATGAAATTAAAGTTAGTGATAATTTTTACGACAAAATAATATATGGATTATTAATTCTATTCAAATTGTCATTCTTTTTATTGTCCAATTATTTTAAAATATAACAAAAATTAATCTCATATCAATTAATTATTAAATTATATTGTATGATAGATTTTTAGTTTGATTCTGATAGAATAAAATTCTTAAAAAAAGGAATTTAGTAATTGAAAAAATTCTTTACATTTTCATAATAATATAGTATAATAGTTAGTTTGAAGAAATATTAGGAACTTATTATTTTAATTCTATTTCTAATTTAAAAAGATCTTAAATTTATTATCAATTATTTTGATTCATAATATTTAATAAAAATTATGTTAGCTGTACATAAGTTCATTCAAAGAAATTATTTATTATTAAAATATGAAAGAATATATAAAATTATTAATATTTTATTTTTGTAACTTCTTCTAATTTAATCAACTGTACTGTTTTATTAATTTATTTAGAATCAATTAAAACCTTAAATCTTTTTGTTTTATATTAATACTATAAATAATATTTAATAGATATTCTCTTCAACTTACTATATAAATTAAATAAAAAGAAATAGAAATAGAATTACAAATGCAATTATGAATTAAAAATGAAAGATATTTAGAATTGATAATACTAGATATAAAAATTTAGATTTTTAATTATAAACAGATTACAATATTAATTAAAACAAGATTAACAATGCTTAAATATAATTTTCATTATTTTTTTCCTTTATTCCAAATGTCTTCAGATTTATTCCCTTTTTTATCTATCATAACACCTTTTCCATGTTATTTACCTTTCTTCCAACCTCCAATATATTTATTTCCATTAGGCCAAGTCATTTCACCATCACCATCCTTTTTATCTGCTTTGAAACTGCCTTAAGATTAAATAAAATTGGAACCTGAATACACTCTGCCATCTGGATATATCATTTAACCTTATCCACTCATTTCACCATCAATCCAATTACCTTTATATATTTTGCCATCTGTCCAAAAATATTCACCATAACCATCAAATTTTTCATCTTTGAAATTGCCATCATAGTATTAACCATCATTCCATCTGAATAATCCTCTTCCATTTTTTCGTCCTTCTATAAATTCACCTTCAAATAATGAACCATTATCCCATTTGATTGTACCTCTTCCATGCTTACAACAATATTATAATAGATACTGGCATATTATTTTCCAAATCACCTTAATAGACTCCTCCATCTGGGTAATCATAAGTTTCCTTTACAACCTTATTAGTTGAACAGCATGACCCCATTTATGATAATTTATTATTTATATTGAATTTATTTATTAATGATAATAAGATCATTCTAAACTATATTCTATAAGTTGATCTAATTTTAATCTCTATGTATTAAATACTCTTATGTCTTCTTAATCAGCTGCTTCCATTAAATAAGTAGCCAAGTATTTAAGTTCTTAATCATTCTAATCATTATGCCATTCTAAAATGGGAATACCATTTTCTATTTAGAATCCAAAAGAATGAGCTAAATTGTCAACAATAACCATATCCTTTAATTATTTATTCCCAACAATTCTTAAATCCTTAATAAAGAAACCATTTTTAGTTTCCATACAATTCCCACGAGAAAGAATTCCTAAAATCCATTATCTTTTTGAATCCAAATAATTCACTATAGCATTAGCATAAGCAGATGAAGAAGCAGTAAAAACATAAATAGTGTACAATTGACTCATTTATTATAAAAACCAAGCACAAAATGGTCTAATATTGAAATGGATCTAAATATATTGAATAACAATAATACTTTAGCTTCTTCACCATAATCTCCAAATGCAGTTACTGTGATTTGTGGATTTTCCCTTAGAGAACAACTATGGATCAAGGTTTCATCTAAATCTAACAATAATGTCTTTGGTTTCACTATTACACATTCTGGCAATTAAACCATTTTTGACTTAATAAATTTATCAGAAGGACCCTTTAGACATTTCTTAGCATATACTAAACCTCTTTAAGTGAGTTATAAAAATTTATTAAACGAATTCTCACCAATAGTTGGACCATATATCAAATGTCGAAACGGATGATTTTTTAATTTACCTTCCTATTATTATTTATTTTTCATCTATTCAACATCAGAATTTATATCCATTGGTTATTGTGTATTAGAGTGTCTAAATGAAACTTGATATATACTTCATTTTTTATTCTTTTGGTTTATCTGCTTTTGCATATTTTTACTGCATCTATTTAGCTTACTACTCTATATCATATTAATCATCATTTTATTATTGTACATGTTGTATTTGCTATTAGATAGTTTATGGTTTATCATCATCATCATCATAATTTGGATCGTCATTGTCTCCTTCTATTTTTTTTGCATTCACAAGATTACGAAATTTAGAGACTTTCTGATCTAACATTTTTCATTATTATTTTACTTGATGGTCCTGCTTTATTATTTCGAGGCGTCTCTTTATCAGAATCATCAGTTTAGTACCCTGTAGCATTTTTACTAAATTGAGACATCTTACTAGGTGGTTTGCTCACTTTTTTAAGTTGCTTCTCTTCTTCCTCTTTTTTACTAGTTTCCTCTTCTGAATAAAACTATTTATCGTTATTCAAATTCTTCAGATGTCCCACTGAAGAGCTCGCCTTGAATTTGTATATATTATCCATCTGTATGATTTAAGCAATTATTTTTATTAATTTATTTATTAATCTTATATTATTAATATTATCATATATGAGTCAACTATTTATCCACATTTATTTGTAATTTTTACAATCAAAAAATTATTATTTTTACTGATAAAAATTAATATATATATTATTCTTTATCTAATTAATCTCATTGTATTAAAATCTTTACTTAAGAATTTTAATGCTTAAATTATTCTTAGATTAATTTGCTATTACATCAAAGTTAAAAGTATATACATATCTCCCTAAAACTTATATATTCTAAATAAAAGTACTTGATTTCAATATATAATATAATATAGAATAATCTGATTAATAATTAAAATTTTCTAAATACATTATTAGACAAAAATATAATTGATTAAATTAATCTAATTAAAAGTAATTTAATGCTTATTTTGTTTATTTTAGGAATCAAAATCTTTATAATAATTTTCTCATTAAATTTAAATTACAATTTAAATAATATTTAATGTTCATATACCATATTGCTTTATATAGCCAGGATTTATTTATAAAATAATCAGAATTTTAATATTGTTAAAATAAAAATGAAAGATTTGAAAAAATTAAGCATTTCAAATAAATATTTTAGGGTTAAATTAAAAAATAACAAGTTGATCATTTATATTATATTTTGAAAGAGTTAATGTATTACTTGTATTAGTGTTAATAACCCATTTAAAAAAAACCGAAATAATTTTATATAATTTAAAGTGAAATATATACCATTTTATATTTTAAGTGAAAATATTGAAAAATTGTAATATTTATTTTTTAGTTAACTTAGATTTCACTATTATAACTTAAAATTGATTTTATTATTAACAAATATATGACAAATATTTGGATATAATATGATTCAGAATAATAGAAATTATTAACACAAATTTATTCAAAATTCAATTTATTCAGATACAGGAACTTTATTTGCTAGTCTTTATTAAGATATTATTAATTTTCGAATCTAATACCCTTTATAACAATAACATCCATGAGTTACACCAATTATTAGTAAAAATAATACATTCATTATTGAACTATATCTAAATAGATATATTTACAATGCATTTTTTAAATCTCTCTTTTATTAACAGTCATTTGAAGTACTCATTTAATCTTAAGTCTTACATTCATTATAATATAAAGGAGCCTAAAAAGCAAGTAATGTTGCTATTAGATCTGCTAAGAATGTTAAGCAATTAATGATCATCCAAACCGTTATGGTATATAACATTTTGTTACTGATTAATAAATTGAAATAAATGATATTCGAGACATATAAGGTAATACTATATATATTTTTAAATAAATAAATACCTAATTATCCAGACACAAGCAGAAACTCTACAGCCATCAAATAAAAATTAAGGTAAGATTCTTGCTAAAATGAAACCTACAATAAATAAACTAAAAATTCCATAACAAAGTTTTAAACTAGAATTAGTTATATAAGCAAACCTTTTGAGTTCTTTCTAGCTTTAAGTCTCAAAATAAGTTGGTTTTCCAATAGGAATTTCTTTAACAGGATCTTTGTTTTCAATTATTGTGACTGATAGGAAATCTTTATTTGAAATGAATTGTGATTCTTGTCCAGAATGAGATTTTTTGTCAACTTAATAAATGCCTTAAGATTAAATTAATAGTTTTACATTAATTAGTTTATGGTTCTATTTAAGTCTTCTGCTAATGAATATTCTCCATAACTATTAATTTTAAATACAAAATTATTTGACTAAATTCTTTTGAATCAAGAAATTTACTAGTATTTAGTGTGTAAGAAATTAAAAAAATTATCAATAATTCGCAATATAAATAGTAATTATTATAATTAGAGATAAATTTTTATAATAATAAAGTTATTGTATATTTTAAAATTAAAATGTAATTTTTTAATTTTTTCAATGTATTCATTTAAATGATACAGTAAATCCTGATATTTTTATCTTGATTACACAAATGAGATATAGTAATATAAAATACTATTATTTAAGTTTATGATTTCAGAGTATTTTAAATGTTATTTTACAGAATAGTAATCAATTGAATAAATTTATAATTTTATAAGGTATTAGAATAACTTATTATTATTTATTTAGCTGATTAAATATCAATTAAACAATTAAAAAATAAAATTTAATAATTATTAATAAAGTAATAATATTAATTATATAAGTTTGAATATTAAATATACTTAAAAGAATGATTCAAATATAAATGAGTTTTAGATAGATAAAATATTAGAAGATTATTAATTAGATTTAAAATTCTATAGAATATCTGAAAAATTTATAAATAATTAAAACAAAAGACTTTAGAATATAAATGAGAGTTGAAAATAATATTTAAATTGTATCATTTTATTTATCTTCTGATATCACTCAGCACAATTCCTTAAGTTGAGAGGAGGAATAATTAATTAATCTCCATTAGCTGATTAAGCTCTATGATGTAACGAAGTTTATTTAAATGAAGTTATATCACTTGACAATTTATGAGAATATAATTTATATTAAGTACTTCCATTTAAATTTTATGATTAATCTAATTTCCGTATTTATAGTATAGAATTATTTAATGGACTTATTCCACTACTATTATTGTATTTATATATATCTTGATAACTTGAATCTTCTAATATAATTGATTAATTGAAAGTTCTTTCTTTTTTTAATTAATCAATAAGATTCTTGGAAGTAAATGTATTTTAATTTTATTAAATAGGTGTAGATTTTTTAATACTTTATACAGATTTTCTAATTACAATTTTATTCTTAATAGGATTTGAATTTAATTCATATTTACTAGTGTTAGTATTATAACAAGGACATATAGGATTTATGTGAGGTTTTAGATATATTCTACAAAAATGATAATGACACATATTTTATTAGAATTCTGCATTTAAACTTGTTAATTCTTCATATTTATCTTTGATTACATTAAAAAACTCATTTTCTAAATTATTATTACATTAACTACTTAACATCATAGTTGAATTAATACATCTATAAATGTTATATAAATTAATACTTTTTTGATATATATTAATTATAATCCATTACTGATTATTGTATATATGAATTTCTCATCTTAATTTTATCATAAAGACTATCAAAATTAAGTTTAAATTCTTCAAAATTTTATTATTATCTTTTAATAGTTTGATAATCTAGAACACATATATTTTAATCATCTAAATCATCAAGATTAACATTATTAAATAAAGAAGCAAATTAATTCTTTTCAATATTAATATTATTGTATTATTAGTATTTTAATTTTAATTAATAGACTGGTGATTCTAATAACATAATTTCTTAATTTGGAATTTTTGGTTATAAAATAAATCTTCTTTATTGTTATTTTAATTTTTCTTTGATTTATTAATATTCTTTCTTATCATTATATCTAATAGGCTCTTCATTTTGTATTACACTATTTGTCATACTAATAACTGTTCCATCTTTTTTTCCATTTTAAGTTGATGATCTTGTTCTTAAATGCTCAACTAATGGATCTGGTATTAATTTTTTCATAATCTTTTGCTTTTCTGGTGATAAATCCTTATTTACTTAATATGCCAAATCATCTATATTATCTTTCAGAATTTTTCTTGATGATGCTAACAATGCTTTAATTAAATCAGTTATTAAATTGATCTATTTTTAGATATTAATATTCATTTACATTTCCTTATTTGATAGCTTATTTGTATTATATTTTTAATTAGTACTCTTAATTCATTTGTTAAAAGAACCCTTGATGTAAATTGTAGTATTATTCTAAAAATTGAATGAGACTATTAGGTGGTTAATAGGGAAGTTCAATAAAAGATTCATTAATTAATTTCATGATATCATTTGTTTTAACAAATATATGACTATCTATAGATATACATTAATACTTCATCTGCTCTTCATTATACTATTTAGTATTTCTCATTATACTTACTATCCAATTCTCTTTTTCTGTTCTATTTTTTTCTTCTTCTTTTAGTTTTCTTATGATTGCATATATTGTTGATCTTTCAGATTGACTTATCACATCTATTATATTTTATTCAAATAAATACTTTTAACTTTTAGTTTTTAAATTGTTTCTAAGACTTCATTTATCTTTGTTTTTCTTTACATTACAGCACTTAATAATTCATCCATATTAGTTTTATAATTCTTAATACAATTATATAAAATTTATTAATAATTTACATAATTCTAATCACATCAATTAATTGATAGATTCAAGTTTAAATTATCTTATAATCAAGATAACATTATTAAAATAAAGATAAATATATACTTAAAATATCAAAAATAATATGAAGTATGTAATATAAATAGATAATTTATCAATCCCATTATTCATAATTTAACTTTTTTGATCGGCTACCAAAAATAAGTATTTTAATCCATCCTTTCCTACTCTACATTCATTGCTTCTTTACTCTTTTTACTTTACAAATTTGGTGAATTTTCTGAATTCAATAATGCATTGGCTTTTTCATAGAATATTCGCCATTATATTTTATCCAATTTTTTTATCTCATCTAAATCAAAATAATATTTGCTATTCTAATTTTAATCAATTTTTTTGTTATCAATATTTAATATATTTAATACATTGCTTATAATATTTAATACATCTTATGATTTTTCTTTGATTAGAGGATCTTCCATTAGCTTTAGTATATCTTCTTTAGTTATATCAATTTATTTCTTTATATATTTTCTCTAACTTTTATCATATTTATCATAGTTATTTTTTAATGTTTATGTTATTGTAATGAATTCTTTCAAAGCATTAAGATGTTATAAAAGTTGATTATCTTATAAGTTCTTTTCCTTGCATTGATTTTCAATATCCTCAATTTTTTTTAGACCTTCTTCAAAATACTCAAATCTAGTTATTGTAATAATTAAATGATTTTTATTACAAAGTTTTTGAAATTATTCTAATAAAGCTTAAAATCTCATTGAATCATTTTGTTTCATTGAATCATTTTGATTGTTTGGTTCATTTGTTACCTGTTGTTCTTTAAAGTCCTAATTGCATTTCTTTAAGTTTTCATATTATAATTTTAAATCTTTGCAAACTTTCTCAATAATGAATTGATTAAAATCACAAAATTTTTTCCAATAATAATACTTCTTCTCTAAGAACAAGTTCAATACATGCTATATTTATTCTTAATCTGAATTTAAAAACAAAGAAAAAATCAAGCTCGGATAATTTTTTTTAATGTATTTTTATTGTTTTATCTAGAAAAAATTTTGAATAACCCAATATCTTTTTTTCTTAAGAAATTGATTTAAATAGTATAAATTATCGGTTTAGGGAGATTCAATCTAAAACAAATTATCGTTCATATTTGTCAATTATTTTTCTTATCTGTCCATATGATTTATCAGCTTTACCTTTGATTAGTCAGATGAATGTTGTGATTCTGAATACAAATCTGAATTGGAGTATAATTCTGAAATGTATTCTTTTTGGTCGTTACATGAAGAATGTATATCAAATCCTTCATCTGAAGTATGCTATAAGTTATAGGCCATGATTTAGAAATTATTATTATTAAAATAGAGAGACAAAAAATATAGTTTATATTTAATTGGTTTACTATCCTAAATTTAACAATATAATTTTTATTAGTAAAATTTAAAATTTAAAAATTTTGTATAAATTCTCAAATCTCAATTTCATAAAGAAAAACTTATTTTTATCATCTCAAACCATAGTAGATCTATAATATTTTGAGGGTTGATTAATAAAATGTCGAATGAAAAATTTATAAAAATAATATAATAAATCATTAACATATCCTATAAAATATTAAAAAGATTATGAATTCAAGTAAAGTATAATAAATTTAAAGAAATATTTAGAAATATAAGTTAATTTTTTTATAATCAGTTTTGATTAGTCAATATTCTTATTAATCTTAAAATTAGAATAAGAAAATACTACCTTATTTGAATATCAAATAAAAAATAAATGGAAAAAATAGCTTAAAATCATAAAATAAAATAAAACTATTTTTAGAAATGACAAATCTTAAAATAACCATTTAAAGGTTCTTAAGAGCAGAGAAATGGAAATAAATTAATTAAAAATTTCTGATGCAGTAAGACATAAATATAACATATGTAAATTAAATAAAAGTTATGATAAACAGTTAATACTGCATATTATGATTATATGAATGATTCGATTTAATTTCATATATTTAAATATGACGTAGTATGGATTTATCATTTTATAATGTTTTTTCATCATAAATAAGCGCATTCGCACTATTCAATTAGATAGTATGAGCATAGATTAGAGAAATCATGGTTTAAAAATACAGAATTAAATTAAGATGAATATACTCGAAGAAATAAAGAAATAGGTGGAAGTTGAGATGAAGAAAATAAAGAAAACATCACCATCAGTAGTTAAGAAACCTTTAAATTTGGAATAAAAAAAAGAGTTGATTGACTTGACAAATCAGGGAATTTAATTGAAGGACGCGGCAAAACAACTATAAATGGGTTACCATGAGGCAAAAATAACTTTAAATGAGTATAAAAGGAAGGCCTTAAGTACTTAAAGTGAGACAGAATCAGCTGTCTATAATGTTCGATTTGCGGGAGTGAGCAACTTGAAGCAATATCCCCGTCACTTTATATTATAATCATCGGTCAATAATAAGTTAGTGTCAGTAAGACGTCTCTACAATATTGTGGTATAGAACCCATTATAATCATGATTATATATATAATACTTCATCATAATATATTGTACATCATCAAAACAATTTAAAAGTACCTTCTTTCTTTTCTTTTTTTAGAGTTTCGAAAATAGCCATAAATTGATGGTAACAAATAAAACTATGCCAGTTCCTATGACTATATATAAAATTCATAAATACTTGAATCAATAGCAACTAAGAAATCATCTAAGATGGTAAGAGTTCTGATGCACATACCAAAGTAGGAAGCAGCAATTCAAATATATCTTTTTATGACTTCTTTCTTGAAGAAGTTCATGTAACCAACAATTTGTATGTCTTGTTTTGTGAGTTATATTGTAACCTATATATAATTAAAGAGATTTAATACATCTTTTGGTGAAGAACCAGACATGTCTAACTATATTTTTGAGAAATAGCACAAGTAACAAGAATAAATGCAATATAAGGGATAGTATGAATTGGATCTAAGATGGCTTTTATAATGGATCTGAGTCTAGAATTATAGTAGATTAATCCATCTATGAGAATAGTTTATCCATTTTCTAATTATTACCAATAGCCCAGTAATCTAATAATGAAATAGCCTCTAAAATTTCTATAGAGAAATTGTGAGAGGAAATAAATATTTGAAACTAATACTCTTTGAAGAATAATTTCAATGTTAAAAGTTTAGAACAAATTAATTGGAAATGCAGTTAAGCCTGCTCTAATTTTTTTGTATTTATTGATATATACATTTTTAAATCTTATAAATAGATTGCTATCATAAACCCAAGAAGGTAGCCAATAAATTAAAAACATAATGTTTTCATAAATATCGATTGCAATTAATATGGAAGTTCCAAAATTACTTATTCCCTTTAAAAATAATTTATCAAATATAATTATCACTAATGTTAAGAAAACAAATCAAAATTATTATCAAAGTAGCATTACCTGCTTCAAATTTATATAAATACCAGACAATACATAAACAAATACTTCAATAAATACTATCAAAATTCCTAAAAATTTCTACACTCCAAAATAGAGTAGTTTACCCTCCTTTACATTCAAATCTATATTGATCATCTTTTCTCCATCAATTAATTACAATATCATTAATGTTATAATCATTTGAGAAATACCCAATTTCATAAATGTTCTTTTATTTGAATGTAATATCACTCTTAACCAATAGAATGAATCTTAGTAATTGTTTTGCATATTGAATATAAAGGAATCTAAGAACATATCAAATATAATAGTGTTGCTATAGATATCCATACTAACATATAATTGATCAATATATAATTTATACTCCAATTATTTTTTCTTCCCTCTGGTTCAGCCACACATTTGATATTATTGCCTTTGTTGATGGTATATAATTGGATATTTTTGTTTAACTAAGCATTTAATTTATTATAAGAAACTTAGCTCTTATTTGTTTTAATTTTACTTGATTCTAAAGTGTGAATTTATATTATTATGGACAATATTTAATAAAGAGAAACATTAGGTCTATTTTTGAGATTTACAAGTATCTGTCAAGTTAGATGTGGAGTATTGTAATCCAAAGATGATGTTTTGACAAAAGAAAATCATTAATGTCTAGGTAAGTGTTCTATACTATTGATAGAAAAATGCACAAACCATTTAATCGATTCCTTCAGGAAAGTCCAAGACGCTTATAAATGATTGCATCAATATATACATATATTCATATAACAATCATAATTTATTTATTCTTGATCTAAATTATCATCCATGTTTAGGATGAGATATTCAGTTGTATGTATTACATTATATATATATTTTATATCAATATTATAATATATATAACACTACCATTCCCATATGATAACAATAATGCTATATCTGATAAATACATCTTATTACATTAACAATCAAATTATGGTGAGTCTAATTTGATTGTTAATGTAATAAAGTAGTAAATACTACAATATATCCTTTTTTTTTGTTTTCATAAATTACAATAAATCATTACATACTACAAGATCTAATTCATACATAATACCATGAAATTTTACTTTCTGAAAATTTGATTTAAGTATCACAAACACTATTTTAATAATAGTAATTTATTATTTTTTCCATATCAACATTATTGTATTCAATTAATAGTACTTATTATGATTAATATCTTTAACTACAATCTTTCATTCAGATATTATTAGTAATTTTATCCAAAAATATTAGATCAATTCAATTTTACAATTAATTTCTTACATATTTATTTTCCAAAACTTCTCGATTCAATTTCACATAATCATTCTCAACAATAGTCTTTTTAAATATCTAAAAGATAATTGTAATTTCAAATCCATAAGAAAAAATTGTAATATTATCTAATTTACAATTTGATCCATCAATAATTAATGGTGTCTTTTGATACTCTTTTTATACTTTTAATATAACTATCTGGTTTATGGAATCAACTTGATTATTGGTAAATCCATGTATTTATGTTTCAATCTGATAAAATATTTCATTTAGGATGGGTCATCTCTTATTATTGCTCTTAGAATTCTTTAAATCTCTTTTTATTCTTAGCTTTAATGATTCAAAAAAGTGAATATATCATATAAATCAGGATTTGAGGAATTGGAATTAACCATAATCATAGAGAAAAGAGGATATTAATAAATACCACAAATAGAATCATATTCGAAGTTTGAGATTTTCCTCCTTAACCATAAATATTGAACCCATTCAAAAATAATTTTAGATTCGAATATTACTTACTTTAAAATTTAAGTAAAATAATCGAATCTATTTAATTGTAATCTTCCTACATGGTGCTTTGAAGAATAGAAAAAATAGATGATTTAATATATCAAGATATTCAATATCATTTCATTACATTATAAAAAAAGTCTGATAAAAAAATAATTTCATTGTATTTATCTCACTAAAATGGGTTTATCACTTATGAATTCTATTTAATCATATTGAATCTACTATTTTGCTATATTTTTTAATACAAATAATATACTTCTCTTTCAAAATTATGTTTCTAATCATATCTGTCAATCATATTACTAATGATCTAATTAGATATAATCAATATGAATTAATTCAAATAGTTATGAAAATTTGAATTTCTGCTAAGAAATATTTTTGATATTAATATTTATAGATTATTTTTTTCTTTAGTTTTATTTTACAGTTCATCATCTTTTAACATATTTAGTTAAGTTACTTTTAACTCAATATCTTTTCAAAAAATAAAGATATATTAGACTCATTATGTAAATGTAATAATTAATTAATAATACAGATAGTATTATAAATATTTTTAAAGAATTCTTATAATATAATTTAATTTATCATTCAGAATTAGCAATTTATTCCCACTTTTAGATTGTTTCATCAAGATATTCAACCTATTTTTATAATCTATTATCTAAATATTTGGACATTGATTGCCACAATGGTCTAACAATAAACTTGAAAAATCCAGCCTCTTATTTTGCCATCACAGATAACTAATTAAATAATAATAATACATTATGTAAATCTTTCATATATGGTAATTGTGGATATCCTAATTTACCTTCTAATTCATACTGTTATTCAAATTCTTTATTTACTTTAAATGACCATTGTTTGGACAACTCAAATTATTTAGCTCCTCCTGTGAAATCTGATGTATGAATAATCATGCCACTTAATAATTTGATATCCTCATCTTATGATCCAAAATTCTATTCTAATATTTTAGTCTCAAAATTCTTAATTAAATTAAAATGTTCAGTAATATCTGTATATAATATATTGGAAATGAATATTCTCCTGAATTTTCGAAATTCTTCACCTTTTAAACTTTATAATATATTAGTATTAGGAACACAAAGTAATTTCAGTGATTTAGCTGCATGATGTTATTCTAAAACACTCCTATCATGATATCTTATAGCTAAATTTGATAAACTATTTATTTCAAAGGTATTTGTTCTTCCTGTATGAGAAACATCATGACATAATCCAGATAATAATAAAGCAAATTAATTGAATAATGATAAAATAGAAGAATTATTAGTTTAATGTAATTATAATAGAATAGCATGAACATTCTACATAACAGAAATACCATGATCATAATTATGAAATACATTATTTTTCTTATTATACTTATATTCTACTTCACTAAGGAATTAACAAAGAGTATCTAAGGGAATATCATATTCTTTAATTAAGTTATGATATTTCAATATTTCTACTACTACTAATTATTTTTAAATCATATCATCAACAGCCAAGATATTGAAATGAAAATTATCAATATTAGGAATTAAACATTATATATCTAAATCTTCTAATCTTAATGAAGATTTATGTTAAATTCCAAGTTTTGCAGGTTCAAATTATAATATGGAATTTCGATAATGTATAGTTTATCTTTAAGTAGATCTAGGTTTAAACATCTAAACAACAGAATTCAAAATCTATGGATTATTTTATTCTAAATTATCAATAAATCTGATAGTTTCTTATTAAATAATTTATTTTTGCAATTCTTTCTATAATGATGGATCACTTAAATCAAATTTCTTTTAATCATATTTAAACCAACCTTATTAAAAAATAATGAAAAATCCCTTGAAACTACGTTCCTCCATTTTCATAAACACCTAATATTATTGATCACTATCTCTAAGTATATTTTATTCTTAAAGGAAATTTTCAATATATTTTAGCAATTCTTCATTTTAAAATAATTAAGAATAAGTCATTTTTGTTTATTTTGGATCAAAATTAATATTGAATTCTCTCTTAATTTCTTAAGGAATAGGTCTAGATAAAAATATTAATCTGCCCAATTTATCAAATTCAAAAATAAGTGTGTCTTATGATTTAACAAAGAACTTATAGAAGGTAGTTCTATCATAACATTGTCTAATGAATTTGAGATACTTATTAAAACTTTGAGTTAATTATTTGTAAATCATAAGATCAGATTTCTTATTTAGATCCATACCATTAATTGAAATAGATATATTAAGTTCATCTTTAAAATCAAAATCTACTTATTTCTAAATTCCATAAAAGAAACTAGGACTACTAACAACAGACATACCATCACCAGAATTGATATGACTAAATATATAATAGTTTATTCATTACATTTCAACTTAATATTTTGATTACAATATATGTATAGATTATTTTATGAATAAATATTTGGAACTTCTAATAAAGGCAATACCAATACCTTAAATCATATGTGAGAGTTAAAGTGGAGTAAATATTTGGATTTTAGCTTATTTAATAGTTTCAATCAAAAATATGCTTAATTGATTAAGATCTTCAAATATATCAAATTCATCAGCTAAATTAAGAAATTCATTTATAATTGAAGTTTAATCATTAATATGAAAACAAACAAAAATATCCTAATTATTTAATTTGATCAAATAGTTCTTTTTATACTATTTAATTTTGAATTATTCACTCAAGGCAGGATAAAAATTACACTCATCTAAAAGTAAAACTTTATTAGGTTGTATGAGTTAAGTTTCATTATAAATTTACTTATCATTTGTAATAATGTATTAATCTTCAACAGAATAATAGGTTTATTATGATTGATCATCTCTAATATGTAAATAAGTTATTTAATCTGCATCGATTAATCTTTTAACAAATACTCTTACACTTTACACTAAAGTCTCATAGGATAGATTATTATTCATTAATAATAGATGACAATTTAGATAATCTGTGTAATGTTTCTATTTTCAATAATAATAATGTATACTTTCATATCTGAATAGAGTTATGTAAATTTATCTACTATTTTACAATACTCTGTCTCTTCAGCTTAAAGTATTTTAGTGGTTGTTGTAGATGGTGATGAAATTGTTGTCTTTTGTATTACTTCAAGGATACTCTTCAATTTCTCAGTTACAATTGGTGTAAGAATCTAGACAAAACCATTAAAAGGACTAAAAATACACATTTGTTCTCATTCTAAAGAATCATAACAAGTGAGTCATTTAAATCATCTATTTATTGGATCAATTGTTCCTCTGTTACTTTTGATTCTTTACTAACTGAATTACGTCTTATCAAACGTATTGGACTCATTTCTATCCCAGTTGACTTACATCTTATTTTCTATCCCTACCTCTGACGAGGAGATTAATTTTGTTTTCTCAAATAGTTGATTATACTGTATTTGAACTCTTCTTCATCGGCATCTTATGAATAATTGTAATCCTTCACTACCTGTATTTAGTGCAATCATGTTAACTAATTACATGTCTTTAAGGGTTAGATTCACTTTTAATTGGTGCTTCTCTTTCTATGAAATCAGACATTCTTATTCCATATCTGATATAATCTAGAAAAACCTTATATAGTTGCTTAAGTGAGTATTTGTTAGCATTAATTAAATTAATGGACATGTAAAATCGACCAGGAGGTAGGACCGGTTCGGGTCCTATGGCATCAGCAGCAGATGCTAATGTAGAAAGAAGAGAACGTTTGAAATAGTTAGCCATGGAAATCATTGACCTTTAAAAAGACCCTTACTTTATGATCAATCATCTTGGTACTTATGAATGCAAGTATATATATAAATATAATCCAAATAGATTATGTTTAACTCTTCATACTAATGAGGGATCATATTTAGCACATACCTAAGGAAAGAAACATCAATAAAATCTCTTACGTAGAAAAGCTAGAGAAGGAAAGGATTTGAATGCAATGATGCATATGGCTAAACAAAATCAACCAAAACCTTAGAAACATAAAACAATTAAGATTGGACGTCCAGGATATAAAGTTACAAGGACTGTTGAAAACACTTCTAAAGTTCTATATTTTGAGCTTTATTATGAAGACATTCAACCAGGATTCATTCCTAAACATAGAGTTATGTCAGCCTTTGAGTAAAAGATTGAGTAGCCAGATAAGAATTATTAGTATTTGATTTTCGCTGGTGAACCATATGAAAATATAAGTTTTAAAATACCAAATCAAGAGATAGAAACATAAGTAAATTTAATTTAATTTATATTAGGATGGCAAATTTCAACCTGTTTGGGATAAAGATAAAAAAATATATTCATTAAGAGTATAATTTAGAGAAAAAAAAAATAATAAATGAATTATTACAACATTGCATTATTACAATACCATTTGTTTTTCTAAAATTACTACTATCTAAAATAAAATAAAAATATTTATTTATATCATTTTTTGTAATAGTACTATTGCTTACAGTTCTTGCTAGATATAGTTACCTTTTATAAGCTAATGAATCTATGGGAAAGCAATTTGAAACTAAATACAATGAATTCTAAAAACATCAATTAATAAAACAAATTATTTATTAATCTAAATTTAAGTATACACCTTCAGATACCTTCAAATTATTGCTATATTATGTCATTATCAAATTTAATAAGATAGTATTTAATTGATATCATTAATATTTATCTTATATTCTCTCTTGATATAATAAATAATTAACTGAAAAATAAGCTAATTCTATCATAACTATTAAGTATTATTTTATAAAGAATAAAAAATAATTATGAATACTTCTATATTATTAATAAAGTTTCATATATTCATTTCTTTCTTTAGAGTTTATATTAATTAAATAATGGAAACGCATCTGGTACTTATTAATTAAAGTTAATCTATATTGGTATTTCAAATTACGTTAAATCTGGTATCTGTTACATTTTTATAGCTTCATGAAGATACTTAACTGGATCTTATTTAGGTTTATTTACAACTTATTATTATTGAACAAATTAATAATTATTATAATTCTATTACAAATTTGGCATAATTCCCTTCTCTATTTATTGTCGAATTTTGTTTAATCTATTATTCCATCCATTTTTATTATACTCATAATTTTTACTTTTTTTATACTAATTTTCTCTATAAATGAGCATTTTTTTTTGTATTTCTTTTTAATTAAGAGAATTAGCCATAGCTTCTGTATTTGGTCCAAAAATTCCATCTTCTTTTAAATTACATACATGTTAAAGACATTTAATTGCTCCACCTTAGCCATGATTTATTACAGCATCAAAGAACACATAACAAGTTTCTGGGTTGTTAATTTAATTAGCAGAACACTTATTAAATAAATACTTATAAAATTTATAGACCTCTTAATCTGTGAGATCATAAACATCTTTATATTAAAACCTATCTTCTGGTTTCACCTTTTTATTTTCCATCATTTATCCACATTCATAATCATAAGTTGATTAAGTTATACCTCGATTAGTCTTACCTCCTGAATCATGTACTCTATTACATTTCCCTCCTTCATGTTCTAAGATTAATTTTAGAATAACATCAAAGACACTCATATTTATTTTATTTTTTTAAATATAGTAATTGAATATTTATTATTTAAATATGAAACTAGAAAATTAAATCATAGAAGAAATTAATTTCCTAAAAAATGACGAAGAATTTAATTTAATATATTATTTAAAAGTACTATTTTCAATCTTAAAATTATATTAATTATTATATTTATGATTAATATACATATATAAATATAGAAAAATATATCAATAAATTAATTCAAAATTATAATCAACATTAGTAACTTCTGTTAATTTTTTCAATGTTTGATTTACTTTAGTTTTCATTTTGTCTGATATTGAATGTTAATCTTTACGTGTATCACTTTATTTAGATTGTTCATCTTATTTTAATACAAATAAGGGATTTAATTATTTTTATTCTGTCCAATCTACAACAAATTGGATCCACTATTAATCTCCAAATGTTTAACCAAATAATGCATACATAACCATTTTCAATTCTTAAATATCAGATAATAATTTTTTATTAGAATAAGATTTTAAAATACGTTAACATTCTTCATTTGTAACAAATTCTAATTATTATTATAATTAAACTAATTTTTAATTGTAATCTTTAATAATATTGTTTCGTTCAGAAGATATATTTTAATTTTTAAAATTATTTTCAATAGGTTCAATTAATTATTAGTGTTCTAAATCTTAATGTTCCCATTTAATAATATGAGCATTTTATGTTGGATTAATTGGATCAATGCCTTAAACAAATACAGGTTTCTTAATAGATACTTTACTTTTCTTTAACATAATTTTCACTTAATTTTTAATTTCAGATACATTCATTTATTATCTTTAAGTAGAAATATGCTATCTAGCACTAGTTGTACGTTATAATAATTATTATTGATTATATTTTTGAGATAATATTCTAGTTTCTTCTATTTCAATTTCTAAGTGAGCTGCTAATAATAAATAATTCTTAGAAATTTCATCTAAAAATTTAGGGAAATATTCTGGTTTAGCACTTTCATTAATCTTTCTCATATTTTTAATAATACTAACTAAACCTTCAGGAACAAGAGAATTATTTGAATCTTATAATTGTTTTAAAAAGATATCTTTAAGTAACATTTTACATCTTCTTTTCTTTTATCTCATTTCATCAAGTTCTTTTTATATTTATTATTATTTCTCATTATTTTATTACATTAATTTTTTTAATGATTATATTTCCTTTGTTCTTTATTTAATCTCTAGATCTCTTTAATTTCTTATTTTTTCAATTATATCCATTAGATTTCTTTTTTTATTAGGAACAACATCATTTTATTATTCAGGAATTGATCCCTATCTTGCCTTTTCTTCTTTAATAAAAAACTTTCTTCTTATATCCTATACTTCTTCCTCATAACGATTCAATTCTTAAACTAAATTATTATTATCAATTCTCATTTAAAATAATATATTTTTATGCTCTTTTATTTATGTTTGAAATAATTGATAACTTTCCATCAAAGACTTTGCAGATGTTGAATTTTGTTGTTATTATGGAATTTAAGTTGTTGGAAATGATGTTGGTGGACGATTAGAATGATATTTAGCTTTTGATAAGACCACATCATAATCAATGTATTATGCAGGATTACTAAAATATTCTGTTAATCCTTTAAAATTATTTAAAGTTCTTTGTTTCAAAACATGTGATTAATCTCTAAATACTTAAGTTATTTCTTCATCCATACGTTATATATTCCAATTAGTCTTATGTTTTCTATTGATATTCATTTCATCAAGTTTTTTAGTCACTTTTTATAGAAGAAGACTATTTAAGATTTATTTATTCATTTCTATTCTTACTTGATCTAATGTCTTTAAAACATTTCCAGATTCTTTATTTGGTCTAAGCATTTGGAATTAGACTTATACATCATCATTATTTTCTTCAGTTTTAAAATGAGGTAATTCTGTTGGTTTCATTATTTGATTAATAATGTTAGAATTTATCTAAGGTCCATAATCTAATGTAAATTCATTTTCAATCAATTTATTATTGTTATCATTTTGTTTAACTTATTCAAATGCAAAAGTCTTTTTCTTTGACATAATATTTTCATGCCATTAATCAAGTTGTTCAAGTAAAGGGTCAATTTGATCCTCTAATTATTAGTATTTTGAGAATTACCATTCTTCTTTTAATTTTTTTTATTATCCTCTTAAACATCTCCTAAATCAACAACATTTCTCATTCTTATTATTTTCCTATCTTCATATTATAAATTTGTAACCTCTTTAAGCAGGATCTGTTTCTTCAAATTAATTTTGACTTTTTGCTTTTGCAAGACTACGTTTAGGTTGAAAGGTTGATGCTGTAGACTAAGTAACTTTTTTCATAGATAATTATAAATAATAATATTGTTTCAATATTATAAGATAACAAAATAGAAATACTAATTATTATTATTATTATTAGTATATATATAGTTAAGTTATACTTCTTATTTAATTACTTTTAATATGTTATTCGAATGATATATATATTCTATTTTTAGTTGACTCTATTCTTCTACTATTTCTAAGGTAGACACATTATGGATTTACTATGATTGATTTCTCTTTGTTTTATATTTGAATATAATAGAGAGGGATTAAATATAAATTAAATTTAAGGTTTTACATTATATTTATATATATTATTTTTTTTGTTTTTGACTTCTAAATTTTTCAATATGAATATATATTTAGAATTATTTTTTATTTTGAGCAGTTTATGAATAGTAAAGAGATGATTCAGATATTCATAGAAAATATTAAAAATAAATATGATCAAATATATAAATTATGATCAAATGGATTAAATTTAACAGAAGACACATTAATTATAAACTCTTTTTAAAGGAATTTAAAAGTTAATAATAAATCACCCCATGTTTTAGTGAATCATAAATAAGTTTAAGTTAGAAACAAAACGTTAAAATTTTGATTAAGGATGAAGCATTTATTTTAAATGTTTAAGAAGAGGTATTTGATTTATTTGTAATTGAGATATAATGTTTGACTACATTATATATATATATATTTATACATGAATTATAAATGAATTAAAAACGATTTCATGAAAGCAATGCAATTCCATTACATCTAACAAATCAAATATCAGAAGGGATTCATGGACTTGGGTATGAAAGAAGCTTCTCATCTGAGTCAGAAGAAGGACAGTATACAAGTTTAAAGAAGGAGGATCATAATGGATTTGAGGATGCTAGAGTCACAAAACTATTATTTGAGACTCATCGTTTGATTGAACATGTTAGGTTACAATTAATAATAGTGATAACAGTGATACTGATCATAGATGTATGAGAATTATTATATAGTTTGATGATTAATATTTCATATCTGATTGGGAAGATGATACGTTTTTATGGTTAGTTTTCACATTGAATTGTATTTTGTTACTATTGACTTATATGACATACAAAATCAAATTTGATTATTTAAAGGCCACTTAATTGATTCCATTGAGTCTAGGTTTTCATAAAAGCGATTTCTTTAATCCTTTTTTATTAGAATTGTTGATATATTTACCGATACCTAATGTATTTTCAAAAAGTAAATTGAGTATTAAATTAGATATTCAGTTTGAATTCACAATATATAGAATTGATGGTGTATTCTATTTTACAATGAATGATTTGCTATTTTTATGGACATGTTTGAGAGCTGTAACATTAATGTTTATTCTCTTGAGATTAAGTCATTTATATAATAGTTAGGTGTATAGATTATCATTATATTTTGGTTTCAGAGTTAAATGGAGTTTCACTTTCAAATCATTAGCAAATGAGAAACCAGTACTTGTGATTTCAACTATTTTTACTATTCAAGCTTGTTATCTCACATTGGCATTATGGATAGTTGAACGTCCATATATGAGAGAGGATAATTCAGATACAATGTATTTGTTAAAACATTCTTTTTATGAAACAATGTTGGCATTGATAAGATATTCTTATGAAGAGTATGAACCATATACTGTTTATGGGAAAATCGTTTTATCATTCACATAATACTCTGGTTTTGCTACTACATCATTGTTGATTGCAGCTATAGCAAGACGTTTCTATATGTAATCAAATCAATTCAACGCTTATGTTTTACTTGCTAGATTAAAAACATCACATGAAATGCTTATTTTAACTTAAGCAATAGGTGAATAATTTTATTATTTAACCAAATATCCTATCAATCCATTTTCAAATGGAAGAGCAAAATAATGTTTATCTAATTTAAAGAAGTTCTTTTAGAAAAGACGAAATTATCAGAGAACAGTTGCTGAATTGACCGAATAACTATTCAATAGAAAAATGAAGGATTTCAAATGGATTATGTAAGATTATTATGAAATCTGTAAATTGATACAAGAATAATAGAAAGAGATTTATTAATGTTATTCTGATTAATAATAATTGTTTTTATTATGATAATATTTTACATATTATTGACAATATCATATGCTTCATTTTCTGGTGATAGAGTAAGTAAATCAGAGTTTGAAAATCTTCTCAATAGTGATTAAGATGTATGATAAATTTATTAAAAAATAGTTATTACTCTTGATTATTAAGGATGATTAAATGGTTGCTTTATGGAATCAATTATATTAATAACATGCTGATTTAATTATTATGGGAGTTGTAGATTGTAGATAAGCTAATGATTTATGCACTGAATTGGGTATAGAATAGACTCCATAATTACTATTTGTTAATAAACATGAAAAAGCTTTAATCTATTTTGATGGACAATGGAATTCAGATTCCATTACATAATGGTTAATAGGAGATCATGAACATTCTGAAGAGGAATTTGAAATCTATATTCAAGTTGATTAACCAAAAATCAATGAAAATGTCTAATGGGTTACTGATGTAGAGATTGATGATATTGATAATTCTAATAATCATTAGGATTCACAAGAACATATTAATTATCATGATGATCATCATTCAGAAAATATTGAAAAAATAAAATATGAAGAATTGCAATAATTAATAATACTTAATGAATAACTTTCTTATAGAACTGAAAAGTTTAGAAGAGATATTGATTTAGTAAAGCATTAAACTAATATGCTCAATACATCATATATGATTGAATTAAATAGATAAGAAACATCTATTAATTTCACTATATATCTCTATTCTTCAGGTATGCTAGCATTAGTTTGTGTTCTATTTACTTGGAAGAAAATTAATGTTCTTAAAAAGAAGTCGTCAATTCTAGTGTAATGATAATTTATATTTTTAATTTATCCAAAAATCAATATGAGCGAATAGAACAAATTTCGCATACTTAAAACTACTTAACCTACTCATCCTAACTAATAAGGATGGCCAACTTAAAGATCTGACTCTTCCAATGAAAGACTCACCAGAATACAGAGAGATTCACTTCCAAATTTAAAGAGTTCATAACAGTACTCAAATATCTCTTATAGATATTCCCAAAAACATAAAGCATTATCTTAAGGAGTATTTTATTGATAAATATATAGACATTTTATGGATCTCCATTATTAGCACAAAATTAATTAGAAATTATAGATAAAATGAAATGTTAACCTAGAAATGATTTCTATGGATAATTAAAAAGTGTAGATCCATATCAATATCCTACACGTTTAACAGACCTGTATCTCTCACCTAAAACACTAAGAGAGCGTAATATCTTACCATTTATATCCAAGCTACTGTTGAGGTGCATATCCCAAATGAATTAAAAGAACCCCCATTATAATTTGGCAATTTCTGTAATAATTTGTCTAAACATAACCCAAGAGACAAACTTCATAGAGGTATTCCTCAAAAGTAACTTAAATTATTTATGTAGACATGATATTAAATCACTTGCTATTTGGGTTGATCTTATGGTACAATAGATTGTAGATAAATATAGTGATCAAAAATAATTTGATTTTTATGAAGAAGTTTAAAATGTACTAACTTTATGTTTAAAAGAACTAATAAGATAAATCAGTATTGATTGTATTGAAAGGAGGTGATGTAAATTTACAAATATATTTAGTGTTCTACTTGAAAAGATTTGGACTTAATATGTAGAAATTAATTCTACTGTTATTAATTAAGTTGTTAATGAAAAAAAAGAAAATGAAAAATAAAATCTCAAATAAATTATGAAAACACATTAATTATATTAATAAGAAATTGATAATTTTTAATTAATTATTTCAAATTAAAAAGAAGAATAATCCAAGCTTACAGATAAATTAATTAAATTAAAAGATAATGGAAAATATCTCAAAAAAACTAATAGAAATTTATAAAATACAGTTAGAGAACTTAAATTCTAATTAAATGATTACACTACTTCAAATAAATATTTATTAAATGAAATTGAAAATCTTAAATAATAAATCTAAGAAAATGAAACAGATTTCCACGATTTTTAATAAAGATTTCAAGCCAATTACAGATCATAATCTCCATAAAATAGTGATCATTCTCCCCTTTAATTTCCATAACCTATAAAAGTGATTCAACCTAACATGCATTAAGCATTCTAAAGTGATGAATAAATTATAGATGTATTAAAAAATGACTCAGATACCACTTTATCAAATTTTGAAGATATGCTTAAAAATTAAACTACTGATACAAATGATCTAATTACTATCATGAACTTATAAAGAGAATAATCTATTCAAACTATTGTATTTAATAATGTTCCTGAATATAAGTTACTATTTTTTATTAATTTTAGATCTATCCTCTTACCAGATTATCGACATAATATTGTTCAAACTGATTTTAGTATGGGTAATGCAATCGATAAGGAAACATAAACTGAATTACCAAATGAAATACTAGAAGAGATCAAAAATGAAGAAGATTAATTAATACAATTTTAAGAATAATTTTTTAAAGCTTCTGAAAATTATAAATAATTTATAGAAGGAGATCAATTAGATAGTCCTGATTTAAAATAAATGTCATCTTTTATTATCAGTCTAGGTGATATATCAACTAAAATAAAATAAACAGTTTAATAATAAAGAGAATATAGAACAAGTTTATTATTAATTAATAGTGCATAAAAAGATGAAAATCATAGAAATGCAAATGAATTATAATTATTAGTAAAAAATCTTAATTAATTTAGAAAAATACTAATGATAATCTATAATAGAATTTAGAATCAGCAAAAAATGAAATTATAGAATTGGAAGCTCATTTAGAATTACAGGAAAAAGTAAATATTATTAAATATTATAGATAAATTCTAAATTAGAAAGAAAATACAATAAAATAAAAGATAAGAAATAATAATTAATTGAAAAAACTACTAATTTAATAAATTAATTAACTAAAACACAGAAATTTACAAATATCATTAAAAAAAAAATACAAGAAAAAAGATCAAGTGTTTTCTCCTAGAAAAAATAACCTGCCACTCAATCATAAAGTCAATTACCTTCATCCATAGAAATATCATAGAATTTTTAATAATAGTTTTTATTATCAAGTAATCCATAAAATAACTTTGTTGCTTAATCTCCAGGAAGATAATAGTTAAGTGGATAATCAAATAGAAAGTAATCCAAACCAGAAAGTTCAACTAATAGAAATATATAATAGGAAAATTTACTTTAGGAAATTAATGTACCTAAAAAGAAATGGAATATTTAAATTACAAATACTGATGAATAATAAAAGGAATCTGATAATGAGAGTGACATATCTTAATCACAGATTTCATTTTAATAAAGTATTTCAATTGTTTAAGATGTATTAAATATTGTTTAAAATAGGATGTTATATCATAACGTAGTTTTGTATCTAATAGAAGATCATCTCAAATTTAAGGTTAAGCTAAATCACCTGGAAATCATGTAATTTTTAATTATACTTAATGTAGTAATTAATTCCAAGTAATGGAAACAATAGATCAAGTCTCAAATCTGCAAAAAAAAGTACTCCAATTAGTACTTCTAATACTTTAAACAATGAAAATGTAAAAATGATTTCAGATACCCTAAGAAAGTTTTTGAATGAAGAACTTGATAATAGTGAAGCTTCTAGTATTGATACATCGTTTTCATCAAAATGGGAAGCTTTTTCTAAAAAAAAATCAGATAGATAACAAAAGAAAAGAAATATCACATAAACACAAGCTCCAAGTAATTTAATTTTTTATAAATTTTAAGAATTTTAAAACAGAAATAATGCTGAATCTACAACATAACTCAATTACTAAAGATCTAAATATTTGGTAACATTTTTAGCTGAACGTTTTGCTAAAAACCCAAAGTTAGCCACTCCAAAAATGTAAAGAATTAATGTTTTAAAATTCATATCATAATTTTATTGTGATAAGATTAAGTAATATTCTAATAAAAATACTCCTCTACATTAGATATGTTATGAACATTTTGTTAATACTTATGGATTCAAAAGCATGGCTGAATAAAAATTAACCAATTTCTATTAATCTGTATATTTCTATAGAGAGAATTTCAGAATCAATTTATTTGGAAGGTAAATATATATAATTGATCAAAAGATTTCTGGAATTATTAAGTCCCCTTACTTTGGATGATTTAGATATTTATATCCAATCTTTGAAAATCCTAGATGAAAATGAAATAGCTCTTCATATGGCATCAATTGTTAATGAGAAGGGAGTTTTAGTTTAATTGGATAAGGCCATAGCATCATTAGATATTTAGCATTCATGTTTGGGAGCAGATATTAGGGATAAAATTATAAAGGAAATTCGTTAAAATACTTATGAAAGGAAAAATAAGGTTTGTGTGGATGTAGATTACTTTATAAGTAAATTGTTGAATGGCTATCATCAACATAAATCAATACATTAAGCTCATTTTGAAGAAGTATTTTATTCAGCTGATATGGATATGGATGGAATGATTGAGTTTTAGGAATTTCAAAAATTATATCTACATTTTGAAATTAATTAAGGAACTACTTCTAATAAAAAGTATATCAGAACTCAATTTATGGAAAGATGTGATACTATTTCAAATGAAAGTGGTGAAAAAGCAATGTCTTTAGATCGTTTTGTTACTTTCTCTTTAGAAAATAATATTTTTTCTGAAGAGAAATTTTCAGTATAAATTGAATTTTAACATTTAATAGAAATTTTCAAAAAATGTTGATTCTAATGATCCAATAAAAAATGTGAATGATCTTAAAGACAATTGGAAATACATATAATCCTTATTAATGAGTAGGATAAATTTAAGTGAACCTAATGAGGGAGACTACTATCAAAGTATAATTTAAAAGCTTGATTAAGTAAAAATTGAGAAATTACTAATTTAGGCTTTAAATAATAAGGAATTAAAAGAAAGCTATTGGATTTCGTATAGGATCTTAGATGCAGATACCAAAGCATTTTATTTGAATAAAATAGCATCTGATTTAATCCCAGAAGATTTACTGTATTTTTAAGAATTAATGGTTGAACTTTTCGATGATAATATTGAGATTGATTGAATTATATATATATATATATATTTAATTATATAAATCAAAATAATTTTCTCATTTTAAATTTATATTATAATTAGTTTGTGTCATAAATCTTTTTTGATTATTATAAAAAGGCCTTAGTTTCTGAATAATTCCAAAAATTGTATATATTAATATAATTATATTATAAATGAGACAAAAATCTCGTACAGTCCATGAAGGAGTGTAAAATACATTATAAAGTGTCGATTACAATGAATGCATATACTAATGTATTCTAACAAAGAAAAAATTTATTGGTAAGGGTCCAAGGTATATCTACTTATTTAAGAATCACATCTGTATTGGAAAAGTATGGATATTATTATATGACAACAGTCTCCTAAAGTGTAAATTCCTGAGAGATAGTTTGTAATCAATACAGACACTCGTATTTAATGGCAATACTCTAAAAATATGTTAAAATCAATAACATTTTAAGTTGGAAGTCATTCATATGAATATTTTGGAAGTAACGAATAACTAAGGGAAATTAAATAAAAATTTGCTTTGTATGCATTTCAAATGAAAATACAAGATGAATATTAAGCTGAATCCGTTTTAGGCAAGGGTTCCTATGCTACTGTACTTGAATTAACTAGTTTGTATAATCATCAATAATATGCGTCTAAATGTATAGATTAATAGAAAATAAATGAAAAAAAAAATGGATATCGTTAATTGATGTAAGAGATAGAAACCATGCGAATTCTCTCTGAACATAAACATTAGAATATACTCTAATTACATGAATTATATATAGGAAATCAAAATTATTATTTAGTTATGGAATTAGCAAAAGGTGGGTCTCTACTTTCATTAATGAAAAAGAGATCTACCTTATTTAGTAGAAATGATATTAGAATAATTATGAGATAATTATTAGAAGGATTGGAATTTATTCATTCATTCAATATAATGCATAGAGATTTAAAACCAGAAAATATATTATTTATGTCAAAAGATTTGGAATCTCTTAAAATTGCAGATTTTGGATTAGCTTAATCTTGTGATTAACATCCTTATACTTATCCTAAATGTGGTACTCCAGGTTTTGTGGCTCCAGAAATTTTAGAATAAGATTCAGAGTTTGCTAGATATTCAACTGTTTGTGATATATTCAGTGCTGGTGTAATACTTTATGTTTTGTATTAAATTATGCAAATTTAGATTAGTTGGAGAACCATTATTTGAAAAAAAAGATAGAAGAGAATAATTAGAATTAAATAGAAGATGTGAAATCAATTTTTAAAGATTCTCATAAGATTAATTGGATGATGTGGAAAGAGATCTTATGTCTAAAATGTTAGCAAAAAATCCAAATCATAGATGGAAAGCTACAGAATTACTTAAACATAAATTCTTTATATAATCTGAAGATTAAATTGAAAATGAAATAGATTATCCAAAATAAGTTAACATGGCTATGTAATTTATATTTATTCAAATTATAAAGATTAAAAAAATCAGCAATGCCAACATTTTCAAAAAATCCTTTTATGTAATAATTAAACAGAGATAAAGCATTAACAACAAGAGATTAAAGTTAAACACTTATTACAAGACCTAAGAATTGTACATTAATTATGTAGACAAATCTAAATTTTGATAAATCATCATAAGAATAAATTATTCCACTTGAAAAACTTACCAATTTTATTGGATCTTTTAATATAATTAAGGATGAAATAAATTAATGAAATTTATATTCTGTTATTTGATAAATTAGTTCCATTATAAAAGATAAATTTATAATATATTTTTATATTTAATAATATTATTGTTTGTATTTCTTATTCAAAATAGTTTTATTTATAATCTTGTTATTAATAATTAAAATTATATATTCTAAGATTATAATTTAAAACTAAATTTAAATTGATCCTTTTACTTTTTATAAATTATAATATTTGTCATATAAATATAATACAATTCAATCATTATTTATTCGCTTGAGATTTCTATTTCAATTTTTCTAATTTCTATTTAGCTAATCGAGCAATTCTCCTTCTTTTTAATAACAAATCTGCAACTGTCATTTCATTATCTCTCTCTAAAGTTTTCTTTTCTTTAGCATATGCTATATCTCTTAAAACCAATCTTATTGGAACTCCTGATATATCAAACTCTTCACTTAATTTCTTTCTCAAAAACTTTAAATAACTATCTAAAATATATAATTTATTAATGAATACTTTTGAACAAAGAACCTTAATTAATAAATAATGCAAAAGTTGGTGGTCTCACTTTAATTTATGCAATAAATCTAATTTTTAATTTATCACCATCTTCAGAAGGTAAACTTTAAATCTTCTTAAATTTATTAAGCCAATCATTTAATAGTCCAGTAGAAACCTAAATAGAATGATTAAAAAAATAGAGTACTCTAGTATTCCATTTATCATAAACTTATATAACTTAATCCATTAAAAGATCAATATTAATTTTCTTTTCAGCACTTATTGTAATTAATTTACAATTTGGTACTTCTCCAAGATTCTTTTCCAATTAACCCTTCAAATATTTAACTATTTTTGCTTTATAATCATTATCAACCATATCCCATTTATTTACAGCTATTATTAATCCTCTACCTTATTTAACAATCTCTTATGCTAGTTCTAAATCTACTTCTCTAAATGCTCCTAATGAATCTATTAATAAAACAACAACATTAGAAAATCTCAAAGTAGATCTTGTTTTTGCAATAATTTATAAGTCTAAATCAGTTTAAATCTTTGGTTTAGGTTCAATACCAGCAGTATCTACTAATTAAATTTTTTATCCTTTATAAACCCAATATGTGGATATAGGATCTCTAGTTGTTCCTGGAGTTGGATCAGCAATAACTCTATCCTCTAAAATTAAGAATAATCTATACCTCCTAATAATGTATTGACTAGACTAGACTTTCCAACATTCTATCTTCCCATAATAGAAAGCATGATTGGATTTCTTAATTATAGATTTTCTTTTGAAACTCCTTACTTTTCTTGAATAGGTGATTTAGTATAGATTGGATTAGCAATATTTTCATCATCAAGATCACTATTGTCTTCAGGATTAGGATTGGCTAGATCAAATTCTTTTTCCTAATTAATATTAATAATAATGATAAAATACCCAAATTTTCATGTCAAACTCAATTTATTATTATTAAATAACTTCTTCCATTTCTTATCTACATTTTTCTTTAATTTCTTTATATTTTTCCTTCCGTTTTAATTTTCTTTCTTAATGCTCTTCAAATGCAGCTTAAGGTATGTTTTCAGAGATTTTAGTAAGAAGATCTTAGAATCCAGTTCCATCAACAGCTGAAACATATATAGGATTACCAAGTCCCATTCTTTTAAGTTATGAATCAATATCAGTTTCAAAAATAACATCATTTTCACATTTATTTGCTACTAATATAGCTTTTTTAAGATTAGTTTTGATTTCCAATTCCTTCAATTCATTAACTAATTTAGGATCAGGATTAGTTAATTAGAGTGTTTTTTTTAACCATCTAGCAATTTAATGATCTATATTTGTTAAACCAGCTTTAGCATCCACAACAAATAAAGCTATGTCAGAATACTCAATTGCATTGATAGTCTGCATTAACATCTTCTATTATAATGGATTTAGAATCTTCTTTAAAGCTACATTCTCAATTCCTGCAGTATCAACAAATCTAATAGGAAGTGGAAAGATTTCAGATATAGCCTCAAATAATATTTTTGATTTTTTACTTCTTTTCTATCTCTTGTTATGTTTTTTTGATTTGATGTTATAGCTACATTTTCACCTGTTTACAATTTATTAAAGAGTGATGATTTACCAACAGAAGATCTACCTATTAATGAAATTGTAAGTAGTGGTGTTTAAGAAAATTTGTATAAAATTTTTGTAAACATAAATAATGAACAATGAGAAAAACAATAAAAAAAGAGATAAAACATGTAATGATGTTAAAAGTCTTCTTACTTAACCAAGTATGTTGTTCAATCAAAAGGTTGAAGATAATATCATACATGTAATCTAATAATTACAACCCTTAAGAACTGAAAATGATGAACTTAAAAATACTATACTTGCAACTTAAACTTATTTAGAAGTATTATTATTCTATATTAATCTAAGTAATAAAGAGAGAATTTATCATAAATTATAAGAGAAACTGAGAGTAGAGAATTAATAAAGAGAATAGCAGATTTTCCAACGTTGATATCTATTTTGTAGGAAGATATGAAATCCATGTAAGAGACATTATGGAAATGTATTTCAAACTCTAATAAGTAATATAGAATCACAATTATTGGAACAATAAACTAACCAGTTACTAATTTTAAATGAAGAACGTAATTCTAATTATGAACAAATCAAAATGGAAGTATCCAAGTAATCAATATAACAATAAAATATTATTACACATTAAGATGAGTTAATAAAATAAAAAGATCAAACTATATATTAATTAAATTAATTGATAGAAGATGAGAACAAAAAAATTAAGAAGAATTAAAATTCACACTTTGAATTAGTAGATTCTTATAATGAGAAATTGGAAGAACTTACTAATTAACTTAATGAAGAAATAGAGAAGTAAGCATAATTGAAAATTAAATATACTTAAATGTTACAATAATAATAAGAGGAACATCAAACTTAAGTGGCAATTAAATAAGATTAATATGAATTTGCATTAGGAGAATTAAGAAATACATATGAAAAACGTATGGATAAATTAATTAAAGATAGTGAATTTAGAATTTCAGAAGCAAATAAAACATATATTAGAACAAATAAAGAATTAGAATTAGTAAGAAATAAATATGAATAAGAAATATAAAAAAATGAGTAATAAATAATATTAATCAAGAATCAATAAATTCAATTATAATAATAATAATAATAAACTCATTAATTAAGAGCAGAAATGTAATAACAATCTTTATATCTTCATTAAACTTAAGCTATAATTGCAAATCTAAAGAAAAATAATAATATTGTACTTAATGAAGAATAAAAATTATCAGAACATAAAATATAATAATCCTTAGATAATTTTTATTTGACTAATCCTACAAATCATTTCTCAACTCAAACATAATTTTAATAAGAAATTGAACATTAATAATAATAAACATCACCTATCTTATAACCTGAAGATATCAATTAAATATCTCCAAATGTTTTTAAATTAAATCTAAAATATGCTGATTAATAAACTACTTAAATCTCTCCCATCTCTAATTTCAAATTGAATTTAGAGAAGATTCCCCATTTAGAGTTAGATGAAATACCAGAATCTAAAAAATAAACTAATCTAATAAAAAAACTAAAAAAGAGAAGAAATCAAAGATCTAAAAATAGAGAAGAATAATAATACTATTATCGTATTAATACTAATGAAGTATATACTCCAAATGAATTTATTACTGGACCTTCTCCAAAATAAAGTGAAGAAACACCACATTCTAAAATTACAAGTGTAAACTTCACTTAAGCATTTGCAACACATTCTAATCTTAGAAGAAAAAGTAAATTACAAATTAATTTCTCTAATAATCAAATTTAAGAGAATGTAATTAATTAAGAAATTCAAACTTAAGATATATCTTGTTAAACAGAAGATTTCTTATTAGAATATTTAATTATAAATGAAAATTAAAAAACCATTAATACTCATCCACAAGAAAGATCTAATAGTTATTATTTTTCACCAAAAAAAAAGAATCAAATAACTACTACTATGTTAGATAACAGTTCTAGTAATTAACATTAATTTAGTCTTTAAATTTTACAAAGTGATCAAGATGAATTTTAAGTCTAATAATAAAAGGATGAAGTCTCTATTCTAAAAGAATAAATTACTGTTCTTCAATAATAAAATTATATGCAGGCTAAAAATATAACTGATCTATAAGAGAAAGCTTAGTAAATGTAAGAGAGAATGTAAGAAAATGTAAAATAAATGAAACAATAAATTTAACGAAGTTCATAAGAAAATGAAACTCTTTTAAAGTAATTAGAAAAGCCAAAAGAGGTTATTAAGAAAAAAATTGAATTGTAAAAGCATTTAGAAAATTAGATTACACAAAGCGAAAATTTATAATATTAATTAATAAAAGCAACAGAAATTATAAAATATTTTAATAATGAATTAGAGAATTATAAATAAATGTATAATATTTTTGGATAAGGTACTAAATCAGAAAGATTATAGACTAAAAAATTACCAAGTATTTATTAATCTTCTCCAAAGAGGAAGATAGGAGATGGTATTCAAAGAAGATAATCATCAATGTATGAAGAAGCATAGAAATTAATTGATAATCTATATGACATAAAACCTTATAAGAGAAATTGATAAGATATTTTGTAGAATAGCTATATTTATGCTTGAAAAATATTATATATGTTTATCAAATTAACCAAAATTCATAACTATAAAATAATATCAATTTTAGGATAAAGCAGTCATTTAAGGGACAAATTTCTCATGACTTTCTTTTTTTTCAAATGATTGTGGATAATCTTTAAATAATTTTGTTATTGATAAAGCTAATTATGAATTTTTTTCTGTGAATTCTTCATGGATTGTTTAGAGAACATCTCCATAAATAAAATTTTATTATTCAATCATAGAGTATTTGGCTCTACAATATGAAGAGTATTAGGATTTAAATTCGTTTTTGTACATCAAACAAATATTAATATTTGGATGATAAATATAATATTTTCTAGAGCGTCTATTATTGTGAAGCTCATTTATTAATGCTTCAATGAAACATTCACAATTTATGATTTAAATCTCTTTACTGTATTATTCACATTAATCATAATATGAGATGGAATCAATTTCTTTAAAATATAATTGTTCAAAGCTACAAATTCTAATAAATTTAATGTTACCTTTCTTCAAAAGCATCAATGAGATCTTATTTAGAGAGTTCATCAAAATTTATTTTGAGATTGATCATGAACTCAGATTTAACGATTCCTCTTGGTAATTAAATTAAGGATGGCACTCCTTATTTTACTAAATTTACAAAGAATAATTGATACATTGCTCTGGTTTAACTCGACATTATTTTAAAATGATATTGTTATAAGGATCAAAGCAAGCATTTACTAAAACATTAATATTATAAGCCATACAAATGCTTTTATTTTAAGTTTCTCTAATATCTCCTTGTAGAATAACAACTTCATTATCATCTATTTTTATAGATAGAATTTCACTAGCATCTTCAACAGTCAACTCTGAATTTCTAACACTTGCACACAAATCTAAGTAACAATAAATAAATTACTGCCCATTTTCGATTAAATAATAATAATTTAATAACTAACATTGAAATCAAAACAATCACAATATTGATTAATAACTAATGATATGAAGAATATATTATGATAAAATCATATTATGATTTATTTAATAAAAATATACTATCTAATAATCTTGATTAAGATAAATAATTTCATTTGATCTCTATCACAATTTATAAGTAAAATATCTTAAAAAGTAAGAATTGATAATTAATTAAATGGGTGAAAAAAGAAAAAAGAGAATTCAAAGACTAAATAAATAGTAATTAAATTAGTAAAAATAGAAAAAGCAGAATTATAAAAGAGTAGTCAATTATAGTAAAGATATATAAAATATATGAATTTCTATAAAATAAATTAATAGTATATAAAATGTAAAGAAAATCTAATACATTAAAATACTTATGTAAGTTACTTTATTCTACAACCCCATTTTGTTAACATAAGAATTCTTGTGTTATGAATATGTCAAGAGGTTTGGTAGAGGCATTCACTAAGGCGTTTTTAGCAAAACTTTGTTTAAATGCCATAATGTTAGTTATGAGTTCTAAGAAGATTATCAAATCACAAAATAAAATCAAATTGGTGTTTCAAATTTTAATCAATAGGTAATATAAATTCAATAAATCATAGAACTAATTTTCATTTAGGGTTATTTATGGGTACATAAACATTTTTAATTAAATGCATATAATGTCTTTTGAGAACAATTCGAAATAAAGAAGATGGTTGGAATGCTGCAATATCTGGTTTTATTGCAGGAGGATTGAGTTTTATAACTTAAAAGCCCCATGTTCAAAATATCTTAAGGGTCTATTTGTTTGCAAGAGCAACAGAATGCTTATACCAGATTGGTATTTAGAGGTAAAATATTTAAAAATGAAAAAGAAAGTATTATAATCATCGAAAAGCCAATACTGCAATAGCATTCATTTTAATGACTGCTGTAATTGCATATGGTTTCTTTTTTGAGCCAGACATATTACCAATGGACACATTTAAGATGTATGAAAACTTTTCATAATAAACTCTTGTGGATTAAATTTGGCATATGTGCAATGTCTAATAATATAGAAATAGATGTAATGTTTGAAAGATATGAACAATACTTATAAGTTATAAAATGATCATAAAATTTTCTTTAACTTTCTTAATTTTCTCTATGAAGTAATTTCATTGAAACAAAAATATAATATTAAAATAGGAGTGCAGGGTAAACCTATAACACCAATGAAATTAATATCTTTATCTGGAAAATAATATATCATGTAGGGTATATACATGAGTAATACTAAAAATAGTGAAATTAAATATGAATAAATCAATTTCTACAAAAATTAATAAATTTATAATTACTTTATTTAATTTCTAATATCTAAATGATAGAATCCTTGTTCTTCCCAGAAAAACATGAAGCCATCCCCACATAATGAATCCATAAATGAATCCTAATTGAGCAATATCCAATGATAAATATGAATAACAAAGTTCAGAGTCATTTAATTTACAAATATCAGAATTACTAGTAATAAAATTAGTAAACCAAGATGAATCTGTTTCATTATATTTGACAATAACATTTCTAAAATCAAATTATGTTTCTTTATTGAAATGTTTATAAAATTAGAAAGTGATAAAAGGATTTTATGATAATGGTTAAGGATTTATTAAATTAAGATTACCTAAATATTGATCTGAAGAATTAAAATTATAGAAATCAGTAGAATTAGATATTTAATTTGAATATCCAGTTTTATAAATAATTCCAGGTAATGATTTACTTTAAAATCCAAAATAATGCATTGTTACTAAATAACTCATCATACCTGATGATGCAGCCAATACTCCATGAGTTAGTATCCATCTTAAAAAATGTTGGAGTTTCATAAATATTTTAACATTACTTGGTTCTCTAATTATAATATCAACTTCTTCATTTTCATTCAATACTCCTAATACAAGAATTTCCAACACAAATGTTATATATAATATTCCAAAACTAGTTAATGGCAATGGAATTCCTAAAAATAGCATTAATAGTATTGGGATGAATTGACCAAATTTATTACTTAAACATAATTTAATTTATTTTATTAAATTATCTGTAAATCGTCTTCCATGATAAATACATTTCAATATTTATTCTAATTCTTATTATTAATTACTAATCAAAATAACTTTTGAAGATTATTTAGCCAATTCATCAGATCTATTCAATGCAAAACTTACATCACATTTTCTTAAAGCAGGTGAATCAATTGTATCAAAACCAATCATTCCAACTTTATATCCTTGTTTTTAAAAAGCAGATATAACCATTAATTTTTATGCTGGATTTATTCTTGCATATATTGTATTTAATTATGTACATAGTTTTGTATTTATTGATTCTTCATCTGCCTACTCATTTTATTATTAATCCTCATCAAATTATTCATGATCTTCTAAATCATTACCTGTAACTATTTTTGGATTACAAACTAATTGAGATTCTTAAGCAATATATTCTGCAGTTTCAGGAAAATCACCAGTCCTTTTTATATGTAAATAGATTACATTAATACAACTCTAATTCCAGATAAATTTAATTTCTATAATACTGTTCTAATAATAGGAGTGATAGTCAATTTTAAAGCAATAGTACCTAAATTTGTTGCATGATTCAAATTAAAATTGAATTCATTTGTGTTTGCTATATCAAATCTATAATTTTCATCTAAGATTAAGACTTTTTCAGCAAATGAAATCAATGAATAACCCTTCTTTGCTAAACTTCTATGAGAATTTAAATATTCAATATCTTCTTAACTTCCTGATCTAAATAACTTTTATGCAATGACTTCAGGAGAACCCATTAAATAAACAATATATTAAGACTTGAATTACATATTTTATACTATTGTCAAACAATATCTTTCTATTGCTGTAAATTGTCTCTATTATATAATTTTGTAATCATCAATTTTATAATCCCTAATAAATTGTCTCATTATTTATTAAATATCTTATTTATTATAAGATTCTTCTAATGAATAATTTTCTTGATATATACAATAGTGGATACAATTAAGTAAGTCTATAATATATAATATTAAAATACTTTGATAGTTTTTTATTTTATTAATGTGATGTACTTGATTATCAAGGATTATCTTCTTAGGTTATTATCCTTACACTAAGACAGCTTCCTTATTGATCAATAATAAACTCATTTAAGTAAGACTTTCAATAACGTCAACATCTTTCAATAATATACTTTGATCTTGCATGATTGAAACTATCTTTCTCTTAGAATAAGATATCAATAACATCAAAGTGAAGGGAAGACTAGAATATATATATATAATGAATTGATACTTTGATAGAATAATGATGATGATTGTATTTATTAGAAATGTGAAATCATATTATCCATTTTTATATTCTTCTAATATCCATCCAATGATTGTTATAATAATGAATGAAAATATTATCAGAGTAGTAATCTATATAATTCTTAATAATTTAAAATTAAATACTTCTTGACTTAAAAATCAATATATGAATTAGACATTGGAACATCTATTTTTTTTGCTAATTTCCCTAATATAGTTTAATTTCCAGTATTTATGACTATGGCTCTTCCTTCTCCAAAAACACAACCTACTCCTAAGAAAGCAACATTCCTTGCTTCAAATATAGATTTGTGATTGCTTTCCTCTGATTCCAATAAGATTGGTTAACAATCTCCTGTGAATATAAAATTATCAACACTTAATTATTAGGATAATATGATTCTACAATCAGCTGGTACTTTATAATTAGAATTTAATTCAATTAGATCTCCTTTTACTAATTATTCTGATGATATTTTTTATTTTTAACCATTTCTAATAACAATCACTTCATCATTTGTTATTATTTGATTGAATTACTAAAAGAGTTTCTTTTTTTTTTAATATGATGTAAATGTTATTATATGTGTGAATACTAGAACTGCTATTAAACTCATAATTTCAATTAGAAATGAAATGTGCTCTTTCTCATCATACAAATATCCAATTAATGATAATACAATAGCTATAACTAATGCTAATGTAAATAAGTTGAACACTTCTTTTAATTAGACATTTGCATGTTTGCTAGTAATTTTATTTAAACCAAATTTTGTAATTTTCTCTTAGACTTATTAATCATTCAATCCATGTTAGATGTTTGTTTTCAAAATCTTTTATAATTATTCAACAGAGTAAGTATGTTCAATCATTTCTATTTTATCTTAATCAATCTATATAGAATTTTCAGACATATAAGAAGGATATACATGACTCATTCTCTGACTTGGCTTCTGTTTGTTAAACATTATATTCTCATTATCATGCATCTTAGAAGAGTAATCAGCTCCTCTTTCCAAAAAACGAGGAGCTTCTTCAGTTATTGAACTATTTATCAATTCTCCTGGTTGGATTGGATGTTCCTTTATTTTGAATTCAAGCATTGCCTATATAATTGAATATTGCACTAAACTTTTATTTGGAGAAGTGTCTAAATCACATAAATAAACATACTTTCAGCAAATGATTTCGTATTATTACTTTACTCTAATAAATATTGAGATTATTCTCCTTTATTCATAAAATTATAAATTGAATTATAAGTAATTATATAACATTAACTTATTAATTATTATCACAATTATTACATGTGCACTTCTTTTATAATATGATCAAATATATATATATATAATTATTCTTTTATAAAAATTTTTAATTAAGCAGATTTTTCAATCTAATTCCATAAAATATCTTGCTATCTCTAAACTCATTCTTACAATTCATATGAATTAGATTCTTAATGTAAATATACATTAAAACAAATTACTATATTCTTATTATTGTATTCTAATATATTTCTAATATGTTTAATGTATTACCTACATTACAAATTGATTATGATCTATAATCTTATTTATTACTCTCTATCAGATTGGTATTGTCTTTATTCATCGATAATGTTACAGAATTGACTTATTAGAATTTGATTTTAACAACCAAAATAATTTGAATTATATTACATCTAAAAATAGAGTCAATAAAGAAAATAGATTGTATAATAAACATATTGTGATATTGAAAGAAATACATGAATATGTATCAAATTGGATTCAATTTTTGTAGTTGCTCAGCTTCCTTTACAAGTTATTGCTGCATTATCTCTAGTATTCTAATATTTTTATCCAATTTTTCAACTTATTCGGATATCACATTATGCCAAGGGTAAAGCACAAAGGCTTAAAAGCTTAATGCGCAGATTCCAACAAACATGTTCAATTTAGGAAGAACCATGATTTTTGCTAAGTTTATCTTAATTTAATAATTAATTTCTCTTCAATCTATTTTTATGCTTTGAAGGAAGATATTTTCCATTTAATTCTAGAAATCATTAGTATAGTTCTATTTTTAGATCAACCTCCTAATTATAGCTTTCTCTTCCTCCTTTAGTATGTAATAGCCTCTATAAAATTGTCTATTTAAGATTATTTATATTATTGCTACTATTTTTAGGATAACATTATTTATATTTTAAATATAAAAAACACTAATGTATAAAAATCACATCATATATTTTTTCCATTCATTATTATTCTTTGTTTAATCAAATGCTGATTTCTTTCCATATGAGTCTTTAATTCTACTTCCATCTATTCCAATCTCACAATATTTTTCTCTAATTTATCAACTTATTCTGAGATTGTTTCATGACAAGGATAAAGGACCAATGCTTAAAAGCATAAAGCAGTGAATCCAATTGCAAAATTCATTTTAATTATTCCCATCTTATATGATTTTGATTTATTTTAATAATTGCATAAAAAATTTCAGAATTTTGATTTTTATATTGAAATTTATATAATATTTATATAATTATTATATAATTTATTATTTATTGAAATTCTGTTGATTCTTAACCTAAAACTATTCCTTCAAAATATGTTAATCAATTAACAACTTAATTATAATCCCAATTTCAGAATTAACTATTCTAAATTTAATTTGATTTTTAATGAAACTATAAAATTTATATGAATTTAATATAGAATGTAATCTAAATTAGATAAATAAATATCATAAAACCTATTAAAAAAAGATAGATTATAAAAGTGTTAAGATTTATTCTATAGTAATTGTTTAAGACTTTGTTTTGATTCAAAATTCATAAGTAAAGAAATATTATTTACATATATGACAGTTTTAATAATTAAGTATGAATATTATATTTTAAATCCCTATTTTCAAAGTATATCATTATATTTTATTGTTCAAAATTCTAAAAATAATTAATAGACATAAAATTGATGTGTTATTCCAACATATCTATTGATAAATATATTTTTTTATTAAATCAAAATAGATTTTGAATAAAAGAGTATGTATTATGAACAATATAAATTTGAATAGTATTAAAATAATATACTATTAATTGATTTCAGAGAATTTGTAAAATTAAATATATATATATATCATAATATTGATTTTTAATATTCAGATTCAACTTTAGATTAAGTCTTAACTCTTTTTTTATGTTTAGTTTAATCATCTTTATTTTAAAAACTATGTAATGGATGGTAAGTATTAATAGAATCTGTCAACATAAATCCTTACATTTAATTCTCTGATAATCTATCTAATCTAGAACTCATTGATTTAGATTTCATAAATGATTAATAATTTGATTTAATGATATCTACTTTAGATGAAATATTTGGATTCACAACTCTTATATGTTATTTAGCTACTTTTATTTAAGGTAATTATTAAGAATCTTCTTCATTTGATTACCTAATAGAATATTGATCTCTATTAGTTGCAAAAGAAGGGAATTACTTAAGTCTAACAGATTATAAGATATCTTTAACAGTACTATTTTATTTACTAAAATATGGTGTTTTGGCTCTAAATAATATATGTATATATACTTTGGTTTTGCTGGTTAAAACTATTCAAATTACTTTTCAACTCTTATCAAAAGACATTTTTAGAAATTATCTCCTGCCAATTTAAGCATATTAAATTCTTCTTATTTTTCACCAAATTATTCATCTAATTTAGTGTGTTAATCAATAATAGATTTATTTTATTCAACCATTTACTATTTAGAAAGTTTTGATTAAAATGTAGAACGAAGAATAGGAGATGATAAAAATGGTTTAGCTTCATCTTTACCAAATTCATTTGCATATCTTCTTTCAACAGCTAATGCTTCTTCCTTTTTTGTTAAATAGAAGTTACAACTCTTAGTTTTTACAATATCTTCAATTCTCCTTCTAAATAATTAACTATTTCTTTATTATAGAGAATTTAAAGCTTAAAAGAATTCTGGAAATGTTTTTCTAACAATATGATAATTCTCAAAATAATAATTATGATATTTTACTTCTAATGAGAGACAATAACAATTACAAATAGTTAATGTTTTTACAGAATAATCTCTTTTTTCTTTTTTTTATACAACTTCTGTTTCCCCAACAAAACATCCTCCTGTTAAATTAGTTAAAATGATTGTTTCTTTAATGTCTTTAATTTCTTATTTAGAACTTTAGAATAAAGACATTAATGTAAAATCTACATTATTTTAACTAGGTGGTTTTGGAAATTCAACATTTTATAATAATTACATTTCTCCATCTTTTAATAATAAGAATCCATCTGTTTCATCTCCTTATTTCCAAATAAAAAAGTTAGCTGGAAATTTAGCAGATGTAAAATATAAAATAAGTTTAGACATTTTGTGTTTCGTCATATGTGGAAACATTTTTAAGAAATAGTCTATCTTTTATTATAATGCTTTCATTCCTTTTTCTCCAACTTACTATAGTTATTTAATTGAATTACCTTAAAATTAGCTTTAGATAAGGATAACAATTTCAGATCAGTTAAACCAAATATACTTGCAGTTCTAGGTTTATCATTTGTTAATGCCATTTCTCCAAAGATTGTTCCAGACTATTTTTAAGCCACTAACATAAATTTGCATATTCCTTGATTTGTGAAATATTTATCAAAGTTTTAAGATCGAAATAATATTAATTCAGAATCAATTACTTTTTATGGTTTAGCCTATTTTTTAATAACTTAACCATAGAATTTCATTAATTCTTCTCCTTATAATTATGAAATAGATTCCAAATGCATCTTTTCAAGCATCTTTAATATTCTTGGTTAAGCAGCTGCTTCATCAGCTTCAATAGATGCTGGTTGTCTTCTGATATAGATACCTGCTCTGCCACTTAAAACAATATAAAATTTATCACCAACATCATCTACATATGATGCCAATATCTACCAATATGAAACACAGGAGAATCTTTTGGTATGAATTCATAAATAAGGTTTTGGCAACATAATTTTGTAAATTCCATTAACGTTTATGTGTCAGGACAATTTTCCTTGAAAAAATCAATAACCTATAGTATTTTAGCAATAATATCGATTTATTCATCTGATAAATATTGATAATCTTGATAGATTTAGACAACGGGCTTGTTATTATTGTGATTTCATTTATACTTAAAATAATTCTTCTTTTGCTAATGCTTGATCTTCCTGTTCCTTCTCAAAATCTTTTGTTAATCCTCTTTTAAGTTTCGACATTAATTAATATACTATATAATAATGACTGATTATATTATTATTTAATCTGAAATAAAATTATATATGTGTATTTCATTCAATCTTAGTCTATAACACTTTAATTTTATCTCCCAAATTAACAACGATTTCTTTAACTTTACTTCTAACTCTCACAAATCCTTATAATTTATCATTAACAACTTCAGCACTTACATTAACTAAGAAATCATCATCTATAATTATAAAATTATAAATTCATACCAAATTTTGTCTGTGCATACATATTAACACAAATAATATTACCTTATGGATGGTTTTCTACAATAGATTTGGCTTTCAATTATTTTTCTAAAAATTAAACATACTTAAATGGGTCACTACATTATATAAATATATAATATTACTTTTAATTGGTATTTATTACAATCCTATTTTCCCATTCATATTTAGCCCACAACTTTCTGAATTATTCAATCTAAACAGTAGCAGGTATTATGAAATCAATTAAATCTACATTAATTTCTTTGGTTACTAAATAAGCTTATTCAATTCCTGCATTATTTTCATAATGAATAGCTCCATAAACAACTCCAATATCTTAGGATGAGAACTTTATTGTTGTTCTAACTCTAGCTGATTAATTAGGTTGTAAGATGACACCTTATGCTTTTTCTATAACTTTGCTTTCTCCTTGAGTTCTAAATTCTACTTATACATTTTAAACCATCTTAGACCATCTATTGACCATTAGAACTTCAAATTGTATATCATATTTATGAACATTAACAAATGCTTCAGCATAGATAGGATCACAATAACCAGTTAATTATACTATATGTCCTAATCTAGATACATAAGTATTTTCTTCTTATTTAATTGCAATAGATGTTTCATCATCTGCTAAATCAATTTCATTAAATTCAGATATTCCTTTTAATTATCTAATAATAATAGGATCATCAGGTTGTTTAAGAATCTTATCATAATTTTGATGAGATCCAAATTGAATATTTAATTCAGGAACAACATCAGATTTTTTGTATTATTCTTACAATTTATCTTATGGATTCTTTCCAGTTAAGATTCTTATACTAGAAGTTATAGTTTCTAAAGTATCTTGATCAATTTTTGCTGTGTTCTTTTAATAATAACGCAAGAGTGAACAGAAAATTAATAGCATCTAACTAGAATATTTATTGAATTCTTAAATCTTGGATAATAATTTCATGAAAGCTCTACTCAAAGAAGATGCAAGGAAAGAGTTTTACATTAATAATTCTCTTAATTTGGATACATGTTCTTCATTGTCTTACTTTTCAATAACTTATGTACCATAAGTACCATCTGGTAATATCACAGTTTTGACTACTTATTTATTTTCATCTTCTTATTTTGCAACAACTTTATCATGTTCAAGAGGTAAATTTCCTATAGCTTTTTTAATTTAATTGAATGATCTAATAGGATTAACACTGTAATCTCCAAGAATAGTAAATGTTGCTTTGTATAATTCCATATGATGAATATCCAAGAAACGATTAGAAAGTGCAGTTACAATTTTATGTTGAATAGGTTAATCAGATAATTATACTAATTTAACAAGTGTTTATCCAGCTAATTGAGCACATTAATCATCCATTTTATTGTTACATATAATAGAATCAATAAATGTTTAAGCTACAACTTCATGAACTTAAGGGAATTTATGAATCATAGGATTAATCAATTATAACATTAATACTTTGTATTCAGATTAATCATTTAAATTTTAGCATTTTTGGAATTCCTTTTACAATGATTAAGCTAATAATACAACATTTTCATGTTTCAATTAAAATAGTCTTAACACTTTTCTTCTAATATCTATACTTTATTAATTTAATAATTAAGATAAATCTTAAGTTCTATCTTCTAAGACTCTAGGATTCAATTAATTTACAGCTTCTAATCTATCCAAAATTACTAATTTGATATTATTATCTGTTTAAGTGTTAATCAAAGACATATAAATTTGAACAGCAATTTTTAATGATGCTAAACTAGGTGATACAGCAAAAAGTGTATTAGCACATTCATATTAAACAGATGCTGATTTAGATTTTGAAAATTAATATATAGATTTTAATAATTTAGGTTTTTATTATGGATCCTTTTTACAAACCTTTCTAAATAATTCTAAGATAGATAATTATAATATATCTCCAAATTAATTACTATCATCTGAATAATTAATGCTTAAATAATCAAGTGCTTTTTATTAATTTGCATGAAATAATAATAAGAAAGCATTTCTTTTAGTTGATAAATCTGTTTCATTTAATAATAATTTTTCCATAAGTTCATCTAAATCTGATATTAAATCATCTCCAAAATTTAGAAATATTTCATATAAACACACTACTGCATTCCTTCTCACATATACATGTTTATGAGTAACATTTTCTACAATTGCTGTTTATAATGGCTCCAATATACCCTATTTTATTAATTATGATCAATAATACACGCAATTAAATTCTACTCAATAGTTTAAGTGTTCTTCCTCTAATATATTCATTTGGATGCAATAAATCTTTTCTTAAACTATTGCATACTAGAATCATTTCTTCTTTTAATGAACCATTTGGATGAGTTTTTTCAATGACTTCCCAATAAAAGAGTAGAATCTTTTTTAATGAATGTGTCTCATCTGATAATGGTACAAGTGAATTGATTACATTCATTACCATTCTAGGAAATGATTCATCATGTATAATCTAAATAACAAGTGATTTCAATGCCTAATCTATAGAATATAGATATCTACTTTTAATTTATCTTCAAATTTCCCTGTATCAAATGCTTTTGATATTTCCTATTAACTCATAGGTGCATCTTCAGGAATTACATAGACACTACACATTCTATCTACTTTAACTTGAGTCATTATTAATCAATTAATATATTATACGTGGCAATTTAACTTATTATAAGCACATTTAATATTCACAATTATTATAACCATTATTTATTTTCAGCATCTATTGTTTCAAAACAATCCATTCCAGAAAAATCTTTAATATTTGGATCAGCTCCATTTTTTAATAGTAATTCAACTATTTCTCTATTTCCAGATAGACAACCATAATGTAATGCAGTCATTCCTGATACACTTTCCTATATATTGATTAAATTATGTTATTTATAATATGGTATCAATAATTTTACAGCTTCAATATTCTCAATATCTACAACTAAATGAATTAATTTAATTTTTTATTCATTTTCACATTACAAATATTTTACATCATTATATGTCTATAATAATTCATTTAATTTTTCAGTATTTTCAAGTGAATCTTAAATCTCTTAAAATATTTATTATTCTTTTTCATTCAATTATAATACTTATTCAATACTTTAACCTGTTTTATTCATCTTTTCAATAAATGCTTCATTAGTATCATGTTCTGCATTCTTCATAGTACTTACTTTCATTCCAAATTAAGAATTCTAAACACTACCTGTATCACATTCAACACCCTTATCTAAATATTCTTGTATTTATTTTATATATAATTTCTCTGCCTCTACTTTTTTTATTCCTTTACATCTTGACCATGCAGTCCATTTTGCATGATCTTATAAATGTAAACGCATAGGTTCTGGAACATTACAATCCCCAACTGTTGCTTATTTGTATAAACTATATAACCATAATTAATCTGGTTAACTCAAACCTACTAAAGTTCTCCCTTTCCTTGCAGCTTCTTTAAATTCCTCTGAATATTCAGATAGATCAATCTCTTAATTTAGTTTTGGTTGTCTCTTCCAAAATAACAATCCCCCTCCTATTGCAGCTATTGTTATTCCTACCATCCATGTCAACTTTTAATTCACTTTACCCAATATATTAAAAATCATATAATAATAATTATCATAACAATTATACATCAGCTATAAAAAACTCTTAATTATTCATTTCTACATTTTCAAATCTACTCTACAAATCTATAAATTGTTATGAAATAATCAAAGTCTTAATACTAGTATTCTTATCCAAACTTTATAATATTACTTATATGTCATTTATCTTATTACAATTTACATCCAATAATTCTAAAGATATAGAATCCTTTAAACAAGCTGTAAATTACAATAATTCATCTAATTCAAGATGACTTAAATGAATACTCCTAAAACAATCATGTTTTATTATTAATTCCCCCAATTATTCTATATTCTATATTGAATTATCAGATATATCTAATTGTATCTTTATTATTTCTATTATTGGATCCATTGAATTCTCATAAAAATCTTTCAATAATTATAAATTATATCTATTATATTATCCTGTTTTATTCTTTAATTTCTTAATTATTTTAGATAATGTTTTTTATTTATTGAAAAATAACTCATTCTCCAATGATGGAATCTCTAATGCCTTACCAAACATCACATCAATTGCATTAAATAAATCATTGAAATTTGTTGCCCCAATATTTTTAAAGTTCATTAGAGTCAATAATTCTAATTCCATTGAATCTGCCTTCTTTGATATTTAATGTCTTCTATAACCTGGACTAATACTCTCTAAATTATTTGTACTATTATCCCAAAATTATAAGTATCTTTATTAAATGCAATTAGCAATGATATCAATACCTTCATTTCCAATCCCTTAATTATCATTCAAATATATATGATTTAAAGCAAAAGAATTTTAATTCATTAAAAAACTTCCAAATTCCTTTATAACCAATGTTGTCAATTAACAATTACTTAAATCAATTAATTTCAATCTATTCTTATTCTTCTTAAAATATTATAACAATTAAATTGTAGCAATTGGACCTAATTGACTATTAGATAAAATCAATTAATAAATCTTATGATTCATTAAACTATCAAATATAATCTAAGTATATTTTATAATGTAACACAAAGGTAATGCATTCTATATACCTTCTATTTATAATGCATTATTAGAGATATTGAAAGTTGTAAGATTTTCATTGAAAAAATAATCTACCATACTAATAGAAGGTGATTTATCAAATAATCTACAAATCATCCATAAATTATTTAAATATGCTTTGTATGCTATTTAATTGGATATGGATCTTCTCCAAATTTATCCAACATATGGTTTTTCTAATTTTATTGTTAAAGTTCTATCTAACAATTTAACAACATAAATAGATCCTTCATCTTTAATTAATGTATCATCCAATTATCCTATTCCTCTTGCCACTTTATCAGTTTTCATATGATACCAAACCAAATGAAATCCTCTTTATTCAAGCCAACAAATATGATATTCTTATGATTTGCCTTTCTATTTTAAAAAATACTCTCCTTTTTACAATTTATCAATACCACCTTTTCCCATCTTTGATCCTGCTTACAAATTAACATTAGTTGTCTCTTTTAAATGATCCTTTATAGCTCTTTAAGCTTAATATCCTTAATTATGGGGTATCATTTAAACATTATAATCTTTTAATTATTCAGTTGTAATAAATTATAAATGTTCTAATTTTTTTGTTCTCTCTTATTTTTTGGCTTATGCTTTGACTTTCTTTTCTATTTTTTTAATTTTATTTTCTGAACTTTATTCAGTGAAATCTGATTCATTAGATGTAGGTTGTATTTTGTAAGCTTAAGATGGTAGATTATGTATAATAATTTAATCTTGAACAATATTAATGGATTTAATGTAATTATAATCTAAGGCATCTAAAATTAATTCTCTAAGAATCAAATATATATTATATTATCGTGTCAATGCAGATGGTATATTCTAATTATGCATAAGGTTAAATTATTGGATACGATTAAGAAATGAGAATTTGAAATGTTAATCAATTTTAACTTATTATTCAACAAATTATTATTCATTTTATTCTTCTTCAATTTAATTTTCTATTAATAAGACTTCATAAATATTTTTATCTTCTCTATATATTTATCTATTGATTTAATAGGGTATAATATTAATATTTAATTCCATTTCATTTTTAAATATAAAATGAATTTATTCTTTTGTATTAAATATTTTATAGATTTACTATTAATAATCATCTAATAATTATCCATTAATTTTAGTCACTTATAATTGAGAGGGTTTCTTGGAAAATCTTCTATAAAAGTTAATTTTATTATTTATAGAGAGTACAACTTTACATTAATTAATTTGATCATATTTAATATTGAGTTTTTGCATCATTGAATTTATCAAATGAAATTCTATAAAACCAGTATCATTGATTGATTATATAATTTCTTAGAGTTATTATTACTTTTAATTGAAATTTTATTGTCTTTCTTTGAGTTATTGTTGTACTATTATTTTTGAATCTATGAATTTTGGATCTTTGTTAAGTTAGACTTTGTGTTTGGATTGATTCAAAATGACTTGAGTTTATTTGAGCATCTCTTCAGGTGGAAGTTTGGGTTACTCCTTTTTTTCACTAACAAATAAACATTTCTTTATTGTCTATAGGTTTTATTCAGTTTATTTAATTTTATTCATATATGTCAACTGATGTTGATTACTATACTAAATAGCGAAGCATATCATAATTGCCTTAACGCAGACATCAACACTTAGATTGTTATGACATCATTACATAAGACCAACATTATTCAGATTTAGTGAATTTAGCTGCAAAGTTTAGGTATAACAGATTGGATCGCTTTAAAATGTTTGTCCTTAATGGAATGCTCTAACGAAATCAGACACTTCATTCTTAAATTGAAAAGTGTTTTCGTCGTGGAACTAGACTCTAGACAGAAGAAAGAGTCTTATAACCAATTAAATAAGGAATACGTAGAACTTCATTGATTGATTACCCGCAATTGGGACGAAAAACTGTAGAGAGATTGAAGATTCAATAAGAAAAAAACAAAAAATTAATGAAAGCAATTCATCGCAATAACGAAAATGAAATTTCCACACTCACCACGGAGTGAGAGTCATTTGATCACAATATTATTACTTAGATTTACATTTAGGTACTAATATCGGTTTTTGGTTTAACATCTTAACTTTACTATTTATATTTTATTTCTTCTATATCAAGCAAGGCAATGGTTATATGTGAGTAACAATTGGTTCTTATTTTTTATCTAATGATTTATTCTCACAAACACTATTTGCTCTTTTAGTTCGTTATCCATCATTTGAAGTACTTCTTAATGATCTCTTTGGCTTATATAATTCTTTACGAGGAGACCATCTCTTCAATTATTTTAAATATATTGGGATTGTTGGTTCTAATTGTAATAAAGTTGTATAATCCATCTTAGTATGTTCAACTAGATTTTAAAAAAGATGTTTATTCAAAGTTGGTTATTGTGATTGTAAATATGTTCTTTACATGCTTAATAAACTTAATCCTAATTGAGCATTCATTTTTATAATATATTATAAATAATTTAACTCTTCAATAATTGTATATACACATTTCATTCTATGTTATATTACATATATAGAGTAAATCGTTATAACAAATGTTTATAGAATTTAGAGAAAATAAATATAAACAAAATATCTGAATTTATTATAGAATCTTAATATATTACCTTTAGATGTATTAATAGACTTTGATTTTTTGAAATTCTTTAATAAATGCTTATTCTATCATTTATATCTATTTCAAATACTATTAGTTTTTATGATTATTTAAAATAAATATTAATTATTATACTTGAAATGAGTTTAATTTTTCATGGGACTAAGGCAATTATTAAATAAGTTGAGATTTGCAAAATAAATAATTAAGAGATTGAATTAGGAAGAGGTGGTTAAGCAATAGTTTATAAGGCTGTTTTAGTAATTCAATAATCTGATCGATGTGAGAGGAAAATAGACATTGCTTTAAAGAGAATTAAATTACCTAAATAGAAGCTTATAAATGATAGAATTTATGAATTAATTAAAAGAGAATAATCAGTTTATAAATCTGTAAAATCTCCTCATATAATTAAATTATATGGAACAAATTTAAATTATAAAAATTAAAAGTTAGATGATCTAGAAAATTTGGATTTTTATTTTGAATTATGTGATGGAAGTTTAGCAGATTTAATTATGGATGCAGAAACTAGAACAGATTTACCAGTATATGAGGATATGGCATTAAAAATATTTTAGTAAGTTGTAGAAGTAGAATTATTATTGGAAAAATCATAATTTTTTAGATCAACAGGTATAAAAGAAGGATTGTTTCATAGAGATATGAATATTAAAAATATTTTATTTAAAAAAAAAAAAGATAAAATTGATGTCAAAGTTTGTGATTTTGGTATGGCAAATTACATATTAGAAGGTTTATTTGTAACTTTAAACGTAGGAACTAATGTAAATTGTATAATTATATCTAGTCTTTCTAAAGTCCAGAAAATAAATTTTCGGAATAATATAATTAAGAGAAAAATGAAGTTTGGTCATTAGGCATATTATTATTTTGTTTGTTAAAGGGTTATAATTATTATAAATAAAATAGTGATCATTTCAATAATAAAAATGATCATCATGCCTTAATTCAAAAATTGGAATTGTAATCTTACACAAAAGAATTATTAATAAATTTATTATAAACTGAACCTAGTAAAAGATGGGGATATGATGAAATTAAATAATCCAAATGGTTTTAACAATTTAGTTCTAAAAAAATTAAGTATTTGGAAACAATAGGACCCCTTTTAAAATTTAGATAAAAATGTTTTAATTAACTCTCCCTCTAGTTAATAGAATATGAAAATTTTATTAATTAAAATAATCCTTTATTATAGGAGTTTAAAATTCCATAAGATTTATTACAAATAACTTTAAAGTCTTATTAATTATGGACTTGGAAATAATTAGAAAAGTATAGTGGAAGTTATTGTTATGAACATCATTGTTTAGATTAAATTTATGAGAATGATGATTAATAATAAAAACTGTAAAACAATGAAGCAAAGTTAATAAAAATTACATAAGAACTCAGAGATTTTTTTTTATAGATTGACAAAAATAATTTAGAGGATTAGTAATTTAAGAATTTCGAAATGAAATAGATTATACAATACTGGAGTTAAATTATAAAATAAACAACTAATATAACCCATTTTAAACCAGATGCTCTTTATTATCAAATAAATTTATTAGAACAGATTTAACAGAAATTATTAAGTCGTTTATCAATATTTGTTTAGACTGTTTAAACATAAAAAATTAAAGATAAAATAACTTCGTTGAAAAAATCATTGAAAAAATTTTAAGAATTGTTATAGGAACAACAGTAAAAATTAGAAAACCTAAAAGAAGAAGAATAAACAGAATAATAAAAATAATCAGATCAATCAGGACAAATAAAATAAAAAGGTTAAATATCATCATCAAATATACAATAATTAAAAGAAGAAATTGAGGATCTTAAGTATTAAATTGATGCATGTTCAATAGAAATAAAATAAAAAGAATACACTCTTTAAATCTTAGAATAAAAAGAAAAATTACAGAAAACATCAGAGTACTTATAAAAAATAAAAGATTGTTTTAAACGCTTTTTTGATTGGAAAAGACAAGAAGAATATAATTCATTTTTTAAAGATCCAAATGAAAATGATTGAAAATGATTCATAATTTTTAAAATATCATCATTTTTATATGAATTCATTTTATTTATTAAACATATATATATATATAGACAAATACAATTAGAGTTTGTTCATAGGATATAATTAGTTTTTTAAATTTATGAAATTTGGATATTAAACTTTGTTTACTTTAATTATTACTTGCTTAAATAAATTAAAATTATTATATATTATTATTAAATAATGATGTTGTCAATTAAATTTTCAATTTTGTTTATATACGATTTAACATAGTTATTTTTAGATAATTTTTGGAATTTTTTAGAGTTGAACAGAGTGGTGTGTTAATTAATTAATTTACAGAGAAATAAAATAGAATTTGACTATTATATATTTTGATTCAATAAATTATTATTATTACTTCATTTAATGTAAAAAAATACAATAATAAGTAGATTGAGAATTCAAAACTTATTTTAATATAAACGAGAATTTGCTTAGTTGTGTTCAATTAATAAAGTTATGGATTTTTATTATTTTTGAAATTTAAAAAATTCATAATAATGTAAAATAAAAAATTATATTTATTCTTGAATAATAAATTAATCAATAGTCTATTTCTTAATATCAAATTTATTTTATTATTTAAAGTAATCTATAAATTATAATAATATAGATTTACTTTGATCATTCAAAGATTATTGTAATTTTATTTATATTTTGTATATTTCTAAGTAATTCAACAAATAATAAGAAACAGCCTTTTTTTCTCATTAAGCTATAAGTCTTTACAATTTTAAGATTGAAAATCATATTCTATCTGAAAAATCAAACTAAACTTTAGGATTGGAAGAATAATAGAAATTCAAAAATAAAAAACTGCAAACCATATCATTTAATAATAACCATTTAACTAACTAAATAGATTAGTTCTAATATGTTAATAAACAAGCACGAAAAAGTGTAGATATAATTGAAAAGTCTGATGTATCACAAGTTTATTCAAAATAAGAAAATAGTTTCATTCCCTTACTTAATATCAATAAAGTGGAAACGAACATTAATGAAATTGATATTAAATTGAAATCAACATCAAATGAAAATTTTAGTTCAATTTAAAATGAGAAAAATAATAATTCTGGATAACAGTAGATTATCGAGAATAGTGTATAGAAAGATGCTTAGAAAGCAATAATTTTAAATTAAAATGTAAATGAAGATCATACAAAAGATTCAACATCATAATAATAAGTTATATAACAATAAATTAATCAATTTTCTTAATAAAATTAATAAGTGCCAGAAAAATTAGTGTCAGATTAATAGTAAATATTGTAAAATACAAAAAAGTAGAAAATTGTTATAAGATTTCTTTTTAAATAAGAATAAATCAACTAATAATCTAATGATAATTATTAATCATCAGAATAAAATGAAAAAATTAAAAACTAAAAAATATCAAAATAAAATGAAAAATAAGTGAGAAAGAAATGCTAATAAAAAGCAAAAGTATAATAACAATAAATTTAGATTAATAATGATAAATAATAAGAATAATAATTTGAAAACAAAACATCAACNTTATTTTTGAAATTTAAAAAATTCATAATAATGTAAAATAAAAAATTATATTTATTCTTGAATAATAAATTAATCAATAGTCTATTTCTTAATATCAAATTTATTTTATTATTTAAAGTAATCTATAAATTATAATAATATAGATTTACTTTGATCATTCAAAGATTATTGTAATTTTATTTATATTTTGTATATTTCTAAGTAATTCAACAAATAATAAGAAACAGCCTTTTTTTCTCATTAAGCTATAAGTCTTTACAATTTTAAGATTGAAAATCATATTCTATCTGAAAAATCAAACTAAACTTTAGGATTGGAAGAATAATAGAAATTCAAAAATAAAAAACTGCAAACCATATCATTTAATAATAACCATTTAACTAACTAAATAGATTAGTTCTAATATGTTAATAAACAAGCACGAAAAAGTGTAGATATAATTGAAAAGTCTGATGTATCACAAGTTTATTCAAAATAAGAAAATAGTTTCATTCCCTTACTTAATATCAATAAAGTGGAAACGAACATTAATGAAATTGATATTAAATTGAAATCAACATCAAATGAAAATTTTAGTTCAATTTAAAATGAGAAAAATAATAATTCTGGATAACAGTAGATTATCGAGAATAGTGTATAGAAAGATGCTTAGAAAGCAATAATTTTAAATTAAAATGTAAATGAAGATCATACAAAAGATTCAACATCATAATAATAAGTTATATAACAATAAATTAATCAATTTTCTTAATAAAATTAATAAGTGCCAGAAAAATTAGTGTCAGATTAATAGTAAATATTGTAAAATACAAAAAAGTAGAAAATTGTTATAAGATTTCTTTTTAAATAAGAATAAATCAACTAATAATCTAATGATAATTATTAATCATCAGAATAAAATGAAAAAATTAAAAACTAAAAAATATCAAAATAAAATGAAAAATAAGTGAGAAAGAAATGCTAATAAAAAGCAAAAGTATAATAACAATAAATTTAGATTAATAATGATAAATAATAAGAATAATAATTTGAAAACAAAACATCAACAAGTATCACATTTAAATGACTAAGAAAATTAAATATTAATTAATTGGTGATTTCTAAAATGATTCAATAAAATGCAATCTATGTATGTAAAAACGTCAAAGATTATAAGATTTAGTGGTTCATTGGAAAAAGAAACATAAAAAAGAGTTTTAATAAATCTTGCCATCATATGAAATTTGATAAGTAATCACAAGAATGAATGATTATTATATTCAGCACATTTTATAAACATAATATTATTAAAATAATTATATAAGTTGTTTATGTAATAACCTTTGATTTATTCTTTTATTAAAAATATATACAAATTATTAGTACTATCAGAATTTTCAATACCAAAAATAAATTGTGTAATAACAAATGAAATGTATTAAAAGAGATATATCATTTCTTAATTGATTAATAATTTTTAACTTCATGCTTATTAATAAATATATATTAATTTTGTACAAAATTTGAACAAATATAATTTCTGAATTTACCAATAGATTGAATAAATCAATTTAATAAAATTTCTAACATGATTAAATTAGATTGCATTAATATATATTATAAAATATGAATTCATTTATTTGTTTTATTTTAAATTAATTAAACCATAATTTAACTGATTTCACAATTAAATAATTTAATATGAAATAATGATTAATAATAAATAACAAAATCAAAATAATTTAAATTAACACACAATTTTGATTAATAAATAGAAGTTAAAATATTTTCTATCTGCAAGGTTTATTCTATATAATTAGATTTTGATTGACTAATGTGTAACAATTATATTATAAGAGATGTTTGTAATATTAGAAAATAGTGATTTTTTTATCATATAATGATAAATAATTTATATACACAAATTAAAATATAAAATCAAGTTTATTTACAAAGCACCATTAACTCGATTTAGATGGTGGAATCTGTTTCATTTGATTAAGAATGATTTGAATTTCTTTGTTTTGATTGATTACTAAATAGCAAATAGATCAGAGAAATGAAACCAATAAATGATAATAGAAGAAGCAATGAGTTCATCTTTAGATAATTTTCATAATTCTCAACTCTCAAAATATTGGCAACGATATATGAGAAACAAGTCAATTCTAGAATAAATATAAAAGATAATTAATACCTAAATTAATACAACTATATATTAATCCGAATCCAGTGGCTACCATATGAGATGGCACAATATTGGGAATATATGGCCACATAACTGCAAAATAAATACCAAAGAAGAGTCCATTTAAAATACTTCCAATCAATGGAAATATTAAACATGGAGAATCAAACTCTGGTAACATCTAGAACATTGTCAATGTTAATAATTGACAACTACAAGCAATTATTAAAATTTCAATATTCCTTCCTATTCTTTATAAATAATAGCCAACAATAGGACTTAATAATGCTGAGAGATAATAAGGAATACTAAATAAAATATTAGCTGTATTCTAATCCAATTTAAAACTATGATATAATTATATAAACAATACTTTTGTTTAAACATTTCAACAGAATTATAACTGAATATAAAGAATACTGAATAGCATGTTGCACAACTTATTAATGTAATATAAAATTCTAAACTAAAATTTTTTATTTATCTAAGATCAATACTTTCCAGTTTTTGATCTTCTACTTTATCTCTCATATCACTAAATCTGTCTATTTAAGTTAGAATTAAAATTGTAATAAAACTAAAAATTGCAATTTTTAAGCACATAAGCAAACATCTAGATAGATCATTATCAGAAGCTGAATATAAGAAAGGGTATAAAATGGAAGCAGTTATTGATCCAATTCTGCAAAGAGCAGTATCGATACTATATTTATTTATAAATAATTACCCATATGCAAAAGAATTTTCTTTATCTTTAAACCATTTATTAATGTAATAACTTTCAGCGACACATCCGCTAGATTCAAATATTCCAAAAACAAATCTTCCAATGATCATTAATTTAAAACTTTGCAAAAATACAGAAATTAAGCACAAAACTAAATGTGGTTATAAATATTAGCATACATTAACCAAGAATAACTACTATTCCAAAAAGCACATATGATCTTCTAACACCAAAAGCATCAATTATTAAACCTCCTACTAATGTCATGATCATATTTGGAAGTGATTCAAATAATAGTAAATAATTAACATCTTCTTAAGTCACCTAAAAATAGTTCTTTATTTATTCTCCTAATAATGCAGGAAATTCAGCTATTAAGAATTGAGCTAATGGATAAACACCAATTAGACATAATACAAACCATCTTAGATTAGTTTCATGCCAAGAAAGTGCTTTGACCATTATTTAAGTGTATTTAAAAATTAAATTAAAAATTAAATAATCTTATTCAAAAATTTATGCAAAAATCGATTTAAAATCATTACTTTGTAATTTCTAAATTAGGCTAAATGAATGTTTAAAGTTTAAAAAAAATTAAGCAAAATTAAACTGGTTCAGTATTCATTAATTTAAATTTAATTATTTAAAATGTGATTTTCTTATTATATTAATATCTACAATATATTTATGTAAATAAATAGTTTAAAAATAACATAAATTCATAAATCTATCCTTTATTGAAAATTTCGATTAATATATTATGGTACCTAATCTTTTTATATATATATATTTATTATATTTTGTAGATATATTAGAAATTCATAAAAATGTATAAAACCAATTATAATATAATGAATGGAAAGCCATACAGATTGGCAAGATATCAATTTAATAGATAAATAACTACTGACAGGGCGATAATTAGAATCTCTAATATAGTATATTAGAATAGTTATATTATTGGTCAATATATAACTAAAATTAATTATAAATAATTTATATTAAAATAAAAGAACCTTTAAATTAGGTTTTTCATAAATATTGATTTCAGTTTTTTTCTAATCTAATTATCTTTTATGCTTTCTAATCAAGGCCTAACATTGCTAGTCTAGATGTTGATTATGAATTTAATAAATTCACAAGAGATCTTAATAACAATAAAATTAGTACTTTTATGATTCTAATTAAAATTTTATTATTTGTAATAAATGAATATAAATTGCAATTTATTACTTTCAATGCATCATATATATTACTTAATAACAAAATTTTGTATTTTTTACGATAGACTCTTAATAAATCAATAACAAAAGGACAACTTAGTTTCAAATAGAGTAAAACTAAAATAATTTCGATTAAAACAGAGGTTGATTTATTCTCTTATTTTAGAAAATAAATAATTCTTAAAATAACAATATTCACTTATATATTTAATTGAAGCTAAAAATATTGCAATTGAACATATTTATCCAGTTGATACATCTAATTCGTTTAAATTATTAAGTATATAAGGTTTCTATTTTCCTGCATATCATTTATAGAGTAGTAAACATAATCCAAGCAATGAAGCCTTTACAAATATATTTGTTTCAAAATATATCATGATAATGACTGTTTTTTTCCATAATTTGATCCATTCCCAAAAGTAATTGTGATTATTGTATTCATTGAATAAATAACATATATGCCTTCTAAACCTTATCTTATCCAGTTTGTCTCTATAGATGTTTAGTAAAACATTTATTTAAATCTATCATTTAAATTAAATACTTTTCGAAATAATATCCTGTTAACTCTATAAAAGTAGAAAGAGTGCAGATGGGATGAGACATCCAATCAATCCTAATCCTGGTAAAACAAAGCCAATTATCCATTTTTTATGACTTGGTGAATTATAAAGCAATGATACATCTCCTGATATATATTCTATATCTGATATTATCCTCTTAGCCAATAATGAAAAAATATAAGATAATTATTATTTAATTATACTTTTATATCAATGCAGCATAATTTGATACATATAAGTGCAAGAGTGTAGTAGCTATTATGCTGCTATTAAATTTCTAGCGTTTGATTGTTGTCTAGAACTTAAACCCCATATATATTATTAACAATTAGAACACCGTTAACACTATCATAGTTATTATTCTATTATAAATTAGAGTATATTATAGATCTTTGATAAATAGCAATCCAAATTGTTAGCCATAATGTATGATGTGTTATTTGTTTAATTAATTAATGTAAATGAAAATTAAAAATTAAAAGGAAAAAATACTGAAAATATCCATACATAATTAAGAAATAATTTATGTAGGATACTCTCATAATCTATAAACAATTATTATATTACCTTGATTTAGTTTAAATATAATCTTCACAAATTTTTATCTTATTTTCAAAGAAGAAAATAATTTATTAGGCTTATCAATACTTCTTAGAGTTAAAAGAGTTGAAATAATAGCCCTGTTAAATCATATTTATATACAATAAAATATTGATGTAAGAACAAATGGAAATTCACTATTAATTGCATCTTTACAATCTTAACAAGATGTGTTTAATTAATTTTTTAAATAATTTCCTTGTCCTCTTATATCATACATGTCACATTCTTCACAAAAACCTCCAATATGTCCTACTAAACATAAATTATCTGACACAACCCATCCTCCTTCACAAAAATCAACGAATTTGAAACAATGTTCAATCAAAGGGTCAGATTAATCATTAAAGTGGCAAGCAATCTAAATTTTATTGGTTTGATTATATTATCTGTATGGATCAACAGTTATAGATAAAAATCTTAAATCAAAATTTTTTGATTCAAAATGATATTCAATATTTGCAATATTTTTCGAATCAATTAGAGTATCATTTAATAATGTTTACATAAAAATTTTAAATGTGGAATTAGAAAAATTAGGTAGTATTTCATTAAGATTATTTTTATAAGATTTTGAAAATTTTCTAAATAATTCTCAAATTTAAGTTATGATGGATTATATATTTTATAATTAATAATCTCTTAATTGCTTGGTAACATTAATAATTTAGTTAATTACACCTTTCCTTATTCCATTACAAGATAAGGTTACAAAAACAAAATATTTGATGTTTTATTATTTATCTTTTTCTAAATAGTTTTCATCTCAAAATTTTTAATTGATAAAGATAAATGAATTGGCATTTCTTAAAGATTATTAGGTAAAAGAGATGTTGAATTCAGTTTCATCCATGATTTTATAAAATTGTCTTTATTTAATTTACCATTACCTTATAAGTAATACCTCCTTCTTATTCAGCTTTATTATTATAAAGAATTGTTTGAAATATTTTAAATTAATTGTTATTAACTAAAAAATACTAAGCTCCTCCTTAATAGCTTGCATATTATTTAATAATTTCAAATTGACAAGAGTAATTCTTACATTTTCAGCCATAATTTCAGAACATATAATACCCCTATTCATGTTGAATATAGAATTCTTAATTACAATTTATGATTCTTATTAATTTTATGATTTAGCATATATACATCCATAATTTGCTATCTTATTCTTGAGACAATATAATTCTCGAATAAATATTGATAAATATTAATTTAATCAAATTAAATGAATCAACTCTAAGATTCTAAACAATTATTATTTGATATTAATATCTAAATTAATTTTATCATATTTTGAGAATGTGTACTTTTACTATAGATTAAAGTCCCGTTTTAATTTGATAAAAGCAAAATTTGCTCAAATATCCATACAGTTTTTATGAGAACATTTAAATCTTAATTTAATAATTAAAGATTGATATTACAATTATTGTAATCTAATGCTATCTTAGAATATTCAATTACATTAGTCTTAATTTTATTGAAATCAAATGAAACTAAATTCATTATCTCAATATTACTTAAAACAACTTTAATTTACATAGATGTTGTTTATCCAATATGAATAATGTTAATTGGATAAAATAACAATACCTTAAAAATAAGTAGATTTTCCAGTTAAAAAGTGTATGAATCTAAAACTTTTATTATTGAAGACAAAAAAATTCCTTTAACTTAACACTTTTTGATTGTTAAATTGCATCCTTATAAATAAATAATGGCATTATCATGTGTTATTTTCTAAATTTCATAGATAGTTATAGATTCCATTTTATAAAAGTATTGAATTAATTAATTTTCATCTTATTAAATTGAAATGTTCTCCATGGATACAATATTTGATTTAAGATTTAATAGTTAAAACTCTATTTTTATAAACCAATTTACTAAACAGAAACAATTTTAAATGAATATATTTTGAAACATAATTACATTAGACTTAAATGATGGAACAATTAATAAGATTGATGGGGTCAATCTATTTTATATCTCTTTAAAGGTTATATTTTCAAATTTAAGTTCTAAAAGACTATTTTTTGAATCAATGATATAGCTCCATTATTTTCTCGAGTTTAATAGAAAATATTTTATGCTGATATCATAGAACAGTTTATTATAATTACTTCACCTAAACCATAAGTTACAATTTGAAGTATAGAGCTACTTTGAGAAAAAATATCCTCAAAAAAACAATTATTTATAGTGAAATTTTCTGTTGTAATTGCTAGAGAGCCTCCTTTATTTTAAATACTTTATTAATCATTTAATTGATAATGTCTTAATTTAAATTTTCAGATAAATTTATGTTAAAATATTTATTTAAAGATGATTAAATTAATTAATTATGATTATTAATTGCTATGTTATAATTTAAACTCAATTCGTTTTGATATCAATATATGAATTTGTGGAATTAGTCAATGCATTTCTTTATGAAATTAAATGAGATATTAATAAAGAACTTTATTATGAATTAATAAACAATAAACTTAAAGATGTTTGGATGGATCATCAATAAGTTAATTAAAATTATTATCTTAAAATTTAATGTTCTCAATTTCAATTATTTAATTCTTATCAGAATATTGCTAGTATTGATTAATCCTTAATTAAATTTTATCCAATTCATCAGTTACAAACCAAAGAGAGAGCATTAAACTTAAAGACTTAAATTTTATAGGAAATATTTTATTAAATAAAAGTTTAGGTCTAGTACTATCATAATTACTCCATAACTATAAGCATCAAATTTATTATCGTTCTGCTTTTCACTATTGAATGGATATGCTTAATATTATTATTTCTCATTTAATCCTTTGACATAAGATGGAAGGACAAGATGTAAGTGATTTAAACCCAAAATGAAAGGAATCAAAAAAATTGTCATAAAAATTAAAGTTTTGAATTTAATTACATTTCAAAAGTTTAGATAATTTAAAATGTGTGATAGATCAGAATTTTACATTAATTATTAAAATTTCCTTATGTAATCTTGTTTTAGTTTTTAAAGTAATTAACTTGATTTAATTATTATTATTGTTTAAAGTTTTGATTAAAAAAAAATGATGAGAATTCTAAATAATATTTAGAAATTAATCACTGTTTTTACATAAAAATACTATGATAAATATTTATTCATAATGAAGAAAGCGAAGTAAATGCTTGATTTCTAAATGACTATGAAGAATTTAGATCAGTAGAATTTTGATTATCATTTTATACATTAATGCATTACAATATTTTGTGAAATAATGATAATCATTTCTTAAAATAATAAAGTGTGAAATCTTTGCTCCATCAAATGTGGTTTTTAGTTAGCAACTGTTTAGTTATTTGATTCTTGAATTTTCAATATACTCGAAGATATCAATTTATTTGTAACAAATTAGACCTTTAGCATATATTATTAAAATTAATATTTCATATAAATTAACATTTAGAAAAAGAATTCAAGAGTAATTTTTGGTTGGGTAATTAAGTATTGATTTCACCAATTAGCGTTTTTTAATTAAAACTATCTTTAAGAAATTTTCTTATATTTTACAAAGCTTGAAGGCTCTAAAATAATCTAATTCCAATTTAAAGATATTTTAGATTTATATCAAATATCGCCTTCAAGTTTTTATATACTGACAAATAACAGAATTATACAAGCATATGTTTATAGCTCAAATTAAAAATAAATAAAAACAAAAATAATATTATTAGATACAACGTAGAAGTAGGATAGCTATTTGTATCATTAATTAATATGTATATTTATTAATATTTCTTATATATGAATAATTATGTCTTAATGAAACTCTCTATTAAAAAAGACTAACACTATAAATGAAGAACGTGATCCTCTTTTTGATTATGTATGATATTCGAAATTGATATTTAAATCAATTACTCATATATTTAAGACATGATTCTTAAAATAGGTGATTTTACTATGGACATAATAAGCAGCCTCTTTAACTTCATTAGCTGAATATGTTGATCTGAAATATCCAGGATCATTAACATTGAAAGCGTCTCCTAAAAATGATGTCATCAACACATAGTGACCACCATTATTGACATTCAAAATAACATGTAATCCAGCATAAAATTTATCTAAAAAATAATTATAATTCTTACATTTTGCTTAAGTAGTTGTGATCCACCCTTAAAAAATAAAACCAAGAGGATTAATTGAAGCCCAGACAAAAAGATCACCAGAAGCATATCCTCCATTCTTTCTTAACCATGTATTCATTGTTTTTGGAGTCATTGTACCATCTGTTACTACACCATAAGTATGTAACATCATGGCGATAGATGAAATTAACCATTCTGCTCTGCATATTGTATTTGCACTTAATCATTAGCCAAAGCAGAATCACATTATTTGTATAATGTATATTATCTTGCATTTGCAATACATAGAACAAACAAGATGGCTTTGATTTTATTCATTAATAATATTAATGAGATGACGTCAAAACTAATATATATTAAAAATAATAAAGATTAATGTGAACCATTATTCTATATTCAATGCTTTAATATAATAATAATACTTAAAATTACAATAATTTAATTATGTAGATTAAGAAAAATATTTCATATCTAATTTAACAATTAATTTATCCCATTATCATTTTATTTTTTATATAAATTTCATCAAAAATTTCTAAAATAATTATTCATATCAACCTTAAATGAATAAGTATTTTTAATAAAAATGATTATTAATAAAAAATGATCAAATCCAGATATTATAAATTAAGGTTAATTAGAATCTCTTTGATTTTATAAAGAAAGATATCTTCTTTTCTTTGGGTAATTTTAGAAAATTTTTTGTATTTGCTTTTTGTATAAATAGTCAAATTTCGCCTCTATTAATTTTAGATTTAAAATTTTCGTTAAAAAGACTTAATCTGTATTTTTGCATGCAAATTATATGTTTGAGTTACACCAAATCTTATGAATTAATTATTTTATTTTAGAAATTCACCAAAATGTGAATCGAATATGAAAATTATGAATAAATACATTAACTTTTCACAATCAAAGTAATGATAGTTTACTTCAGTGAGGCCATATTATTTTTAATCATGATTTTTTAATGTTTTACTAATTCTACTCTTGGATTTTGGATGCAAATTTTAGAATAATTTTGAAAATACATTTCAATTTTTTTATCATTAAAAATTGTAGAATTAAAAATCAATTTACATTGGTTTATGGAAAACCTCAAATCTCTTTATAAGTCAATAAATTCTAATTTTTTTGATATTCTTATTATTTATTATCCTTCCATTTTTTCTTATTTTTTTTAAGTTTTTAAAAATACATAAAATTAATTTTGCATAATTTAAGTAATATTCAATTTTTTAATGTCTATTTTCTTACCTGAATATTTTTTGATACCCATCCAAAATAATCAAAAATCCTCATCTTCATCACTGTTTCAAATATCTATGAGTTGAAGGCTTCATTTAAATGATAACTTATTGTAATTAAAATTGTTATTTATAATTTTCGGATTATTCCTCCCAATATCATTCCTAATTTTTTACATTTTTAAAGTGAATAATAAATCTTATAATATATTCAAATTAAATTGTCAAATTTTAAATGTTGATCAATATCATTCATTTTATTCTGATTTTTACATAACTCAATTATAAATAATTTTCCATTTTCTGAGATCTATTTCTAAACTTTCGATTTGACTACTTCATATCAAAAATAATATATTATAAAGATTATGTGATTTATTAGTGATAACATTTTATTAAGGTGAGAACTGACTACAGATATTTTTCTTAGGATATGATCTGAGCACATCAAAAGGAAATTAATTAAAATTTCAATAATGATTTTATTGATCAATGTCATTCTACTATTTTTTCAATAGTCTAATTGTGAATGGACTTCTATTATATCATAACTAAAATAAAATAAAAACTTTAGTTTCTCTAACGCTGAAGATTGCTGTTAGTATTTTAATGGCTTCATTAAAAAGGATTTGCAATTTTTTGATATATGGAAGCTACTAAACACGTAACAACTACTCATCATTAGATCATTAGGAGATCTCTCATAATCTGACTTGTTCAATTTTATGGATTAAAGACTTGAAGATATAATAGTATTTTTATTTAATTATGAATAAATATTTTTTATATTAGAGAAATTTAACTACATTTGATGAACAATAAAAAGAAACTTTAGGATAAAAAATTATAAATTGCTAAAGACAGTATTAATTTCTTAATACCTTTCTTAAATGAAAATGGAGCGAAATATATCTAAATTGAATCAATTTGAAATAAATTTAACAAAGCTTTAATATATAAGATTTAAATAATTGTTATTATTTCTTTATTCAACTGCTATTTTAATTTTAAGTTTGTATTTGAATAGAAAGGGAGAGAGAGTAGAGAATTTTTTTCATAAAGAATACAAGAATATTAACAAGTTGTGATTTGGCGATATTTTAAATCAACCTATTTCTTTTAAGGAAACGATTTTAATTAAGTAAAATTGTATTGATTTCTTATTTTTTAATTTCAAATGAGAAAATATATCATTTTTATAATAAACAATAATATAAATTAGCAAAACACAGGGTCTCTTTATGAATAAAATTTTTGGTTTTTATTTTGATAATAAACTGGTTCATCAATATTATAAAATTTAACTTACAATATTTTCTAAAAGTAGATAATCAATTAAATAGATTTCACAATTAAATTTTTGACCATATAATTTTATATAAATATTGTACTCACCACAATATTTGTATCGTATTGAGTTTAACAAAAAATTAAGCATTTTTGGATTATTTAATCTTATTTCTGTAATTAATTCAGAATGAGAAATAAAAAAATCTGATTTTTTTTTTTAATTCGAAAATCTAAATTTTTTAATATAATTTTTTAATCACCTAAAATTTTTATATGATTATCAACATAATTTAGAACTGATTTCTGTCTATTAATATTGAAATTTTTGAAATATTCAAACCTGAAAATCTAATCAAAATAATGAGTTGCGAGAAAAGAAACTAAAATTTGCAAAAATTCTAATCAAATTATAAGAAAGAATAGAGTGCCTTTTGAAAGTGTAGAAATTGATCAAATTACATTGAATAAGGGGAAATATCTAGTTTGATAAAGCATGTTTTAGTTTCAGTCACAATATATTATTTCTAAAATATTAGCAGGTATTCTTGCTTTAACTGTGTAAGGTTATTTTAGAGCATATTGTTTGAATCTGTAGATATCACTTGATTTGTTTATAAATTTCAGATTATTTAAACTTAATTAGGAAAAATTTCCTTTCTTTTATTATTATAAATATGGCAAAGTAAGTTTGCTTTATTATTGTATACGATATTTTATTTACATTATAAATTTCATTGATAATTCTAAAGATTCCATCTATATAAACTTGGTAGAAGATACTTATAAATAAAAATAATAGAATACAATGTGTCAAATAAATTATTTATTTTCTCAATTATTACATAATTTTATAGGGAAAACAAATAACTCTTACCGATTTGCCAATGTCTAAAAAGTATTTATGACAAAATTGTATTTTTGTGCTCTGGTGCTGCTTATTTTAAAATTTATTTAAATAAAATTAACAAAAAAAAGATTGTTTAAAAAACAAATATAGTGACATAGAAAAACTAGTTATGATGAGATTTGAATTTTATGATAACAAAAATCTGGAAATTTATTTAAAATAGAAATTAGAATAGGGAAAAATGTTTTTATTAACTTAATTTCCTAATTAAAAAAATATAAAAATATCAATAATCAATATTCAAGAGGGATTAGAGCTATGATAAAACTTCAGATATTCTACTTTTTGCAAATGTTAGCTCTTTAATTTAAAAAAAAAAATTTTTACCAACCTAAACTTTTTTTTATTAGACTCTCCACTAATAATAAAAATAAAAATTTTAAATATTGGTTGGACCCTATTTTAGAATCTCTTTAAAGTGAATTTCAAAAACTTAATAGATTCATAATTAATCATTTAAATAATTAAAAGGTTTTTTGATATTACTTAGTCCTTTATCTGAATATTTTCTTTTGATTTCATAATGAATTCTCAAATATAATAGCAAATAGTCTGTAAATCAAATATTTTCAAAAATTATCTATTAATTTTTCTTAAAACAATCTTTCGACTTATACCACACATGAATGATGCTTAGTTTTTCTTCTGAAATTCTTTGATTCCATGCAGCTTGTTTAAAATATCAATTATTTCAATCTCATCATACATTCAAGATTCTTTTTCAATAACTTACATCTTTATCAAATCCTAATATTTCATCTAAAGATCACCTTATTTTTTAGACTCCACACATAACTCTTTAAAAAAGATAATAAATTTTTAATTAAAATTAATGATTTAAAATGATGAAAATGATTCCAAGAACGAGATTTTTATTAATGAATTTAAATTATGTTAAGCTTCCATTAATAATTTTCGTTAACTTGTAAGTTTGATCAAACTTTAAATTTTAATCAATCAATAATTTCTTCTAAGGCTGATGAAAGGTGATATAATTTAATAATGCATTGTGTCTCAGAAGAGAAACCACAAAATTAAAATTCGAAAATGTATTGAAAAATAACTGGATAACAAAAGGAACAATATGAATAGATTTGAAGAAGCATTAGAGTATTATAATTCAGCTATTCAGAAAAACCTAGAAAATGGAGATTATTATCATAGCAAAGGTATAATTAAATGATGTATAATTTATAATTTCTTAGCGATTGCCTTATTCAAGATGAATAGATTTGTAGAAGCTTTGAAGTTTTTTGATTTAGCTATTCTAAAAAATCCAGAAAATGCGAAGTATTATAATGACAAAGGTATAATAAATTAATGATGTATATTTTCGTAGCGATTGCCTTAATAAAGATGAATAGATTTGAAGAATCATTGGAGTATTATGATTTAGCTATTCAAAAAAACCCAGAAAATGCATAGTTTTATTATCACAAAGGTAAAAATTAATGATGTATATTTTCTTAGCGAATGCCTTACATTCAATGTATAGATTTGAAGATGCATTGGTGTATTATGATTTAGCTATTCAAAAAAATCCAGAAAATGCGAAGTATTATAATGACAAAGGTATAATAAATTAATGATGTATATTTTCGTAGCGATTGCCTTAATAAAGATGAATAGATTTGAAGAATCATTGGAGTATTATGATTTAGCTATTCAAAAAAACCCAGAAAATGCATAGTTTTTGTCTAACAAAGGTACAAACTAATAATGTATTATATGCTAGCAAATGCCTTATAAGAAATGAAAAGATTTGAAGAAGCTTTGTAGTATTATGATTCAGCTATTCAAAAAAACCCAGAAAATGCATAGTTTTATTCTAACAAAGGTACAAACTAATAATGTATTATATGCTAGCGAATGCC